CCACAACATCCACTCAGTGCACTACACCCCTGCCCCACAACATCCGGTCAGTGCACTCCACCCCTGCCCTGCCCCACAACATCCGGTCAGTGCACTCCATCCCTGCCCCACAACATCCGGTCAGTGCACTCCATCCCTGCCCCACAACATCCGGTCAGTGCACTCCATCCCTGCCCCACAACATCTGGTCAGTGCACTCCACCCCTGCCCCAAAACATCTGGTCAGTGCACTCCACCCCTGCCCCACAACATCCGGTCAGTGCACTCCACCCCTGCTCCACAACATCCGGTCAGTGCACTCCACCCCTGCCTTCACCCCACACAAGTACAGCCTATTGTAAGCAGATAACATTACAATCATAGAGATTGGGTTTTCTATCCTTTAAACGTAGTTATAATACCTGGAGAAGTACGTTTGAAAGCCAGAGACAAATTCAATTAGGCTGGCGCTGACGGGGGTGACTTCAATTAACAGACGAGCTTCAGAGAGTACAACTCTGGCGTCCAACAGTTTTCACTGCCCGAAGACGTATGATGTTGACATTCTCTACCCTCTCTCCCCCCCCCCCCCCCCCCCCCCATTCCCCACCCGCTCCTGGACAATGAAATAATTATGTTTTGTCTCTATCCGCGGAGCACAGGAAAACATAACTCTTCTTTTATCTTCGCGGTGGGTTACTGTTCTTCCACTAACCCAATATATCGGAATAAATAATTCAGGGGACAGAACTCACCACTGGGACGATTCATAAACAAGAAATAATTACATCGGGGGACTTATAGGATTAGACACTTTTTAATTTATTTATTACTGTAGGAGGTACTTTTTTAATAATCAGGCTTTCAGGCATAAAAGCTTATGTGGTTATGTTTAGTTAGGTTAAGTTTTTATTGGTATCACGCACTAATCATCTCTTGCTACGTCTAACCAGGTCACTGCATGAACTAAAATACTGAACAAGAGGCTGCAAAGATGATGACACGTTTCAACTCCTGTTAAAAAACGTAACAAATTGTTCTGGGAGGTGGGGCGTCCAAGACAGCTCGGTTGTTTTTCTTGGCAGTAACAGAAATAGGTAGGGGGCGATGGGACTGTAACTATTGGGAAAAGGGTGTCTCAAATATAGGGGGAGGGGATAATATTCTCGTGGGTGGTGGTTGGTGGATAGAAACCATGAACCAGATAAGGGCGCAACTAACTGACAATACAAAAATATCGGATCGGTGTCGTCGCTCACCAGTGATAATCGACTACTTAAAAAACCCACAATGAATTATTAACGATTGTTTTGCCACTAGAGAGCTTGTCATCACATAACTGGGCATGAGCGGGCCAAGCCGTATCGATCTAACGAAAAGTTTTAGAAACGATACTCCTGATGTACGGTAGCCTCTAAGACATCTTTAATGTTCTATCCTATCCTTAGTTCAATCAAATAAATGCTAGATTGGTGCACATTACAACACTACCCTCTAAGTTTAAGACAAAGTCGAAGGTGTTAGCGTTTAGGTATCATCATTAGTGATACCGTCGTTTTGGGTAAGTGGTCCTATAGACAAAGAATTCGTAAAAATCGTTCTGAAAATTATTTTGACCACTTCATTCATAATTTATGTTCGTAACCCCAACACCCCACCCCCTACACACACACAACGCTAGTTACAACTATTCCAATATGCAGCATCTCCGTCTTGTATAGTGCTAGCAATTGTGAAAGAAATGTTTCTTCTCGACTAACAATTACGTGCGTTTGTGTTCGACGTACCGCCATCTTTAATAGCAACACATTATGTGTACCCCCTCGTACCATTAAGTCTGAACTTACTTTGAAATACGATAGGAAATAATTACGTAGCATTAATCTATTTTTAGAACGCCAATAAAACAGCCTATTTTTAAAGCAGGACGTCAGATTTCCAAACAATTCTCGACGAGTTATAAAAAACTTGCATCGATAAAGAGATGCACGGATAGGTCGGGTCGGGTTAGTCTGGGAGGGTTGTCTTCGCTGATTGTGGCATTGTGGGTGGGTGTTAGGAGTTTGGTCTTGGTGGGTGGATTTTACGACTGTGGGGCTGTGGGGGTGGGGGGGTGTTATGGCTGATTAAAGTGTTGAGTGATGGATGTTATGACTGATTAAAGTGTTGTGGGGTGGATGTTATGACTGATTAAAGTGTTGTGGGATGGATGTTATGACTGATTAAAGTGTTGTGGGGTGGATGTTATGACTGATTAAAGTGTTGTGGGGTGGATGTTATGACTGATTAAAGTGTTGTGGGGTGGATGTTATGACTGATTAAAGTGTTGTGGGATGGATGTTATGACTGATTAAAGTGTTGTGGGATGGATGTTATGACTGATTAAAGTGTTGTGGGGTGGATGTTATGACTGATTAAAGTGTTGTGGGATGGATGTTATGACTGATTAAAGTGTTGTGGGATGGATGTTATGACTGATTAAAGTGTTGTGGGGGTGGATGTTATGGCTGATTAAAGTGTTGAGTGATGGATGTTATGACTGATTAAAGTGTTGTGGGGTGGATGTTATGACTGATTAAAGTGTTGTGGGATGGATGTTATGACTGATTAAAGTGTTGTGGGGTGGATGTTATGACTGATTAAAGTGTTGTGGGGTGGATGTTATGACTGATTAAAGTGTTGTGGGGTGGATGTTATGACTGATTAAAGTGTTGTGGGATGGATGTTATGACTGATTAAAGTGTTGTGGGATGGATGTTATGACTGATTAAAGTGTTGTGGGGTGGATGTTATGACTGATTAAAGTGTTGTGGGGTGGATGTTATGACTGATTAAAGTGTTGTAGGGTGGATGTTATGACTGATTAAAGTGTTGTGGGATGGGTTATGACTGATTAAAGTGTTGTGGGATGGGTTATGACTGATTAAAGTGTTGTGGGGTGGATGTTATGACTGATTAAAGTGTTGTGGGGTGGATGTTATGACTGATTAAAGTGTTGTAGGGTGGATGTTATGACTGATTAAAGTGTTGTAGGGTGGATGTTATGACTGATTAAAGTGTTGTAGGGTGGATGTTATGACTGATTAAAGTGTTGTGTGACGAATGTTATGACTGATTAAAGTGTTGTGGGGTGGATGTTATGACTGATTCAGGTTTGTGGTGAATTTTGCCAGTCTGTGCACGTCTCTAAAAGAAGTATTAAAAATGGGGGGGGGGGGGGGGAGGTGGAGATTAAATATACTTATCGGTATTTAACCCCCCCCCCCCCCCACCCCCCCCCCCAGAGAAAAAAGTCTATAAGAAACACTGGTATTATGGTATTATAGCTTTGGCTGAGTTTCAACACTTAATATTCAACAGATAATATTCAGCACACAATTCATCAACTGAGATTAAACAACCGAGATTCAAAATAAAATTTCGACAGTATAACTCCAACAGTCGATGTTGTATATTTATGTCTCGACGCTCCTCAGTTCAATATATGTCCACTTCCATAATGATCGTTCATTATGCGCATATTTCAAGCCTTTGTTTTAGGCCTCTTCGGCATTAACTCCAATCATCTCATAACATAATGGCTCGGGCGTTTTTAGACTTATAAATATTGATGCGACATTGTATCGCAGCTATCACGAAGATAATTGAATGCATAATTGTAACAATATTTAATTAGTATCGATTCATGGAGTATCCTTGCTTGTTGTATGGTATCGATTCATAGAGTAACCTAGCTTGATATATGGTATCGATTCATAGAGTAACATTGCTTGATGTATAGCATCGATTCATAGAGTAACCTTCATCATTTATGAAGAAATATTGAACTGTTCTTTTCCATTTTACTTCTTCCCATATTATCTCTACTGTGTAATTAATTAACTTTAGAACTTAATTTTTTCTTCCACATTTTAAAACGAAGCTGGTAGTAATAATCCGCTTAGCAAGTGTGTCGTTTATCGATAATAATAATCGATGCCTTGGCATTAAGCAAGTAACACTAGGGTATGTTTATCTTTGGCTACAAGCTTAAGAAGTCTAGACATAAAGTCACTAACACAAAGTCTAAAAACATAGGACTCTGTCCATGTTGTTGTGGTATTTAGTCGCGTACACAACGTTTAAATACTTGTGACAATTTTGTGTAGTTGTGGAACTTGGTATTACATTAAATCCTATTCCAGTTTTAAAATTGAAGTGTCACCCCAGAGGCAAGGATCGATCAAATTATGACCAAACCTTCAAGCACGGACTGTGTCTTTTTTTTAAGTCTAGTTCGGTGTTAGCCTAACCATCATCATCACATGACTTTAGAAGTCTACACATACAGCTACTGGCGTTTTGTTTACATTTGTTTACAACGTAATGATTTACGTTTAAATCAACGTATTTTTGACGCCATAAATTAAAATAATATGTTAGGTGTTTTGTTAGCTTATTATTTTAAAGAAATATCTGAAAATGTAATAGTGTTTGAAAAAAAAAAAATTCAGTGAAAACTTAAGACACCAGCAGTACACGTATATTTTAAAACGTGCCTTCGACCTCTCACCTATCCTGAAATATTAGCCTCAAGCGAACAATAGTTTCTGTCGACAAAGCATAGCAGCCTATCGTATTTTTAACCCCCCCCCCCCACAAACACACATAAATATACACGCACGGTCCCAGCACACACACACCCACTCGCACACATACATGTACACAAACGCGCGTGTATCAACGACGTATCCCCCCCACACACACACACAATCTCACACTAGCTCAGCTTCTCTCATACAGTGTAATGTTTCCTCCTAAATACAATCTTTCCATCTACCTCCCTGCCCCTTCCCCCATCCTTCTCCCTCCCCTATTCTATGTTGTCCATGTATCAGAGGCCTGACCACAGCTTCCTTCTCACACACCAAATCTCCCCACGAAGACAACTAATGAAAAGATTACACTAATCTTCTCAAGCCATTCACCAGGTTAAGCTTCAGTGCATCTAGAATGTAAACACAACACACCAATCCACTTACCACAGAATGTCTGCTATATCCACAGTATCCGCACAATCCACATGGACCATACACAATCTGATTTCACTTTAAAACAGCGGTTAAAACGGACTTCGTTCTACTTGACTCAGCCACTCTCTCCTTCTGTCCTTCCCTCCTCAAATCACTCTCCCTCCTGTTCGATGCGCTCACCCTCCCATCCCTCGCGCGTCATTGATCGACTCACGAATGCACGCGCCTGCCGCAGTGGTCGCACTCTGAAAATTGTTTCACATTCTCTCCTGGCTTTTTCCGGAGTCACGCTGCAGCCCCCACCCCTGCACCCCCACCCCCACGGGCTGCCTAGAGTCACGACTTTGTCTTGTTCCCTTATTATCTCCCTGTGTTGTGGACAACTCCGTCTTAGCTCCCCTTGTAGTTCGAGCTGTTTCTCCGGCCCGCCGCTTTAGAGGCACAACAGCGAGAAAAACAGCAGCCAAGTTTGAGAGGTTTGCTAAAGGCTTTTACATCTTGCCGTCATTGTTAATCATGTTCGGGGGAGGTAGAAATGCGCTTTTAGATGACAAGGCAAAATACACGCAGATTTAGAAGACAACAAGAAAAAATACACGCAGATTTAGAAGACAGCAGATTTAGAAGACAACAAGGCAATACACCTGCAGATTTAGAAGACAACAAGACAATATACCCGCAGATTTAGAACACAACAAGACAATATACACGCAGATTTAGAAGACAAGACAATATACCTGCAGATTTAGAACACAATAAGACAAATTACTCGCAGATTTGATTCAACGTCAGACTTACGGTCGTACATTTTGGACTTGTGAAGCGCAGTGATATTGTTTCAAAATTTTTAATGGAAAGTTATTGGATTCTTTTGTTCGATTCTTCTATTATCACAAAAAAACTATCAAGACACATTTCTAAAATTGATAAGTGACTTACGTTTATAAGTAAAAAACAAAAACAAAAAACAACAGTTAACATTTTTCGCTCTTATCTCTTGAGTATGGCTTTTGTTGGACCATAATATTTGGGTCCATAACGTCGAAGATACCGAGAGTTTGCTGTGTTCCTCCATGTGTCAGATCCACTACAAAAGCTGCAGGGGACCGCCGTGTTGTTACACGCCAAATTAGATACAGGGACGGCCTCTCGGGAAGATAACTCCGGCAGATAATCTCTGGCACTCTAGAACAATCTCTAGGTAACTTTAGACCGTGACCTTTCCTCGGTTTGGTAAAGGTGAACAGAAGTAAGCAGTTTGAACCAGGTGTGTGTTCGTCAATATTAGGCTGATGTGAATTACAGTTCGCTACGTTAACTTAAACAACATAGAAATCGCGGCTCTCTCGTAAAGGATCGTGCATAAAATATATAACACAAAAATAAGCCACTCAACGCACCCATTACGCTGTTTGACGTATTATAATATTTACATAGACCACCACCCCTCACAATATAAAAAACTCAGGCTTATCATAACACTGCCTTATAACAATTCTCTAGAGTCGAGTCTATACCTGCCCCACTACAGCACGTAACTCGATATTACGAAATGATACACCCTCCCTACCAACTTTTTGTTATATAATACGCAGAGTTCTTTCAGGCCTTTTCAGGTTCTTTCTGTGCCACCTCCAGAAGATGACGCATTTAGCATGACGTGATAAAGATACGTAGATCTCTGGAATTGTGTGACCAGTACAATGACCACGCCTTTACCACCTATACACAGACCTCGAGAATGTTTACTGGACAAAACTCGTGTAAAGCTGCAGGTGCAGATACAATCGTTATCACGTGACCAGCAGGTTTAGCAGGTGAGCGATTCCCTATGACCCCTTAACCCCCGTGAACCCATCTCATCAAAAAAGATCCAGACACAAGCCCACAACACCCAATTGTACACTCAACTGTAGACACAAGCCCACAACATCACATTGCACACTCAACTGAAGACACAACTCCACAACATCTCATTACACACTCAACTGCAGACACAAGTCCACAACATCTCATTACACACTCAACTGTAGACACAAGCCTACAATATCACATTGCACACTATACTGCAGACACAAGTCCACAACATCTCATTACACACTCAACTGTAGACACAAGATCTCATTACACACTCAACTGTAGACACCAGCCCGCAACATCACATTGCACACTATACTGCAGACACAAGTCCACAACATCTCATTGCACACTCAACTGTAGACACAAGATCTCATTACACACTCAACTGTAGACACAAGCCCACAACATCACAACGTACACTCAACTGTAGACACAAGCCCACAACATCACAACGTACACTCAACTGTAGACACAAGCCCACAACATCACATTGCACACTCAACTGCAGACACAAGTCCACAACATCTCATTACACACTCAACTGCAGACACAAGTCCACAACATCTCATTACACACTCAACTGTAGACACAAGCCTACAATATCACATTGCACACTATACTGCAGACACAAGTCCACAACATCTCATTACACACTCAACTGTAGACACAAGATCTCATTACACACTCAACTGTAGACACCAGCCCGCAACATCACATTGCACACTATACTGCAGACACAAGTCCACAACATCTCATTACACACTCAACTGTAGACACAAGCCTACAACATCACATTGCACACTATACTGCAGACACAAGCCCACAACATCTCATTACACACTCAACTGTAGACACAAGATCTCATTACACACTCAACTGTAGACACAAGCCCACAACATCACAACGTACACTCAACTGTAGACACAAGCCCACAACATCACAACGTACACTCAACTGTAGACACAAGCCCACAACATCACAACGTACACTCAACTGCAGACACAAGCCCACAACATCACAACGTACACTCAACTGTAGATACAAGCCCACAACATCACAACGTACACTCAACTGTAGACACAAGCCCACAACATCACAACGTACACTCAACTGCAGACACAAGCCCACAACATCACAACGTACACTCAACTGCAGACACAAGCCCACAACATCACAACGTACACTCGACTCTCAACTCCCAACCAGCTACATTTCTAATTCAATACCAGACACAACAACAACCCTTAGATTACATAACCAGACACAACAACAACCCTTAGATTACATAACCAGACACAACAACAACCCTTAGATTACATAACCAGACACAACAACAACCTTTAGATTACATAACCAGACACAACAACAACCCTTAGATTACATAACCAGACACAACAACAACCCTTAGATTACATAACCAGACACAACAACCCTTAGATTACATAACCAGACACAACAACAACCCTTAGATTACATAACCAGACACAACAACCCCTTAGATTACATAACCAGACACAACAACCCTTAGATTACATAACCAGACACAACAACAACCCTTAGATTACATAACCAGACACAACAACAACCCTTAGATTACATAACCAGACACGACAACAACCCTTAGATTACATAACCAGACACAACAACAACCCTTAGATTACATAACCAGACACAACAACAACCCTTAGATTACATAACCAAACACAACAACAACCCTTAGATTACATAACCAGACACAACAACAACCCTTTGATTAAATAACCAGACACAACAACAACCCTTAGATTAAACAACCAGACACAACAACAACCCTTAGATTACATAACACACGGTGTAACATGAACACATTATTACATACTACCAGGGCTATCAGCATCCCTGTATTATATAACTAGATCCAACATCAACATGTACTTGAAACTTCACCAAGTCTATTAGAACACCTAACCCAACAAAATCCTGGACAAACGCTCTTGTTGTTAAATCTCGTTTAATTTATTTTCAAAAAGAAAACACAATAATAGATTTGAAATATCTTATTAAAACATTGGCTGTCTGCTTCTCTAATTACTTAATTACAATTTTTACCGTGTTTATTTTATTTGATTAAAATCGATTTTTCTCAAACTGGATCTTTGTCTTGTCCCCGTGTTCTAGTTTTGTCGAACAGATCTTGTTCTCTTGTTATTTGTGTCTAACTGATTTTGTTCTCTTGTTATTTGTGTCTAACTGATCTTGTTCTCTTGTTATTTGTGTCTAACTGATCTTGTTCTCTTGTTATTTGTGTCTAACTGATCTTGTTCTTTTGTTATTTGTGTCTAACTGATCTTGTTCTCTTGTTATTTGTGTCTAACTGATCTTGTTCTCTTGTTATTTGTGTCTAACTGATCTTGTTCTCTTGTTATTTGTGTCTAACTGATCTTGTTCTCTTGTAATTTTTTTAGATTGATCTTGTTTGCATGTCATTCTTCTTTTGTCAGAATAATCCTGTTCTCGTATTATTTTTGTCAAAATAATCTTTTATTTCTTCATATTATTCTATTTTTGTCATGTTGGAAACGATGATAGTCTCCTTCTATTATTCTCATTTGATTATTAAAGTGGAAAGTGGAATCGTATTTACTAATTATACACAGTCGCGTATTCATACCTGTGCTCATTTTGTTCATAACCATGTCACCTATTGTCATTAGTGATGTCATCTCTATATTTATTGTTAAGATGTTCCTCAACTTGTCATTTCTTGTCATTTGGTACCTCATCTCATGTCGTCTGTTATGAAACATTATGAAACATTATGTCATCTGTCCCCTCTATATTGGACATAGGGTTGATTCGAATAGTCATCAGTGAAAGTCAACCTCAACAGAAATTTGCAATGCCCATCATATAAATTTTTTTATATTATGACGATGAACGACTTTGTCACAATTTTTAGTAATCTGTTTCTAAATTGCCACATGACAACGTTTAATGAGGAGTGTATTGATTACTTTTAATTAATTAAAATCTGCTCCCAGTAATGTTGTACGCTGCCGGGCTGTGTGTGTGCCCCCCCGTCCCCGTCCCCATTCATTCACGACCCTCCCACGCACCCACATTTACTCCCCGCCTTAGGTTCCGTTTTAATGGGATTAATTTCTATTTCAATGCTCGCTTTTTACAAGAACTATTACATTAAGAAGACGTGGGAATCAAAATGTGCGGGTGGGTGTCTTTGTTTCGTAACGTTTTTTTTTCCACTGTAGTTAAAATTTTATATTACCCAGTTTTAAAATTTTTATGAGTTTTTGTTTTCCTGGGCTTGGTGACGCAGGAGCGTGGGAGGTGTGTTAGTGTGGGGGAGATGTGTAAGTGTGGGGGAGATGTGTAAGTGTGGGGGAGGTGTGTTAGTGTGGGGGAGGTGTGTTAGTGTGGGGGAGGTGTGTTAGTGTGGGGGAGTTGTGTTAGTGTGGGGGAGGTGTGTTAGTGTGGGGGAGGTGTGTTAGTGTGGGGGAGTTGTGTTAGTGTGGGGGAGGTGTGTTAGTGTGGGGGAGGTGTGTTAGTGTGGGGGAGGTGTGTTAGTGTGGGGGAGGTGTGTTAGTGTGGGGGAGGTGTGTTAGTGTGGGGGAGGTGTGTTAGTGTGGGGGGTGTGTTAGTGTGGGAGAGATGTGTTAGTGTGGGGGAGGTGTGTTAGTGTGGGGGAGGTGTGTTAGTTTGGGGGAGGTGTGTTAGTGTGGGGGAGGTGTGTTAGTGTGGGGGAGGTGTGTTAGTGTGGGGGAGGTGTGTTAGTGTGTGGGAGGTGTGTTAGTGTGGGGGAGGTGTGTTAGTGTGGGGGAGGTGTGTTAGTGTGGGGGAAGTGTGTTAGTGTGGCGGAGATGTGTTACTAATGAATCTTGTAAAGAAAATATTCAATTATATTAGTAAGCATTTTATGGTTCTTGGGTGGTAAATGTTAAATCATGAGGATAAAAGAAGAAAGAAAGATGACTATTTTTTTTTTAATTACCGGATAGCGATTTAAAATTTTTATTTTTCTTGTTTGGTATGTTTTTTCATACATTATATTCATCTTTCGGAATATTTTAATGAGACTAAATGGTTGCATCAGTCTCTGGGACCATGTCGTTACACTGGGCTCTAGTCTTTAGGACCGCCATGTCGATAGTCTGTAGAACCACATGTCTGTAGCACCCCAACCCAGTAGCCTGTAGGACCCCATATCGCTAGTCTTTAGCCCCCCCCCTACATATTGCTAGCCTGTAGGACCCCAATGTCTGTAGCACCCCCAACCCGGTAGCCTGTAGGACCCCAATGTCTGTAGCACCCCCAACCCGGTAGCCTGTAGGACCCCAATGTCTGTAGGACCCCCAACCCGGTAGCCTGTAGGACCCCCATATCTGTAGCACCCCCAACCCGGTAGCCTGTAGAACCCCAATGTCTGTAGGACCCCCATATCTGTAGCACCCCCTACCCGGTAGCCTGTAGGACCCCAATGTCTGTAGGACCCCCAACCCGGTAGCCTGTAGGACCCCCAAATCTGTAGCACCCCCAACCCGGTAGCCTGTAGGACCCCCATATCTGTAGGACACCCCCCCCCCCATGCCTGTAGGACCCCCATGCTGAACAAATAATTACACCTGACATCAAGCAATACGTTAACCCACCTGACAGGTAATCAGCCGAAGAAAACCTGCTGGTGCCTAAAATAAAAGAATCCCCACAGAACAGATGGAACCACATATACGTGGTAGTGAGCACATTCAACCCCCTAGTTCTGGGAGTCATGCAGCTCCCGTATATGTGCTTTACCATCTCATCTGTATGTCATAAAATGTTCTAGTAGGCATCCAGCTCACATCTATGTGCCATACCACAGTTCTCGAGTCACATATATCACATCTATATGTCATAAACGGAAATCTTACACATCACATATAGTTCTAGGAGAAACGTTGAACACCTGCAACAGTGATGCTATTTATCAACCGAGCAGTTCGCTAGCGGCCATCTGCTGTGTTTAACAGACACCATTACAGCGCGGATGTTTTTATTCTCTCTGCGGGTGGGATACATTTAATGTATTTAAAGTTGGGTTGTTGTTTTTTTTTTAATCTACCATTAAGAGATTTTATTTTTAAATAACCACTGATACAAAAATTTATGTCAAGGTACGTAACTCAAAAAATGTGTGTAATGGTAGGTAACTCCTAGACCGTTAACGACAATGGTGTAAGTGTAAGTTTAAAACGTAAATGCTTTAGTGATGCTGAAGAATGGCCGGTGATTGTTGTACATTTTTTTTTATTTTGAGAATAATGTTTTTTTTTTTTTTAAATTAGGATCATAAATGGCAATAGATTAGCAACAATGGAAACCAGCTATGCACTTAGCCATAGCATCTTAGCTTTCACCAACACGAGTCAGGTACCAATCACACCTGGGTGGACTTGGGGAGTCGAGTCTGGTATAATGGGAACTTGAGCAGTGGTGTGCTCTACTTCTCGACTATTCTGTCCCTTATAGGTGGATGGCCATAAGACTAATTACACATTCCCTTCATATGCTGAGGTCAAAGAAACGTAAACTCTACTTCATCTGCCCGATTTGCTGTCAGGTCCAAAAGAGTTTTTAAAATGTGTGGAAGTAAAACTAAATCATGTAGTGACAGCTAACTTCCAAACCATTAAATCAACCAGTCCTGAGCCCTTATAAAACTAAATCATGTAGTGACAGCTAACATTCAAACCATTAAATAAACTAACCCTGAGCCCTTATAATTAATATATAAAGATTTTTTATTCAGTTAAAGCTTTAGAATATTGGGCCATTCTGCTAAAAAACTAATACTGAAATAACATTAATAGCAACACTCCTGTAAATTAATCAATTTAATAAAATAGATAAAGATAATGAGGTTAATCGATGACAGAACATAAAACTAAGAAACATACTTTATGCAATAGTTAACTTTTTTTTTGTAAAATTAAAGTAGTTCAGAGTTGGATATAATCCAAAAAATATTGTACAGTAAATAATATTCGTTGGATAAAAAAATAAATAATTTGCAATTCTTTAACATTAGGATTATATTTTTTATCATCAGCAGATAGTTTCTGAGTTTTTCAACAGATCAACTACATATGTGGTGACTAAAAACATTTTTTTAAACCACCACAACAAACCAGCAATACGTGTGATATAGTATAGTGATATTGAACTTAGCTTATAAAACAACGCAACAGATTACAGTGATTGAATAATTTCTAGCCAGGATACTGATGCACTTCTCCATAAGAATTAAAAACATAGAATGGAAATGGTTATTATAGATATGTAACTTTTATGCTTTTCTTGATTAAAAAAAAGTAAGCAACATATTTATAATTTGTATAACAAATTACATTACATTTAAACATGATAAAGATATGTTTAATTATTTTAAACATAAGAAAAGCACTAAGGAACAAAGTTTAAATAAAGAACTTAAAAGACAAAAAAAAAAAAAAAAAATTTAAGTTTGTAATATGGCAGTTATCACAAGAATACAATTTTAAAATGTAAACTATATTAAGTGGAATTAAAATGACTATGACTAGCAAACAAAGGCAAAATACAAGATTGTAGATAATTAAGGCATGTTACATGACCACGTGAAGTTGTTCATACATTTAATGTAGGATCAAACATTTAAAACAAATAAAGGCTAACATCAAAGGAAATTATTTTTGGTGTATGCTGTAGAAATAAACAAAAGTAGTACATCTATGAATTCAGCAGTATTTTCTAATTCAATGAGATTCTAGTAAATAAATCTAAAATAAAACAACTATAAAATTTAAAATATTTTTTTAACATTCTATGAGCCGGCTTTGATCAGTTAACAATTTTCAAGGCTGTTTAGCTCACAAGTTTTAAACTGTTTATCGCACACGTTTTAAACTATTAAGCTCACAAGTTTTGAATTGATTAGCTCAAAAGTTTTAAACGGTTTAGCTTAGATGAACTGTAAGCATCCCAATTTATCACATACAATTCTGATAACTTAATAAAGTGTCTTTTCAAAATTTATTTTAACAAGTTTTACTATTTGTTCTTGCACAACAATATCAAAAGTGACAATTTTTCAGTATGATTGTATTAAAACAGAGAAAAGCTTGATAACACAAAGATTAAGATATTTGCTACAATAAATCAATATTTTAAAACTGTATACTACAAATAGATTAAACTTAATTTATCATAACAGCATTAAGGCACAGTTTCAATATAAAAACCTGTTATTCCTGAATAGCTTAAGTATTTTTTTTTCTGCAGTGGCTGAACACAATATAACACCCCACCAGGGTTTTAAAAAAAGAGGTCTTTCATCAAAATCATTTCATAAACAAATCACAATTACTTGCTGCAAAAGATGTTTAGCACAATGACCTGATTTAATTGGCAAAAATATCCCCGATAGGCAGCCAAATATTTTTACAGCTAGTGGAGTGGTAGAGTAGATCCTATAATGACAATAATTTGCTGCAAAAGATGTTTAGCACAATGAACTGATTTAATTAGCAAAAATATCCCCCATAGGCAGCCAAATATTTTTACAGCTAGTGGAGTGGTAGAGTAGATCCTCGCCTTGCCCCTGCTCAGGGCTGAGGAAGTCCCTCTCCACATCATAACTGACCCAGGTGCGCTTTAAGTTCCCTGCCGATGCTGCCTCAACAAACTTGGACCCTTCAGCTGATCCAAAGTACCACAAGGCGTTGACATCATGATGCTCAGCCAAAGATTTTGTCAGGACATTTTTGTCACCTGTCATTATGTTTACAACTCCACCTGGTACATCTGAGGTTTCAAGGATCTGGTCGGAAATTGACAAAAGAGATTCAAATTAAACTATTCAGAAAAGTGCACAAGACATAACAAGTTTACCTGACATGACAAGTGTGCCTGACATGACAGACAATTGTACCTGACATGACAGACAGGTGTACTGGACATGACAGGTGTACTGGACATGACAGACAGGTGTACCTGACATGACAGACAGGTGTACCGGACATGACAGACAGGTGTACCTGACATGACAGACAGGTGTACCGGACATGACAGGTGTACCTGACATGACAGACAGGTGTACCTGACATGACAGACAGGTGTACCGGACATGACAGGTGTACCTGACATGACAGACAGGTGTACCGGACATGACAGGTGTACCTGACATGACAGACAGGTGTACCGGACATGACAGGTGTACCTGACATGACAGAAATGTAGCCTACCTGATGGAAGCTAAGAGCAGCAAGAGGGTATTTCTCACTGGGTACAGCAATCACAGCATTTCCACGGGCTATGGCAGGGGCAATAAGGGAGATAAATCCTAGGAAAGGAAACTTTTCAGGGCACACAATTCCAACAACTCCAACTGGTTCATGTTGTAACACTGTATATCCATAGAAGGGAGTTTCCTGGGATGTAAACAAACAATAAAGTGTATGTGTATGTACATTTTGATGGTAAATATAGATCACAAGACAATTGTAAAAGGTGGTTTTACCTGTAAAGACCCTCCATATTTATCACAATATGCAGCCCAATAGAAGAGCCTCTGTATGGCTGTTTCAACTTCCTGGACAGCCTCACTTTCAGCCTGACCTGTTGAGGCAACCAGAAGTTGGACCAACTCTCTCTGACGAGACTGCAAGTTCTCAGCTATGTAGTACATGATCTGTGCCTTCCCATGACCCTCCTTTCTGCCCCAACTGAAGTTGAAAAGCTATGATAGTTTATTCTTTATGTTTTAAGTTTAAAGTGTTTTGTCTTACAAAAAATGTTCTTAAAAGATGATATACAGAAGATAATGACGATAATGGCAGAAGTTGTTGTACCTGGAAGCTGCCTTGACCGCCACTTCCACAGCATTCCTGATGTCCTTGCGACCCCCATCAGGGACATAGCCCAACACCTCACCCTTGTGGCTGAGTGCAGGGATACTAGCACCAGAGTCTGGCCGCTTCTGTCCCCCACCATAAAACAACTTGTAGGTTTTGTCAATGCTAAAATAAACCATTTTAGATAAATAAGCATTTGAAAATGGACATTTTCCCACCCACAATCATATTCTTATCAGGGTTCCTACACCAAAGTTAACTTGAAATTCCAGGAGAATTCCAGGAGTTTTCCAGGAGAAAAAACCAAAATTCCAGGACATAATTTAACCTATTAAAAAGCAACGACTCAACCCCGCGCTGAATGGGAGTTTGACAGTCCTTAATTAGGAAGTGGTCTTTATAAAATGCTATGAAGCATAGCATTTGTAATTTTTAAAAGTAACTGTTTCTAAACCATTTAGTTTAGTTAAAATAGATTCAATTTTGCACGCCACCCCTCCCATTTATAAATTGTTATTCAAAAAATTGCTATCTCTCCTTTCTCTCCTCCCCCCTTTGGAAAATTTGGTGACACTTTTTACCAGTCACTATCCTGTTACAATTTTTATCTTTGTACTACATAATTGAGGTAGAGAAAAGTTGAATCAGTGTGTAGTCTTGTAGCAGTTTCTTTTCTTAACTTTGACTCTGTATAATTCAATACTTCAGCATAAAATGAGCTTTTTGTAAACAAAAATGTTATCCCTTTTCATCAGCCCCCCCCCCCCCCCACTTATGCCAATGAGTAGTTAAATATATAAATGTGACACTTCTTAAACAACTAAATAACACTGAACAGTTCTTCTTTATTATCCCACCCACCCACCCCCCAAAAAAAAGTAAAATTTCACAACTTTAAAAATATTAGAAAACAATTTCAGCAATAAACTAATTTAAAATGTTAATCAATTATATGTTTGCACTTTTGTTTTCAATTCAATGATTACTGAAATAGTGTGAGTAAATTCACTTAGTAAAATAATTATAAATTAATTCAGATGTTTGCTACTGAGAAACATATTGAGCCTAGCAATCATAGCTATATCCCAGTGTCAAGTGACATAACCCCTCACCAATGTCATCAACGGTACTAACAATGTCAATTGTAAACAAACAGAACAGCTGCAACCATGTCTTGTCTTTTAAAAATGGACATGGCATTGTGATTTAAATGGGAGTCTTAAACAGTAAATAGCCTAACTGTAATTTTAACTTTTTATCATTTGATGAACAAGTAGACCAACCTGAGTAGGTTAGATTTGTCCTACTAAAAATAAACTCTATTTTGGAAACGTCGCGCTTTTTTGACGATTTTTACCCTCCCCCCCTCCTGCCCACTTCGTCACAAAAAGCCAGACCCCCCCACCCCTAAAATGACGTCACACCTCAGCCTACAACCCCTCTCAAAATTGATGTTGATTTTTTCTTAAAACATCGATATTTTCCAAAATCTTGTCAGAACGCCGTCAACATAGAGTATTTTGATCAATTCCTATTACAATTTATTAAAACAGTTTTCTTAAACGGAAATAACGGCTAAAATTCATTTTCTAACATTGCTTTTTATGATGCAAAAGTGTGACGTCCCACCATCTGAACCCCCCCCCCCCCCGCATCACACACCGTCACAAAATTACGGACCCCCCTCCCCCTACGAGTGTGACGTCATTTATGGACGACCCCTAATACTTGAAAAATTTAAAATATTTCAGCCAAAAATAGAATTTCAGATAGTTTTTTTTTTTTTTGCCGGTAGCGTATTTTTTTTCCTCCAGCTAGACACCGTCGCGCGGGGTCAGTTTGAGTTCATCTAAGATTCTAAGCTTACAGTTGGCCTGTAGTACACTGCTGATGACATCACTAGCGGGTCACACAGAGTTCACTTCAGGTACCCAACCAGCGGTCCTCCCTCCCCCACCCTGTCGTGGGAAAGAAACTGAGATGCGGGATGGGAGGGTGGTAGTATTACAACTCGCATGTAAAAATAGAAAGTAGATCTAAAGCCTATCGGACTGTAGATTCAAATGGAGGCGAGCGAGTTGACGAGATTCCTTCCATAATGTTGTTGTCATGGAATAAAAACGTGCTTTTTAGATTTAGACCGTAAAAAAAAATAAAAAATAAAAACTTAAGCCTAAAATTAATTTAGAAATTTTATATTCTTACAATAAATGCTATAAAAGTTGCAAATCCAGAGAACTTGAAAATAATTTGTTGAGTTTAAGGCTACATTTCTATTTATTTTCATCAAGCCTAAGTTATAACCGGATGTTTCACTTTCGTAAGACAAATATTGATTGGCTGTACAGTAACTTAGTAATCGATAACTATTTGTTTACAAAACTTTGCAGATCAAGTTTTTAAATTACAATGCAAATTTAAAACCCCATGACCTAGTTTTCTATTTTTAGCTTACAATGTGTACAATAAAATCTATGGCAGCCTATCCAATAGCAGGATGCCATGTTTATGTCGCCATTACACGTGAAAACCAAATTGTTTTTGCTTTTTTTTTTATTTTTATTTAGTTACCGAAAATATTATAAACATCAAATACATCCAATCTTTAGTAAAGTCCGAAAAAAACCAGACAGGCAGGATTTTATAACCATATTAATTGTAAATACGCTGTGCATGATTTTTTAATGAATTTATACACCTCTCAAATACCTTTGAGACTTTTCTCGCTGGTGTCCATTAGCTGCGCAAAAACTAGATTTTGGCCTAGGCCTACTCGAAATTTCCCATTAAAAAAAAAAAGTCACGCCTATTAAACAGAGCTGCAAACATAGATTCCCGCGGCCTCCTGAAATTCGGCATAATGTTAAATTGGAATGTAAACACAATAGTTCACAACTGGAAGTGGAATCCAGAAATCTCTCACAATGACGCAGTCAAAATGAAATATGAATGAACATCCGAAGAATCAAACTCAATAGCTGACACTTGAATAATCGAAGATCCCGCCAGACGGACCCTTATATAGACCAAGGCTAAATCTAGTTTTAAACCAACATCCGATGTGCGCAGAATTTAAAAAAAACGGAAACTCTAAGCGGCGGCGTAAACAAAATACCGAAAATGCACGAAAAATTCACGAAAAATTCGTTACGCGCGAAAATTCCAGGAGATTTTTCAAAATTCCAGGAGAATTAAGTAGAAATTTTGAAATTCCAGGAGAATTCCAGGACTTTTGGTTTTTTTTCAAATTCCAGGAGAATTCCAGGACATCCTGGAATTTCAGGAGGCCGCGGGAACCCTGTCTTATTTTTAAATAATTTTGATTTAATAAGGGGTAATTAGTGTTATTTTTTCTTGAAGTAATCAAGTACAAGTGATTTGAATTAACTAATTATCAATCAATTACCTGGGCTGATTGTCTTGAGAACCACTGACTTGAGTACCAGGTAATGGATCAGCTTTAACAGTAGCTCCAAATTTCTTCATGTCTACAGTAATATTTGCCCCACTGGGTACATTCAGCCACGATGGCTGCACATACTCGTAGAGGCACTGTGGGGATAAAACAGATACAACTCATAAGCTGGGGAGTTCCGTTTCTTTCAGGTTGGGGCACAAACATAATAGACAAAATATATGATATAAATTAAAAAATATATACTTATAATTAAAGAAATGGAAAATTATGTAAAATGTAATTTTATTTACTTTTCTATTATAATAAAATGAGTAAGTTATAGCCTACTTTTAATGATTTAACAACTGCTAGGGGTAAAAACAATAATTGTTATATGACAGGAAACTTTAAGTGTAACAAAACAAAGAAATGTAGGTCACCTCTTTCCCTCCACTCCTACCAAACCCACTGCTCTTGTTACCACCAACACCAGAGGCTGCGTCAAAAATATTCTGTGTGTTGACCCAAACTGTCGCAACCTGCAGCTGACTGGCTGCCTCTAAGGCCACGCTAATGTTCTCTGTCCACAGGCTAGCAGAGGTACCGTACACGGAGTGGTTAGCCAGGACTAGTCCTTCCTTCACTGTACGAAATGGTACAGCAACTAGGAGAGGTCCACTCACCTGGGGCAAATATAAAAATTGGGTTTGTAACATCAGGAAAAAAATCACATGTGTTTGCGATATAAGAAATTTAAAATCAGTCTATCACTTACAGAGAGAAAATTTAAAAGTATTCTTAAAATAAAGAATTACAAATTAGCATTTTAGTCACTTTGGGAGTAAACATTTTAACCTCAAATTAAAGGGAAAAAAAAACATGCTTTCCTTCACAAATAGGGTGAAAGATTAAACCACCATTTAGCTCTAGAGAATGGAGACAAAAAGTAAGAAAAATTTTGTGAGCATTTGTACTTTTAATAAATTAAGTATTGATACTTTCTATGACTGCACTGGAGTGGCCACAAAAACTGATGACTAGTTTAAATGCTCTGATGAACATTGTAGGTATTAAAGGCCTGTCGGTAAAAAAAAAACCAACTTTAAATTACCTCTTCTAGATATGCCTGAGATGATGTCTGGATCCCTGTGATTAGAGTTGGAGGGAAGTAGTTCTGGTTATTGGGTGCTGAGGCATCTGGTCTGTACACCTTGTAGGTTAAAACAATTTTTAAAAAATTAAATATTTAAAAACAACCGGTCGTGTAAAATAAACTAGCCCACCTTTCCCCAACAAAAAATAAACTTCATGTACAGGTAAACTAGCCCACCTTCCCCCTTGACAAAAATTAAAATGAACACGTAAACTAGCCCACCTTTCCTCCTTCTGACTGGGCACTTTGGACCAGAGCTTCCAACTGAGAGACAACCTGTGGGTCAGTGAGTGGACCCTGGTCATTGTTTTTCTCTAGGTTATCTCCCACTGTTAACTTAGAGATCTTAAGCTCCAGCTTTTTTATCAGAGAGTTGTACACAGGCTCCTGGATTAGTAGTCTTGACCCTGCATGGTTGGACTGTCAGACATAACAGAAATAAACCTAACTAGGGTATGATAGTTATCATTATTACAGTACTTCTCATGTAAGTATTGGTAAATACAAAATACACAAGTAATTGTAGTTTATCTTTTTGTGTGGTATAGTGTTGTAAGAGTGGAATGCCCATTTATATTACCTGGCCATTGTTAAAGAAAGCTGCCTCTGTGATCCCTTCTACAGCACTGTCTAAATCAGCATCTTCAAACACTAAGATAGGGGACCAGCCTGAAAGCTCTAGAGACAGACTTTTACCCAAACCTGCAGTCAAAGTTCTCACTTTTTTACCTGACTATGAAAAAGTTGAATTTTAATTTGTGTAAGCATAAACTTAAAACACTGTGAAAAAAATTAAAACAGAATGTACTTACACTGACAGAACCTGAGAAGGCAACTTTTTTAACCTCAGGATTGGTGATGAGAGCATCAATGGAGGAGCCAGTCACAACATTGAGCACACCTTTTGGCAGCCCAGCCTGGGCACAGACCTGGGCAAACAGCAGGGCACTCAGGCGTGTCTTGGTGGATGGCATCACGACAACAGTGTTTCCCATGGCCAGAGCTGGAGCAGCTCGACTGGCAAGCTGCATCAGAGGGAATGTTCCATCAGGGAGGACAGCCACAACTCCTGTAGACATTGATTAGCATTAGAAAATCATTAAATAACAGAATACAATATGTAGGACTCAAGCTGAAAAAGCCTAATCTGTAAGATAATCCAAATAAAAATATAGACTGTGTCTAGCTCCAAGTTCTTTCACAGAATAAATGTTTAAAATTATTATGGACTAACAGGCTTGCTAAGCAGTTTGTTTTCTATTTACTTGACTTATTAAAAAAAAGTATTTCCTATTTTTTTAAATCATCAGAGTTATTAGCCTTGGGTAAAAAGTCAAGCAAAGAGACCAAAGGAAGAGTGATGTGCACTGACCATATGGCTTCCATCCTATCATTTCTTTATCTCTGAGTTGAGCCCAGCCAGCAAAGTGATAAAACTGTCTTATAATGGCTGGGATATCAACATTCTTTGTCTCCCTTGTTGGCTTCCCAGCATCAATTGCTTCTACAACAGCTATTAAGGACTGGTGCTTCTGGAGGTTTCTGGCGATGCTGAAAATTTAAGAAAATAGTCACAGTTATGATTTAGGGCATATTAAATTTTAATTTTTTATTACAACATATATTTAAAGTATATTTAAACATTTACAAATTATTTTTTATAGAAACAATGAATTTAATTATAATTGTCAATTTATAAACAAAAAAATTCTGTAAACATGTTAAAAACAACCCTTTGAGCCCGCCTCAACATTAGGCATATACCTAATAAACCGGCTTCAACATTAGGCATATATGTCCGAAAAGCCGGTTTTCCGGCCCGATGATCTAGCGTCATATTCCTAGCGGCCGGTATACCGTCTAATTAAATATGATTAGCGGAAGACTGACTAAAACTGCGCATATGTCTTTTGAGTGCGGGATTATGATTTTAAAAATTGATTTTTATGAAAAGTGAAAGTGTTTACATTTCGTAGCAATGCTGCCGGAACAAAAAGCTGAGCCACAGCCGTTGACTTCATCACATAAAGTTGGTGCAAAAGTTGAAGCAAAAGACCGAAATATCAACAAAAGAAGTAGAATGACTGCATCTCAGGCAATACAACTACTTATTGATTCTGATGAAGAAGATAATATTCCTGGTCTATATTGTGATCATAGTGACGTTGAATTTGAGACTGAACACAGTGACATTGAAATTGACAGTGACAATGAAACTGTTCAAGTACGTTCTGATGCATGTGGTGTCAAGGACAAAGACTTGCCGAAATGAAAAAAAAATGATTACCGGTGCAAAACATGCGAAGTTTTTCTTTGCATCGGGTCCGGCAGTGGTAACTGTTTTGTAAGTTATCACACAAAAGTGGACCTCTGGCGTTGAACTAGTATGGCCAAGTATCAGTAATAATAAAACAATTACTAAATTTAAATTGATTTCTTCTATGTTCTATCAAAACAATAATTATGTGTTCGTTTTATATACATTGTTCTGCTCAAACATTGTAAAAAAATAAAGATTTTCAGAATATTGCTGCATTGTTGTTTGATCCTGAGTCTGGATACCAAATTTGGCTTGATTATCTCAAACGGTTCAAAAGTTATAGGCAAAGTTAGAAGCAGATAAGTGAAAATTGGTTTGGGCCTGGGAGCTCAGGAAATGGGAGAAATTAGGCCAGGGAGGCCAGGGCTCAAAGGGTTAAAAACAAATAAAATATAGGTTTTGCTGTTTCATTGTCTTAATTCACATTAGTAAAATGGAAAAGTTATATTAATGGTAATTAGATAGGGGCTGCACGGCCGGATGGTAGAGCTTACGAGTGCTAATCTGAAAGTCTAAAGTTTGGATCCCCGGATAGAGTCTGTAGGACATTCTTTAGTCCACCTAGCTATGATGGGTACTTGATTCAATTTGGGAAAAAACAGCGACTGGGCTTAGAGCTGACCACACTAGCCTCATGTAGGCAGAGATCATTGAAACAGATGAACTCTACTTCATCTGCCCCATGTGTCTTGTGCACGCAAAGATGGTGAATTAGATTGGTAGCGTTATTTTAAAGATACCTGTAAAGGTAACGGGATCTGACATCTGGTGAGAGAGAACTCCATGTACTGAAAGCTTGTGAACTAGAACTTACAGCTTCATAAATATCACTGCTTGTGGCTTCTAGAGTAACAGCCAGTATCTCACCTACCGATTAAAAGACATTTTTAGGGCTTCAAACTTCTTACCTTTTAATTAAATATTCTACAAGATTATAATTTATTTTATATAATTTCCACAAATTGTAGTATAAAAAAGTAATAAATATTAATGAACTAGCCTAACAGTTTACTTTTAAATGTGTTAATACAATAATAGCATCAATAATGAATTAACTAGAATCTAGATATCTTTGATTTAATGACAAATTCAGATAAACATTCAGATAAACATACCAGTAGGTTTTCTAGATTCTACTGTCTGTCTGACCTCAGGATGTACCCACTGACCATTAATAAAATGTCCTAAAGTTTTGTTATTAGCCTCCAACCATTTCTGAAAAAGAAAAGTTTGATTTTACACTTAAACTCTGGTGGGGCTGGGTGATGGATCAGACTTTTGTAACATAAGTGTAATTCATTAAGGTTAAGTGATGATAAACTTGAAATTTAAACTTTATTGTAACAGTTACTTCAAAATTTTATTTTGGTTAATATTTACTATTGTAATTCAGTTTACTTAAGTTTTATGGCTTTAAATTTTCAGGGGAGGGGGCGGACACTGGTAAAGTATATTTTCTATATAAATTCTATTTAGACGTACTTCAAGGGGGCAAGAGTTGCCTGAAAGAAACTCTGAATGGGACTTTTGTCAAGTTTGAGCTTAAGTGCAACATTTAGGGGTATGACTACGACTACATTTAGTATGAATGTGCAGTAACTACATGTAGATCAAGGTTAAAGTTAAATCGGGTGAAAATGCCGGTTCTGGATAAAAATACGTTTTCAATGAAATTTTTCCTTTTCTGGTTAAATTTGAAGATGAGGTGGTGATTTTGGTTTTGGTTTAGAGAAAATGACTACACTATCAACATAGCATAGGTTGTTGCTTGACCTACTTTTTTTTACCATCATCATGGTAATGATGGCTGCTGAAAATGACGATAACGTGATTCTGTTTTTTTAACAATGTTCCATGGTCATTTCAGAAATATATACTTAAAATCTTTATTTTTGCGTAATATTCAATGATACCAGTCTTGTTTTAACAATGGACAATTAGTGTTTGATGCTAACTTGCCATTTGTAAAATTTTTTTGTCTAATCGCTGAGATTATCGAGCAGAACATAATATTAATAATAACTGCTGTACTTAAATCTTGATATTGGTCTACTAAACTGGTATTAAATTAAAGGTAAATAAGCCTAAATGTTTAATAATGTATGTAGGCCCCCAGTTATTAATAAGTAAATTCATCATGAACAATAATGAAGTTTAAAATCTTAGGCGACACCCTAACCCAGCGCACGTCGACGCTAACGGGCCATTTGCCATTTATCTACCTACTACTTATATCATTATATCTACTACCTAGTTGTTATGTAAATCAAGAGTAAATGTATGCACTAAGTCACTAAGTAATGGTGACTATTATATATTTATATATTAGGCCTATATACTTTATACTATATAATATAAATTAAATATATATAGTATATTTAAGTATAGTAAGTATAGGCCTATGTAGTAATAGTATGTAGTAGGTTAAGTAGGTAGATTCTAGATACTAGATGATATTTCGAGTCGACCCTTTGAATCCCGGTCAGAACGACCCCCCGAAAAAATTTTACCGCCCCCCCCCCCCCACGAACGAAATGAAATTTATTTAATTTATATAGAAAATATATACTTTTAACAGTGTCCGCCCCCCCCCCCCCGAAAATTTCAAGTGCCCCCCCCCCCCCCCGGAGAAAAAAGTCTGGAAGAAACACCTGTAGATAAGATTAGGGTAATCTATCGTTTTGGGTACGTAAAATCGCCTGCGGCTATTAATGTACGAAAACGTTACCTCATTGTCAAGGCTGTAATAGAAGTATATTGTGATATGTTTGTGTCAAATATTATAGATAAATGAATAATAAACCTAAATCAATGGCTAAATATATTAATATAGGCCAGAAATTAACTTTAAACATCAGTGTCTGCAAGCAAAATTTGCTATATAAACAGCAGCCATTTGTAAAATAGAGTGACTTCCGCCTGAATCTCGCACTTTAAGTCTATAAAAATAAAACTTTAACCAGATGGCTGCTATAGTAAATGAGCATGGTTGCATCTGTTGGAAACATCGCTGGTGTTCATTTATTACTGAAAAGTTTTAATTCAATTGTTTAAAAACAGGTACATAAATGAAACATTTTTGTATTTTTCAAAACATAAATCCTCCTCAAAATGTGAAATAATTATTAAAATGTAAGGAGTCACCTGTTTTTCACATTACTAGTCGCGGGCGATTTTACGTACCCAAAGCCCAAAGCCAAAACGATTTACCAAGATTAGATAATAGATAGATACGTACCAAAGCAACTGATTCGCCATCTAATGCAGAACCATAAACGAGATCCTCAAAAATCAATTCCACATTACCACCGACTATTGCTCCTGCCATTTTAACAATCTGGATCTAGAATCTATTGTTTTATTATATTTAGATTAGATCTAAGCTTGGGCTAGTTGAGTGCATATGCATGTAGATCTAGATAATCTAGAGGACAAAGGTCAAAGTTAAAAGTATTAAAAAAATCTTTAATTTCAAAAGAGTTACAAAATATCTAATGTTATCTACTTTTTCGAGCAGAAGAGTCTAGAATCTCCAAGGAAAACTTTTACTGATTATCAGAGAAACATTAGATTTTTTTCTATTTCTCTATTCATTAATAGATTAACTGTAGTCGATCTAAATATAATCAGTTATAGACTATCTTATATCCATAATGAACAGTGAATTATTTGATTCTGAAAAGAAAGAAGAAGAAATAGCCAATACATTTTTAAAGCAACTTCTTTTAAGCAAGGTGGGTAAAAAGTAAAAAGTAAAAAATCAACGCTTGCTTGCAGCTTGCTTCAGATTCGAAGTTGATTCATTGATGTTTAGTTGCTTGCCTTGGCTTTGGGCTAGGCTTTTCATAGTTTTTAGTCTACTCAACTCTAAACACTCCAGTACTAGATCTAGAATTCTAGATCTGGCTAGAATATTGAATAGGCCCTCTCATTCTCTAATAAATAGTTGAATAGGGGCCTACTCAGTTAAACTCCATTTAAGCGTATTTTATTCACGTTCACCTCCAGTTGAGCGTATTTTATTATAAATATAATATATAATATAGGCCTAAATGTATTTTATTTTGTATGAATGTGATTTTTAATTAGAAAAGGTTAAATAAAACCATTAAAAAAATAAAAAGCATTAGGACACTTCCAATATTCAATATATATAATATTGAATATTATTAATATTAAATATCCTTACACGGTCGCAGGTTCACCTTGAGTTCACATTGACTTTATTAATTATCAGCATACGTCATAGCTCGGGCAATAGCTGTTTGAAATTGTGTTGGTCTCAGTTTTGGGGTCATTGTAAGTTCTTAAATGTTTATCTATAGTATCATGCCTAGGAGATACTTGTGACAATACAAACTTAGCCTAACCACCTTGCGATTGTGAGGTACGTTTATGTACTTCACAAATTGCCATGAAAATCCTAACTGACACGAACATAGCACATTCAATATTCTAAATTTGTATTTTTCTCAAGTTTTGACAAAAGTAAATTATCAAAATCTAAAACGAAGTCAGTCTCTTTGTTTTTTATTCATTTGTTAAAACAAAAATAAAATACAAAAAATAAATTGTGTTTACCTAATGTTTTTGGTGTTTTCGGTTATTATAATAAAATACGCTCAACTGGAGGTAAACGAGAAGCGGAGAATAAAATACGCTAAACTGGAGTTTTACCTAAAAATCTAGTCCTAGTTTATTTACTTACATGCAGTTCATGCAGGCTTTTTTGTTTACGCCGCCAGCTTCATGCATATTAATTAATAATTATTAATAAATAGGCCTATTAATAATTTTTTACTTAGGCCCATCTAGTACTTACATAAATTACTACTATAGGGTCTCGAGTCTTGGGGGTCGTTTATATAGGTGCTGGACGAGTTGGGTTCAGTCATTATTGTTGACATGGATAAAAAATATTTTACCATCAAAGGGGCCATACAAATAATTAAAAAAAATAAAATTAAGCCTGAAAATAATTCAGGAATTAATTTTTTTTTTAAGTTGCAAATTCAAAGAACTAGAAAATGATTTTTGAGTTTAAGGCTACATTTCTAATTATTTTCATCAAGCCTAAGTCATAACCTGAAGTTTTACACTTCAAAAGACAAACATTGACTGGCTGTACAGTATAGTAACTCCATGATCGATCTTCTGAAAACCCCCACGTCATTTTGATTTTAATATGGGGGGGAGGACTGTGACATTCCGCTAAAGCATTTAAAAGAAAAGTAATGTTTTAAACTGAATTTTAGCCATTTTCTCTTAGCATTTTTGAAATTTTTTTTTTTTTTTTTACGGGTTTGAAGTCAATTTCTTATTTTCATGTTTACATTTCAGGAAAACAAAACTGCTACAGAAACTCAGAATGGAGGAATACCCACGATAACAATTAAACCAAAGCCAGGTTTGCTATAATGTTTATCTATATGCTGTATAAAAGAAACTGTGTGGCCCAGAGATAGAGTGCTGGATTGCTAACTCGAAAGTCTTGAGTTTGAACCTTAGGTCAAATCAGTAGAATGTCTCTGAGTCCATCCAGTGCATACTGGAAGATATCCACTAGATTGGCTAATAATCTAGATCAGGAATCTACAAACTACGGCCCGCGGGTCATATGCGGCCCGCGAGGTCCTCTCATCCAGCCAGCGGAGATCTTTTTGTCCACAGAAAAAACTTTTGTTGGTAATGGCTGAGAAATTTGCCCAGATTTCTAATTTCTTTCAATTAAAAATTCTTTGTATCTGACTCATCTGTGTTGATCATATACTTTAATGCTAGAAATATAACATTTCAAATTAATGCCATGTTTTTTAAATTTATATTTTCAGGGTCGTGTATGAAAACAAGAACAGATAAATGTGAAAAGGTGTTTATAAATATCTGTCATTCTGAGAATGTAAGTCATCTATTAAACGTATCATTGTTCCATACATAATCCTTTGTTGGTAAACTTCACAATATTAATTTCCTCCACCAAACAATATATTACTAAATATTTATAGGATTACTCAAGTGATACCACAGGATTGATTATCAAAGAAACTGCAAAAATTACCTTTGATTTTTTTCTTCGAAGATTTTTAGCATTAATGCTGCACTGTTTTTTTAGTTCATTTTTAATTTTCATATAGCCTAATAATTACTAATGAATTGCTAGTAATTGTTTAAAAACATGTCTAGACACAAATGCTTGAGAGACGCTTGCCTGAATGCTAGCCCCAAGGCCATTTTGCCAGAATGTAACTAGTAACACTTGAATCCATTGTCGGATTTGGGCAAACTAAAACAAACTGAAGTTTGGAGTCTGTTTTGTTTTGTCAGGTGCCTGAACCTAAAGACCTGACAGAGGATGAGTTGCTCAAAGTTTTGGAGTCTGAAGACCCAACCCATTTTAGGATACCAATGAGTATTGGAGAACCTCATGCTGAGCTAGATAAATGTAAGAGATATTTTAGTACTGCTTTTAAATTTTCATAAATTTTCTTTTCTGTTTATTTCTTGCTATATTTCTTAATTTTGTTGTAAACTAAAACATAAAGTCTATGTAGGAGTTTAATACTTTCAAGTGTTACTATGAATAGGGAATATAAGTAGTAAGCAGTTATTTTTATTATTATGCCTGTAGGAAATGTAAATTGATCAATACAATAAAAAATAAAGATCATATTTAATTATTTTATAGTAAATTACTATTAATGATTTCTGAGAGTAATAATTTTGTTATCTTGGTGAAGATTGTAGAGTGTATGTTCTATTCACCCTACTCGCCATGTTTCACATCTCACCCTAGTTCCTATGCTAAACATCTCTCCCTAGTTGCCATCTCACTTATTTCTGAGATACTTATTACTTATCTTAGCTACCATATACTATACACCTAACATGACCTTGTGATTCTACAAACAGCTGGAGGGGGCTGTACAGTGTATGATGTTGTGATCCACCCAAATTTCATGAAGAAGATTGACAAGAGCCAGCTGTTTAAAACATTTTTCCTAACCTTGATGTGTGAGGGGATAGAGAGTAAATATGATATTTTACTCAAAAGAGGTAGGAAAAACAAGAAAGTTTTTTCTTAATTTTTTATTTCGTTTATAAATTACCTTAAGATTTAATTGCCTAAACTGATTGATTTTAAATCTGCCTTAAATGTATTTTATAGTTTGAATGCATCTATGTTATGTACCTAAATTGTTTAATAGCACTTCTTATAATGTACTGTGTCTCGCAACTTTATTGTATTATTATATCAACAAATTTTTCTGGATTTTCTAGACTGGATTTTTCTGAAGAATAGAAAGTGTATTGGCAAGCTGGCGGAACAACAAATTAGAACAAAATCTAAACCACTTATAATGGATATGGATGGGTATTTTTGTTTATTGACTCCTATATAAAAATTATTATAATTAAATATATGATAAATGTATTACTTTATTTTGCCTTTAAGTAATTGAGTGAAAAAATGTATTTAGTACTCTTATTAAAAGAGAAGCTGAATTTAAAACTAACGTAATATTACAATGTATCCACTAATGACAGTAATGAAATCACCTAACACCATGTTTCAACCTCCCTTAATTTCAGCACTGAAGGATACCAGCTCCCCACTCAGCAACCAGAAAAAAGAAATTTGATTGAGGAAATGAAACAGCAAGAACAAGAACTACAGAAAAAGTATTTTCATTAAAAATTTATTAAAGTATATTATTATGGTTAATACTTTTTAGGCCAAGGTTTAACATGTTAAACCATCTTTGGTAGCTTAATCTATAATAATAGTTTTGCTGTCTGTCTATGTATCTATCTATCTGTCAAGAACGCTTCTACTATAGAGAAAACACAAGCAGAGTAAAAACATGCATAGTAGTTCGAAAAACGAAACGTGACGTCACATGGAGCATATAGTAAGAAATAGTCTCAAGCCGGAAAAGTACACACTGTAATATGAAGTCATTGATTCTCGAGTAAACAATGAATTAAAAGCGAATTTTGTCTAATCTTAAAAGTGGTTTGCGTGAAGAGTTTCTTTCATGCAACTCTTCTGATAAGGGCGAATTCCCCCCCCCCCCCCCTCAAAATAAATGACATCATCTGTACTCTAAAATAAAACACTGACATTACGGCCTAATTAATGTGTCTAATCTTCTAATCTTAGAAGTGGTTTGCATGGAGTTTCTTTTCATGCATCTCTTCGGGTAGGGGCAAACCTATATATATAGAAAATATATACTTTTACCAGTGTCCGCCTCTCCTGCCCCGGAGAATTTTATTGATTCAAGTGCCCCACCCCTGGAAAAAAGTCTGAAAGAAACACTGCGTGAGTGAGGTTTATCGGCAAAAAGTAGTAAACGGGTTTATCTTATAGAAGTAGTCTCTACCTTTAATCTGTATGATCTACAAATGTGACCAGTATTTCTTTCAGATATTTTCCTACCCGGGGGAGGGGGGTACTGGAAATTTTCTGAAGGGGTGGTTTAAATTTTCTATATAAATTCTGTTGTCATAGTGGGCCGTAGACTTTCTTTGGGGGGCTCTGCCCCCCCACCCCACCCCCTCACTCTCCCGAAGAGTTGCCTGAAAGAAACTCTGAATGCGATTTTTGTCAAGTTTGAGCTTAGGTTCAAGGTTTAGGGGTTTGACCACAATTATATTTAATATGGATGTGCAGTAACTACGTGCCGATTCTTGATAAAAATGGCATTGTTTGTTTCCGGTTAATCTGGAAGTTGAGGTGGTGGTTTTGGTTTAGAGAAAAAGACAACACTATCAACCTAGTGCCCGTTGTATCTCTCCCTCAACCGGCCATTTATCTCGTGTTCTATATAATTTCAGTGCCCAAAAAATTGTCTATACCAGTATAATACTTTACTGTCAGTCTCACTGCATAAATGTTTTAGTTATTATCAGTAAATGGCCTTAAAATTTTCCATATCATGAGTTTAGGTGACTTAACTATGAATTCAGTACCTTTTGTAAGATAAATTACTGTAATTTTTCTAGAGCACCTGAGCCCAGTTTTACAATCGTCCAAGAGCCTCCAGAAGGACACCCTGATTTTTTGGTGGCTGAAATTTCACTCCCTAATATTGTAAGAAACTTTTCATACATATATTTTAGAAAGTATTACTTGTTTATTTTCCTGATTGAATCATATTAATTTTAATTTTTTAATTTTCCATAGAAAACTGCCCAGTCTTTGACCCTGAATGTTGGGGAAGACAGACTCATGTTGACCACAAGATCACATGTTTATTACCTTGATATTTTCCTGCCTTTTGATTTGCTATTTGATGAATGTGGTGCCCAGTTTGATAGAAATTGTAAGGTAAAAACAAAGTTTTTGAAATCTCCATCTAGTTTAATTAACATCTTGAGAAAATTATTTTATCTTATGAATTGAAATAAACTTCCTTCAATGTTTTGTAGTAACAAACAAAGTACTGAAACCAAACAATGACTTAACTCTTTAAGACTGTAATGAAGCTCCCAGCGAACGACTGGCCATGTGTAACGAACTCTCCTAGTATCCAAAAATTTTTTCTCTATTTAATTAGTTGTTTATCCGAATCCAAGTTTTTAATTGTAAATCTAGGTCATGATATCGCTAGAGCTCCCAGTTTTTGTTGTATTTACTAGTTGCTGTTTTCTTGTTGGGGTTGATTTTGTATTTTATAGAGTTTGTTTTTGTAAAACCACTCACAAAATGGCATTTTTTTAACGCTGTAGAGCGCCTTCAACAGCCACGTCTAAACGCTTACATCTTCACGTTATAAAATTAACCAAATTAAAGTATTTATGCTAATTGTAATCCAATCCTTAATTTTTGTTGAAAAATGGACAAACTTTCATTTTCTATAAATAAGAACTCATGAAAATAATTCTTATCATATATTTTACGACACAAGCATATTTTTTGCCTGAAAATACCAACTCTTTATTTTTTCTTCTTTAAAACTATGTAGTTATCTTTCTTCAATAAATAAAAAATTATTTAAATTCAATGTGCAGGTTTTAAATCAACAGGTAAAAAGATACATGAGTCATTTTTGCCGCAGTGGTAATGACAAAAATGGAGTTAAAAATTTTTTTTTCGTTAAACATTTAAATAATTACGGGCTTAAAGAATCAACACAGGATGTTTCTTATAGTTTTAGAATGACATTTAATGTTTGTTATTGTACAATGCCATTAGATTCTCCCTCATTTACTTTTCACTAACACTGCATTTACACTTATGACATGTATACTATACATTTCTAGAACACAAAGTCCCGCCAAAAGTTAATTTTATCTGGAAACATTTTCTCCACAGAACATGTATACTTTTGTGTTCACACTTATAGAAATATGTTGTAGAACATTTTATAAAACAATCATGGCCTTTGGCTTGGAGCATTTCCTGTATAAGCCTAGATAATTGAAAGAAAGAGAAATCAATGAAAAAAAGTATATATTTTCTATATAGATTCTATTTTGTTCAAAGGCAGTAGACGTGCTGCTGAAGGGGAGGGGGGGGGGGGGGCTTCCTGGCCTTCTAGTGGGCCTATGGATTTATTCCTCTATCAGATGGATAATGTGTTAATACACTTTAAACATAATATGGGGCAAGGAAAATTGAAGAATAATTTGCAACAATAAATTTAGTTAAATTACATTTTTTTAATGCATTAGACAATTTTCATTATACTGTGTTTAAGATTTAATTAAAGAAATAATAAGTAATTACAAGAAGTTATAAATTTTGTAGGTGTGTGCTCATAAGCTCAAGATCAGTTAATTTTGCAATCAGCTGCGAGCTAGGAATTAGGATGCGCATGCACGCTCATCTGAAAAATTGGAACATGTCTGATGTTTTAGCTCACTGAGCAAAAACAAAAACTTAACCCACAACATAAAAAGGGACATGGTTTTGTGCCCATCAACTCAGAAGATGTTCCACATACCCATAACAATTTTAGTACACACAGTTTACATGTCGTAAGTGTAAACACTGTGTAATAAAGACACTAATTTTACCCTATAAGATTCTCAATCATTAATTTTTTTTTTTTAACTTATAAATATGTTAATTTTCCAATTAGATTCTCAATCCTTTATCTTATCACTAATGAATATGTTGATTTTTCCGATTAGCTTTTTAATGGTTTATATTTCCTCTAATGAAGATGTTAATTTTTCCTATTAGATTCTCACAGTAACCATGCCAGTAAAACCACTAGCAGAGAGATGATGCATTGTGGGTCTGATTCTGTCAAGCATTTATCAAGATAATTTTGTACATTTTCAACCAGTTTTCACTGTGTTCATAACCCTGTGAAACAATAAAATATTTAAATAAAAAATTTTATTTTTTATTTTTTTTAATTAAACATGGTTACCAGCATAGGATGCTTTGTAATTCAGCTTTTAATATTATAACTGTGCTTATTTGTGTAGCATATTTTGTTTTTAAGTCTAAAAGTTCAGTAACATCACAAGGATTTGATTCAATTACAAAGCTGAAACTAATATTGAAAGAAAGGTAGTTAAACCTAAATTTTAATGCACAATGCAAAACATACAAAATGCGAATTTATTTATGGTTAACTTCAAATCTCAAATTGTAATAAATAGTCCTATTTATAAACACAGTATTCTGTTTATAAATGACTGGTGAAGTAATGTGGAAATGGATTTTAATGGCACCCTAGCAGAGTGTTTTAAATTTTAGCTTTAAGCAGAGTTTCTTCCAGGCATCTCTTCGGGGGGGCGAAGCCCCCCCGAAAAAATTTTACCGCCCCCCCGAACGAAATGAAATTTATATAATTTATATAGAAAATATATACTTTTAACAGTGTCCGCCCCCCCGAAGAAAGTTTACCGCCCCCCCGAAAATTTCAAGTGCCCCCCCGGAGAAAAAAGTCTGGAAGAAACACTGGCTTTAAGTTAAACAGCGTCCATTGATCAATATTCAAATGGTAACCTACATTTAATGAGAAAGAACTATGGTCCCATTTTGCATTCGGGAAACCCCGCAAATTGAAATAAGATAAGGCAAGCGTTGATCGTGAGGACATTTTTTTTTTTCTCTTGAGTTTTGAAAACACGTGCAGCCTATTAAATCCTACAGATGGCCTTTGTCGAACATGCAGTGGATGGCATCTCGATGAGCCTCGTAAGTTCGTTTTTTGTGTAATAGCGTGTTTACAATACTATTTAAATACCAGAATAGAGTTTAGAAAATACTTTCAGTTTCATTTTACTGGGAACTCCCGAATTTGTTATTTTTACAGCTAGGCTGTGAATACATTATAATGGTTAAGACGATTGGGCGCAATAGGAAATTTGAGTGACACCTTTGGTTTGTGTGATGGAAATTGTTTTACACCCCTCTAAATACTCTAATGCTCTACCAGGGGTCTCCAAACTTTTCAGTCCGAGGGCCGCATTAACTATCAAATATCAGTTCGGGGGCCAGAGTTTCTTCCAGGCATATGTTTGGGGTGGCGGACCCCCCCCCCCCCCCCCCCACCGAAGTACGTCTACCGCCACACCACCAACGAAATATAATTTATATTGAAATATATACGAATTACAAGTGTCCCCCACACCCCATCCCCCGGAGAAAAACATCTGAAAGAAACACTGTCGATGGCCGACAACACACTCGAGGTCCTAGTTTGTTCTCAAATTGTTCAAAAATATTTTATCCTTGAATATGTTTGTTCACACAGGTATGTTGTTCCAAAATTTGAAAGGTACTTTGATGCACAAGTTTTAATATTATGAAAATCTTACTTGGGCAAAAACGTATTTTTAAAAACCTATAAAAATCCACCCGCCCTTCTTTAAACTTGTCTCTAAGGAGGTCATTTGCATGCAATTCAATGACCTCCAACTGTAGTTCATCTGGGCAACTGGCCACATTTGCTTCAAATGAGTTTTATAACCGTCTCACTTCTTCTGCCTTTGAATCCAAGTCAGAAAACCGCTACTGAAACTGCAGCTGCAGGTCTTTGATGATCTCACATGCAAATGACCCGGGAGAATCACCTGTTGCTTCAGTCATGAAGACCTGTGCTTGTTCCAAAACCATGACGCGTTTCGATCTGAAGCAGAGTTTCTTCCAGGCATCTCTTCGGGGGGGCAAAGCCCCCCCGAAAAATTTTTACCGCCCCCCCGAACGAAATGAAATTTATATAATTTATATAGAAAATATATACTTTTAACAGTGTCCGCCCCCCCGAAGAAAGTTTACCGCCCCCCCCGAAGATTTCAAGTGCCCCCCCGGAGAAAAAAGTCTGGAAGAAACACTGATCTGAAGGTAATTAGGTGGGTGTATAGATCAAAAACTAGATTTCCCTCTCTTGTGGTTTTAGGTTCAAAAATCTAAATGACTAGTTATGTCGGCAGCAAATGCCGATTTCTATACCCACTCTTCATCAGACATTAATGGCTGTGGCTATCTATGGTTGACCACATGTGACCTTACTAAATTCATCATCTTAACCACAGGATTCAGTACACTGCTAATGTCTACATAGCACACAAAGCTTGCTGGTGAATAGTACACTGCAAGAACATTGCATTTAGAATGTTTTTCTCATTCGCTTGTCCAACTAAGCCTTTCTTTATGCCACTCATGTACTTTCCTCCATCAACCGTCAGGTAACTGAGGTTAGTCAAGTCCAATTTATAATCAGTAAATGTTTTTTAACTCATTGAATATAGCCTCTCCGGTAACAGTGCCTTTCATGTTATGCAGGGAAGTCAGCTCTTGTGTTATGTTCATGTCTTCATCCACACGTCTAATGAACACAAGCAGTTAAGAGGTGGAACAGCTGTCCAACGACTCATCCATTGCAATTGAAAAATTGCGAAACTTCCATATTTCGCTATTTGAGTCACAATGTTTTCACCAATGTCTTCAACACGGTGGGCAATGGTATTTCCAAAAAAGCTACATTTTCCAATTGTTTTGAATTTCTGAGCAAAATTCCTCAGCCACCTCCAACAAACATTTTTTTCCTTGACAAAAAGATCTCCGCGGGCCGGATGAGAGGACCTCGCGGGCCGGATCTGGCCCGCGGGCCGTAGTTTGGACCCCTGCTCTACACAGTCAGCCTCTAGTATGAGCTTATAAATTGATGTCGCCTTCTGGTGCACTCGCGACTTGGTCTACCCTGAGAAACGGCTATCACCCTTTTATTGAAAGACCTTCATTTTGTATTGGGGGGGGGGGGGGGAGAGAACCAGAATTGAGGTCGCGCTCATCATCCCAGATCTAAGTATTTCACGCACATGCGACACAATAGAACATTGTACATTATTTTACAGTCCATCCATCCCTCATTGTATAACGTATAGGAACAACCCCCGCTCCACTACCCCAGGAACGGCGATACACCTTTGTATCCTACTGCAAAGTTGTTGGAATTAAATAAAACAAGTAATTTAAAAAAGTCTAGTGACAATTTTAGCGCAATTTTTTTTCAGTATTTTACATGTTTTATTTACAATAGAGTAACATGACTAAAAACCATAGCGCGCCTAGCTACCGAACGTGATGTCGCAGCCATTGAACGTGATGGCGCAGCTATTGAACGTGATGACGCGTGTGGTGTGGTTGCATAAAATGCCTACTAAATCGGTCCAAATTTTAATTAATTTAAAAAAATGCTTGTGACCAAACGAAAGGATATTTTTGAAAACTTTCTTCGGCAATATTGTTCTAAATTATGGCAGGAATCGATTGGTACATGTTTCAAGTCGCTAAGTGGTCTGGTTGCCGAGATATGGGCAAAAAACTGCATTTTTTCGAGGTTTTTTGGCTTTTCCGGGAAATCCATGAAAGAAACCCGGAATTTTTATGGCCTATGTTCATCCTCGTAACTTGCTTAACATAATTGTTTTTGTAACTAGTCATCGATATTGCTTCGTTGAGGAGCAGATACGACTTAAAGCTGCGGACACACATCCATACATTCATCCATCCATCCATCCATCCATCCAGAAATGACGGGTTAATAAACGCAATTCTCCAGACTGGAAATTGCGCTAAAAACTCGTCTTAGAAAATCTCTGGCTACATCTTCATTAGAAGCAATTGCTAAACCATATAGATCTAGGGCGCCTTTTAAAGTAAAAGCAACATTGAATAATCCATTTGTCCTTGTATTCATCCACCTATCTGGTTGGCATGGAAAAAAGAGTAAAGAAAATCAAGGCAGTGATGTTTAACATTGCTAAAAAAACCAATAACCAAAAAATCATTTAACACAATGTTGAATCGCATCTTACCTCTTCCTGTTTAAAATTATGTTCGCACAATCGCAAATCAGAGCGGCAAGAAGGCAGAAAACGTGAAAAGTTTCATCAGAAGGTAAATGTGAAAAGTTGCATCAGAAGGTAAATATGAAAAGTTTCATCAGAAAGTAAACTTGAAAACTTAAGGTAACTGTGGAAGTTTCTATAAAATAAAAAATAAAAACTTCCCACATGTCTTCCAGGTCCACCCAAGGTACTTACACAGTAACTCAACCAGCCACACTTGGGCGTTTAGCGCTGTAGCAGAGCTGATTGGTGAGTTGTTTCTAGCTTAAACATTTGCTTCAGAGAACTTTTGTCCTGTGCACATATGGGTAAATATGGTGTATAGTTGCTACAATCCAGGCGTCCCCCCCTCCCCAAAAAAAAAAAAACGAAATGAAATTTATATATAAAACATATACGTTTACCAGTGTCGGTTCCCCCCCCCCCCCCGGAAAATGTTGTCCGCCCCCGAAAATATCAAGTGCCCCCCCCCCCCCCCCCCCCCCCCCCCGGAAAAAAAAGTATGTAAGAAACACTGTACAAGATGACTATAGGTGTCCTAGTGTGTTCCTTAAGTCTGCTTACGTTACACACATCGTTGTGTTGCTAGCCATGTGTAAGTGTTACACGTGTGTGTATCGAGTCTGCCGACGTTACTCTAAGCGTTATTTACCACAGATAACGCCTACGACCCTGAGGTTGGAGCATCACGAATAGACATCGACGTCACTGAACGAGGTGGACAAACATGCTTGACCTTTCTAGACAACGGGGTCGGCATGGATATAGACAAGCTGTACATGCTGCTGAGGTATGCTAGGGTGTAGGGGAGTGGTGTTCAAAGTTGGTGCCGCGTCCTGAGCAACGTTACAAATCAAACAGACCGTATAGGCTAAAGCAGTAGCGTAGCGAGGGGGGACATATGTCCCCGGGCGCCGACCTTAGGGGGCGCCAAAATGGGTTGGAAAAAAAAATTGAGGTTGAGGGGGGTGCACATCGAAAGTATGAGGGCGGGGGTGCAAATCGAAAGTTTGAGGGGGGGGGGGGGTGCAAATCGAAATCTTGAGGGGGGTGCAAATTGAAAGTTTGTCCCCGGGCGCCGGTAAGGGTGGTTACGCCTCTGCAACTGGTTATTTTCCATTGAGGCAATTGACTCCGATTTCAGCCTGCTTTTCTATTTGGATTTGCTTCCATAGCCTTTGTCCAACCAAGAACAAACTACAAGGCAGCAGTTGTTTCTCTTAGAGAAAAGTTGCTGTCCCCAGCTTAAGCCTTATCTGCCCGAGGGTTCGAACTCGAGCCTTTTTAGCAACCATGATCTTTACCGACTCGACCGCGCCGACCCCTTATGAACTCTACTTTATATGCCCAATGGATCGCTATGTCTGGAGAGGAACTTTAGAACTATCAGCGTGACTATATTTTGGAATTTTTTTTTTTCAACTGAAATATTTTTATTTTGATTTTCCGGATGTTGTTGACCCTCACTATTTCAGTTTCGGATTTTGTGAAAAGGAAAGCTATGACAGAAATAACTTACGAAAACCTATTGGTCAGTACGGCAACGGCTTCAAGTCTGGAACGATGCGTTTGGGCAAGGACGTCATCGTGTTCACCAGACGCAGGAAGACTGCCAGTGTGGGGTTCCTGTCACAGACCTACCTGCAGGCTATAGAGGCCAAGTCTGTGCTGGTGCCTCTGCTGGAGTATGAACTGCCAGGATATATCCTTTAACACAACAGGGTCTCAGGGTCACGTGATATTACTCTAACGAAATACGATGGCTGCTTTTGAATGTGTTGAATAATTTTCTGTTGTTTTCTTTCTAAATAATTAAAAAAAATATATTTTCATCGTTTAAAAAAAATGGCATTGTAAGTAATGGAAATAATAATTCTAAAGGGTGTGTATTAATTGAAGGTTCATATTGCCCTCAAAAACCTTACTACATTCCTAGTCCAATATGATACAATGGTCTCTGACGGGTGAGAAAAAACACAACCAGAGTGTGTTCGCTCATTTATGTTACAATGTATTTGTCTTAACGCAACCTTACTGAACCCAAAACACAAGAACACTCGAAAACGCAACCTGGATGCTATCAAACAGCATTCAATATTCAAGACAGAAGAGGAGTTGTTGGCTGAACTAAGGAACTTGGAGTCAACCGTGGTCGGGACCAAAATAATTATTTATAACTTAAACAAGTGAGACAATTTTTTGTTTATGTGTAAAACGTAAAATCTTGTCACATATGGGACCGAAATAATAATAAAGCTATACAATTGAGTTACACATTAGGCTAGTCTTTTTTAAAACTGTGTAGAAGTTTAAATTGTTCAAAATAACAATCTTGAAATGTAAAACAATCTGCCTGTAGGCCTATGTTGTTTTAATTTGGTCAAAACGTTTTAGTCTGGACCACTGTTAGGCTAAGGCTGCTATGTGATGGACACTATAATGCAAAAGAAAAACGAGGATGGAGAAATATTTGGAGGAATGTGACCTAAACTTCCAACAAGTCTAGGTTATAGCTAGCGGCATGACTTAATGACGCTCACTTGTTGATGCCTCTAGTACCAGTGGGTGTTGATCCCAGTCAGGACCACATACAGGCTAAGCCAATCTGGTCACGAGTCGCGAGCTCCTGTGTGACTGTCCGATTATTTTTTACTATTTTGTTTGCTTGAAATTTAATTTTATAGACGGCTTGCAGACGGAAACCTTGAACTTGATTTTGTGAGCGACGTGCATGACATCAACTGCCCCGATTCATACATGCCCGAGATTAAAAACGACAGTCAAACAACAGTAGTTGATAATAAGTACAGACATTCATTAAGGGTGAGTTAAAAAACAACAGTAGTTGATAATAAGTACAGACATTCATTAAGGGTGAGTTAAAAAAACAACAGTAGTTGATAATAAGTACAGACATTCATTAAGGGTGAGTTAAAAAAACAACAGTAGTTGATAATAAGTACAGACATTCATTAAGGGTGAGTTAAAAAAACAACAGTAGTTGATAATAAGTACAGACATTCATTAAGGGTGAGTTAAAAAAAACAACAGTAGTTGATAATAAGTACAGACATTCATTAAGGATGAGTTAAAAAAACAACAGTAGTTGATAATAAGTACAGACATTCATTAAGGGTGAGTTGTAAATAACAGTAGTTGATAATAAGTACAGACATTCATTAAGGGTGAGTTAAAAAAACAACAGTAGTTGATAATAAGTACAGACACTCATTAAGGGTGAGTTTAAAAAAACAACAGTAGTTGATAATAAGTACAGACATTCATTAAGGGTGAGTTGAAAAAAACAACAGTAGTTGATAATAAGTACAGACATTCATTAAGGGTGAGTTAAAAAAAACAACAGTAGTTGATAATAAGTACAGACATTCATTAAGGGTGAGTTAAAAAAAACAACAGTAGTTGATAATAAGTACAGACATTCATTAAGGGTGAGTTAAAGAAACAACAGTAGTTGATAACAAGTACAGACATTCATTAAGGGTGAGTTAAAAAAACAACAGTAGTTGATAATAAGTACAGACATTCATTAAGGGTGAGTTAAAAAAACAACAGTAGTTGATAATAAGTACAGACATTCATTAAGGGTGAGTTAAAAAAACAACAGTAGTTGATAATAAGTACAGACATTCATTAAAGGTGAGTTAAAAAAACAACAGTAATTGATAATAAGTACAGACATTCATTAAGGGTGAGTTAAAAAAACAACAGTAGTTGATAATAAGTACAGACATTCATTAAGGGTGAGTATCAAACAACAGTAGTTGATAATAAGTACAGACATTCATTAAGGGTGAGTTAAAAAAACAACAGTAGTTAATAATAAGTACAGACATTCATTAAGGGTGAGTTTCAAACAACAGTAGTTGATAATAAGTACAGACATTCATTAAGGGTGAGTTAAAAAATTAACAGTAGTTGATAATAAGTACAGACATTCATTAAGGGTGAGTTAAAAAAACAACAGTAGTTGATAATAAGTACAGACATTCATTAAGGGTGAGTTAAAAAAACAACAGTAGTTGATAATAAGTACAGACATTCATTAAGGGTGAGTTAAAAAAACAACAGTAGTTGATAATAAGTACAGACATTCATTAAGGGTGAGTTTTTAAAAAAAAATATACATTCATTAACGATGAGTTCTTGCACTGTAGACATTTGTTATTTATAAAATGAGACAATGTTTTATAGTTCGTTAACTTGTTTAGGAATACTGCAGCATCCTGTATTGCCGGCCGAGGATGAAGATACACATTCGGGGAGAAATGGTCGAACTAAAACTAATGAGCAAATCTTTGAGCCAAACAGAAACTGCCTGGTACAAGCCATCATGGCTGGTAAATTGTTTTTTAAATGCTGGGATGTTAAAATAGTTTAGAAGTTGGTCAGCTGGAGGCAAAGGCTGACATTTTGACTGGGTCACCCGTTAGAATAATATTTACATTTTCAGGGGACACCTGTTAGAATTACATTCGAATTTTCAGGAGTCACCCTTTAAACCAACCTTTTTAATCTTTTAGAGGTCACCTGTTAAAATAGCATTTCGATTTTCACGGTCACCCGTTAAAATAATATTCACATTTTCAGGGGTCACCCGTTAAAATAACATTCGGATTTTCGTGTGAGGAGAACACAGAAGATTACGGCATGTTGTTGTACCACAGAAACAGGCTGATTAAAGCTTATGAGAGGGTTGGATGCCAGAGAAAAGTAAGCGCTAATCGATTTACCCAAGGCAGAAAAGATAAACAATAACACGTTAAGTATAAAAGTTTTAAATGTTATTTTAACGTATGCTAGTTTTATTACTTATCAGAATTCTCAAAGGTACTGAACGTGTTTTTATAGTGTAATTAAAATTCAGAAAATGTTTGTTATATTAGTTAAAATATCCAATATTTGTCACCTAACTCTACCGGCAATTTTAATGGTCATCTGTTTCCCAGCCTTTGAATTTTGGAGCAAGAGGCTATGGTTATTTCACTGGATCAGCCACTTATGTTTACGTTTGAAAATTCTAGAATTCTATTTACTAGTCATCGTTCATAAAGTTGCACCTTAAAACTAATATTTTTGGGAATACTATATTTTTCTTGGAAAGCAAAATTTCGATGCATCCAAATTATCACTTTTGTCATACTAACATCAGAAAAATCACATCCTGTCAAAAATGAACGTGTGTGTGAAGATTAAGTACAATTGTATGTTCTTAAAGTTGCAACAGAAAATCTTTCACTCAACCAATTCAGTAAAATATTTTCTTGAAGCGAAACGAGGAAGGGAAGGGTGTTATAGGGGTGGCAGAAGTTGATTTCCTTACCCCAACTCACAACAAGCAGGACTTTGCCATGGACGACAAATACAAGTTGGTATCGCTTTTATTCGTTTACTTGCTTTACATGCTATAGTTTTAGTAAATCTGTTGCTATTGTATTTCCTCTTCATCGTATCTTCTCTTACATTCACGAAACAATATTTTTACAGCGTGCCGTGTAACAAAATCTCGAGGTGTTATCGTCCTGGGGTATTTATGGTTGGTTACAATCATGACACCATCCACATGTCATGAAGACCTGACAATACAATCATTTTATTTTTATATAAATCATATAATTTGTTCCGTCGTCATTTCAGGAATAATATGCTAAACTTTGCTGCTGATGAATGCTGCTTTAATTACTTGCTTATTGGTTAACTAAAACCTTGTCTGCTTACAGTACCGTGATGGCTGTTTTTGCAACCAAACTCAAAGATTATTGGAATAAATACAAAGATCAAATGAGCATAATAAAAAGGCAGGTTTACATTTGTAAACATAAAATTAATGTGTGGAATGTGCGTGGTAGAAAAACCAATACTCAAAAACATTAGACAATATACAATTGTTTTTTTTTCCTCAATATTTTATTCAAAGCTTGAATAGTGCCGAGTATTTATTATTATTTTTTTTTTTTGCGTTGACCTTCGTTTTATATTATTTATTTTCATTGCTTAGGAATTCATACTACTCCGTAGGCCTATGTTTAGAAACTTAAAAAAAAAGAAAAAAAAAAGAAAAAATCCAACTGCAGTAATTAGTTCTGTAGTAACTACATTATTCCAACTTTTCGTACAACGTTGTCAGACACCAGCCCGACTCGGTGTGGAATCAATGCGACACGTGTCTGATGTGGCGCCGTTTGCCTGATGGAACTCAACTAGATTCACTTCCAAAGCCATGGTACTGCCACATGAATCCCGATGAGAAATACAAGTGAGTCAATGTTGATACACTACAGTCGCAGCAGAAACTCTCAGTGTTTCTTCCAGACTTTTTTTATCCGGGGGGGGGGGGGGGCACTTGAAATTTTCGGCGGGGGGGGGGGGGTAGACTTTCTTCGGGGGGGGAGGGCTGACACTGTTAAAAGTATATATTTTCTATATAAATTATATAAATTTCATTTCGTTCGAGGGGGGGGGGGGCGGTAGAATTTTTTCGGGGCGCCCCCCCCCCCCCCCCCCGAAGAGATGCCTGGAAGAAACTCTGGACACTCTAATCTATTGATGTTTTTTTTAAAATTATAAATACCTTGATAGATTTTAGAATCGCACATGTACAAAAGTGTTTGAAAAATGTACCTATGATAGTGTGTAGAAATTTTCAATGTTCTTTTATCTTCCAGATATTGTTTTATAGAAGAGGAACTAGAAAAAGACGATCAAATAAAGTATGTTGTAGATTTAGTATTTTTAGTACCGCATTTTAAAGAGGTATAATCTTATGAATTTCAACGTCTTTCAGTTTGTTGGATAATAAATTAGAGGGCTTTAAACATAATGTGAGCTATTTTCAATGTTGTAAACTCTTGAACACAGTATACCAATTTCATTTTAATCGACTTTTAAAAATATTCTATTTGAAACAGGGGGCGGAAAAAACGATCTGGTGCTAAAAAAGCAAATGTACGTATACATTATGCGTTCACTGGCATTTTAACATTACTTCACAAGTAGGCCTAACTTGATTCGCGAATACCAATCATAATCATATGTAGCTTATTGTCATAACCATGGCTCTTTATATTAAGGGGAGAACTAGGCTAAAAACTTTCGTAGACACTTTATTAACAATTGTGGTGTTTCTTCAAGATCAACCAGCTCTAATATTTACTCGTAACAAACATTTTCATTAGTGATCGATCATAATATCATCATCTATGAATGACGTCACGCTGCTGTTTGAAGCGGGGAGGGGGGGTGGCAGGTGAATGGACCATTTTAAACACGAACGGAGGGTTTAACACTTTGTTTTATATCGTTGAAAGAGTTACTGGGGGAAAAGTGATATTATAATTTAAAACACAAGCATTGGCTTTTCTTCAGTCTTATTGTTGGGGAGGTTCTGATGTTAAATAATCGGGTGATTGGTTAAAATACTTTAAAGCCTTTTCAATAAATACCGTTTATAGCTTTACATATCGATGGTCGCAAACCGTCTATCTAAAAAACATTATGTTTCTTGTAAAGAAACATCAGATTTTATCCCTCTAGGATTATCTTATCTCCATAGGTTAAAAAGTTTTTGTACTTGGTTGAGCAATGTAGGCGGGGAGTGCCTAGAAATGCTATATTTTGATGAATGGTGACCTGCTATAAACGTTTATATATGGTAAAAAAATGGTTTTAACATATCCAGTGGCGTAGAGAGGTCGGGTGTCACCCGTTGCGGCACTTAATGGTGTCACCCCCCAGAGGCGTTGCGACCCTTCCCGGGGACTAACTTTCAAGTTTTCGATTTGCACCCCCCCTCAAGTTTTCGATTTGCACCCCCCCCCCCCTCAAGTTTTTCTCCATATATTTTGCTATTTTTTGCCTTGGTGTCACCCCCCCCTAAATGGTGTCACCCGGTGCGGTCCGCACCCCCCCCCTCGCTACGCCCCTGAACATATCTCGTTTTACGTCATTTAATATGTAAACAGTGTCAAATCTTATCCAATAGGACAGTGTAGGATCGTTAATGATATATCAGTGTGGTGTGTTTGAATGTGTGTGTGGTGGTGTGTGGTAGAGAGGAGTTGGGAGTGGAGGAAGCTTGTCAATATTTCGCTATCAAACTCAACCTATTCTTGTTATTTCAGGCCACCCCAGGAAATATAACGTAAGCATTTAATGTAGTTACAATGACATGTCGATAGTCTGAAAGCTAAATCGCTTTAATGTGCGTGATATGAATAAAATGTGTTTTTATATGATGGCAAAGTATCTTTCTATCATATTTTAATTTATATTATAACAATTATTTCATATCTTTTAAAATATAACATACTACCATTTAGCCTAATGCGAACTTATCTACTTATCTGTTATCATAAGTATACTGCTTTAAATTGTTCGTGGGACTTCCCTATTGAATTACCTTTATTCAGAAAGTTTTTGAATTTATTTTTTTTTTACTTGTAGCACTGAACCTCAGCCGTCAACATCCGCTAACTCAGAGGAAATAACTTCACTGGACGACAGCCTTGAGACCATTCAACCTGAACCTGTCGAGGCGGAACTAGACAGCTCTCCAGCAAGTCCTCATGACGTCACCGCTGCCCACAATGTTACGCCCCGGGCTTCACCGAGAATCCAAAACAAAAGAAAGCGACCGGCGAGTGTTGACGACCAAGGCGCTTCCACATCCGGTCCAGATGAAACTCCCCGCAGGAAGGTGAAAAACGAATCCCGCACGCCGGAAAAAGTTCGCAGTAAGATTGCGATAAAAAATAAATTCGTTAACCAAAACAGAAGCCTGAGAAATAGGATGATCCCCATGGCAATGACAACTACAAAGAAAAAGTCACCTAAGGGAAAAGCAAAAATGCTTAAAGCCACGCCAGTGAAAGCTGCATCGAGAGATACGGAGTTGCATAGAAAAGTATCGCTAAGAAGTTCTTCAGTGCCTAGAGGTACAATACCTAGAGTGACGAGGACACGTGCACTTGGTCAAGCTGAGTCAAATAAAAGAGAGGGCACATCTGCAGTTGGTCGCTCAGAGAGTAATGTCTATCCAGCAATTAATAATTTAAATCACTCAGGTAAGAGTAGTGTAAGGGGTAGTGTGTTGATGGTAGAAGAGATTTTAGACTGCTACAAAACTATTAGAAAATAACTTTGCTGCCATAAAACCGTACACGTACTTAATAAGCCGTAAGAAATAAACAAGAAGTCTTCTATTACCGCTTCCTTGGTATAATCGAAAAGAAATTTGAGTCGTTGATGTTATTACCCTCAATTGGGTTGATACACTTATATACTTTTTATATGGTTAAAATACACATTAAAATGATACAGCATTTTTTAAATTATTTCGTTTTCAGAGGTAGATATAAATTACAATAACGATTACTTTACATCCGAAATTATTTCTTCGACTTTTTTCTAAATAATTCTTCACATCATCTCGTATCACTCCACAGCTGTAGACAGATTATCTGTGGACAACTAGGGGATAGAAAATAATACTATTGTAAATATATTTTAGCATCTTTTATTCCCACTACACCTGTCTCGAAATGGAAAATTAGAATTTAAGATCTAATGTCGAACAAACAGTTATGAGTCAATTATACACATTTACTATTACTATTCATTAAATAACCAACTTGAAATTATATTTAATTGTGATACAGCAACCTTATACTTAAGCGATTCGTAATTTAAAAGAGTAATTAAAAGAGTATTTTTATATGAACGTAGCCTGTTATTTTGATCACTTGATTAAATCCTTCTCACTGCCGACAAGGGATCAAAATTCTTAACACAACGGAAATTCATTTATTTTTATTTTTCTAACTGGGTATTTTTATGAACTCAACAGAATCACAATCGTCAACAATGAAATCATTCAACCATAAGGATGTACAAACATATATCACTGGCAGTGACACGGACGAGAGAATGGCGATATTTGCCAATAAAGTTGACCTCCTGCTGTCACTAATAATTCCTGAGAAATACACATCTGATGTGGATAAAGTAGAGGAGATGGTCGATTGCTTGATAAAGGCGTACACGGAATCACAAGAGCAAATAAGCAGCTCATAGGAGGACTTCATCACTAACGGGATTCATCTTTTACTAACATATTAAGCAGCTTACATTATATTATTCAGTTTTATGTTCATGGTTGTGGTCGTGGGCATTGTTATGGTCATGGTTGTAACAAGGGCCAGGGCTAGTTTTATATATATATATATATATATATATATATATATATATATATATATATATATATATATATATATATATATATATATATATATATATATATATATATATATGCCTATATATATGTATTTATATAAATAATCTCAAGTGTCCATATTTGCATATAGATATTTTTAAATAGTTTTTTTTTATATATTCCTCAAAACCCGGGTAAAGCCGGTACATGCTGCTAGTATATATATATATATATATATATATATATATATATATATATATATATATATATAAATATATATATATATATATATATATATATATATATATATATATATATATATATGAGAGTATGTAGGTTTGTCTGTTTATCTGTTCTATATGCTTTACTAAAATTTAAGTTGCAAATAAAGGATTGGTGTCTGCGATAAAAATATATTTAGATTTAGAACGTGCGGTATCCCTAAAATGTGCGATTTGATGCTCCGGGCTGTCTCTTGGGCACTATGGAGCCTAAGTTCGTTTTAAAGGGTGCGATAAACTAAGAATAAGATGGGCCACTGGAACCGTTCACTAAATAGAAACAGGTGCCGATGCCCATGCGGTCGAGTTACTTTCAGAACATCGGGTTCCCCTGTGTGGAACTATGGCGCCTACATTCAATTTAAAGAGTACACTACACCAAGTGCACACGAAATTTGATGATTAAATTTGACCCGGGGCCTTACTCGGCGCCCCAGCGGTAGTTAAACTGGCGGCCCAAGATAGCACCAGGCAACACACCTGACACCTGGGCAACCACCGAGGGGTGTTCTAACTCACTAGTATGGAGGTGAAGTAATGTACACACTTTCACACAGCTCGCTTTGGGGCCTCTAGGGGGTAGTGAGGACAGCCCGCGCCGCAACAACTAAGATCTCACAAATAAAACGCCTGCAATTTTACATTTAAATAACTCAGATTTAGAAACAAAGCCACGCGTCTAAAATACGTAGTGCTAACGCGTTGATAAAATCCACTTAAAATATTACGTCAGCTTTTCTCTTTTCTTCTGAGACTCTAAGACTGCAGCTATTTGCAGAATAAACAATAAAAATGTATAAAATTTAAAATCTTTGAAGGATACTTTTCCGTACTATTGAACGTTTTATATTAAACTAGTTATACTGCCTAGCTTCGCTTAGGTTTTCAAAAAATTAATTGAGAATTCGATTGATTTATTAATTGGTGATGGCTGCAGAGGCGTAGCGAGGTCGGGTGACACCCGATGCTGCACTTAATGATGTCACCCCCCCTCCCCCCGTAAAATAAATTATATATATATATATATATATATATATATATATATATATATATATATATATATATATATATATATATATATATATATACATATGTACGTATATATACATATGTACATATATATATATATATATATATATATATATATATATATATATATATATATATATATATATATATATATATATATATATATTAGGCATACTGCCTAGCTTCGCTTAGGTTTTCAAAAAACGTTGAGAATTTGAATGATTAATTAATTGTTGATTGGCTGTTATGTGGAGTGCTTAGGGCCTAAGTTTTAACAATCTGAGTAATTTCATGTCATTAAAAAATTGGTGGAGTAGTCGCAAACTTATTACTCGCAAGTTTATTAGAACTGCAAAGGCTTCCTTAAAAGTATAAATCAAATATTATATTAAGTTCACTTTCGCAATTAATTTGTACAATTTCAGTACAATGCAAAAATTAATTTATAACAAAATATCTATTTCTGTTTCTTTTTTAAAATATTTAAAAATGTTTTTAAAAATTGTTACTTTAAAAAGTTACATCCCCTGTACATATACCAAATGACGTAATCTTTGTTTACTTTAATTTATAACAAAATTCTTATTTGAACGAATGCTATACTTTGTGATTTTATGTTTTTTTGTTGAAAAAAGTATAAAAATAATTAAACACTTATTTTTTTAAATAAACAATTCTGTTTATATAAAAAAATATGGCATCTGGACAAATTTAACGGCCCTAAGTTGTATTTCCGACGGAAATAACGTGTTTTTTTGTGTTACCCTCCACTGTCTCTCTACGACCTCACAAAATATTTGGGGGATTGTTGGGCAATTATATATATATATATATATATATATATATATATATATATATATATATATATATATATATAGCTCATATAAGGAGAAATTTCACTCGCGGTCATTTTTTTTAGCACGTATCGAGGGCTTTTCCATATAGGTGCATGCAAAAAATTAGCCGGATGTGCAGAGGTTAAATATCCTAAAATCTTTGTTGAAATTACCCTGTTCTTTCCAGACATTACAATGATTATATAGGGAAATACGACCTTTTCAGTTTGTCCTCTTTCCAGATTTTTCCCGGATATGGTGAGTTTTTTCTGACACCCCTAGGCGTTGTCCTACCACCTCACAAAATATCAAGGGGGGGGGGAAGGGGGTCGTTCGGCAAAAGTTTTTTTTTTCAACATGTATCTCATATAAGGAGAATTTAGCTCGCGGTGTCTTTTAGCCCTCGTCGAGGGCTTTGAGCCATGCGACAATTTCTCCATACTGCCAAGCCATTTACATAGGTGCATGAAAAACATTAGCCAGCTGTACAGACGGTGTCTCTTAAAATCTGTGTTGAAATTACCCTCTGTTTTTCATATGAATTACAAAGATTATATAGGGAAATACGACTAGTCAGTTTTGACCACTTTACGAAGTTTTCTCAGATATGGCGAGTTTTTTTCTGACACCCCTAGGCGTTCTTCTACGACCTCACAAAATATCAAGGGGGTTTGTTCGGCAAAAGTGGAGCTCAGTTTTGACCCCCTCATCGTAGACATTGCGGCCGACCGGCACCGACCCCGATGATAGTATAGCATACCAATCGCACGTTGTTGCAATCTAGACCAAAACACGTCCGACACGCCATAGTGAAGAAGCCTTTATAAAGTTTTCATCAACGTGTTACCATTTGTATATTTTTAGACGTGTGACCTTGTTTTCCAAAACTGGCGCTTTGTTATTTGGATCTTAGTTATTTTGACGCCGGTGTATCCACACTACCGCCACTGTATGAACACATTAGTTTGGATTACTCATCGAAAGTAGTAGCCCATCGTGTCCTTAGTGTTGGGGGATTTAAAAAAATAAATTGGTGCCACATAAAGTCCTCTTACACACTTTGGCTAAATTGAGATCCTACATCTATACCTTACATCTTATATCTATTCTTCATTTTTGTTTTTATTAAAATGCTATAGCCAACAGCCTAATAATAACCTTTTGTTAACCCCTTAGACCTATATAAGTGACATCTTTATTTTTGTTTGTTTTCCGGTATTATATTTATAGTTTACTATTATTTCGATGTAGTCACTGAATTGTTCCGGAAAGTTTTCCAAAAATAGAAAGACAGATTGACGGTCGGAATAGAAAATTGTGCATAAATAAAGAAGTTGGTAGGTAGAACTCCCGTGTCATATTGCTGGTAGGAAGAACTCCCGTTTCATAGTGCTAGAAAAGGAACATTCGAACGTAGAAACGTAAGAACTATTTACGGGAAAAGCCCCAGGCCATAATAATAGACGCTGTTACCACGCGCTCGAATATTAATATTTCATTGGTACAGCAGCTGCGTGCACGGCAGGGTTCTGTGTGCACCTGAATCGATTATATTGATCTGTGCACAGCTGTACGAATGAGTCATGGAGAAGTTTTAGCATCACCAATACTAATACATGCCACTATGTCAGGAGTTTAGTGAAAATTTAAACGGGCAAAAGAAATATAGTTATATTGAAAAACTACTGAGATGACGCTGAAGTGATATTCTAATGACAAACAACTTACTTAGCAGACCATCAGTGTACATACTTTGCACACTATCAATTTACTAATTTAGAAATAGATAACAAGAGTGCTTGCTTTTTAGGGTGGAGATTTCTGTATGCAGCTAATTAGTATTAAAAGTATTAATTGGCCACATCAACGATAAGGACAAATATATTAGACCACAAATATTCAGAATTCGTCGGTTTTTCATAAAGCAAGTAAGCCAAATGGCCGTGACATTCAGCGAGATCGATCACTAGGGTTTGATTGGGCCGCCGGTAAACCGGGAAAATATCGACCGACGGGAACGGTGCTGTAATGGGCTTTATAATGCTTTGATAAAGGAAACAGCTGAGTGCTTTTCCGTTCGACCATCTCTCTTCATTCATGCCCAGTCATGCTCAATTAATCTTAACCGGAGTCTTTCAATAACACTATTAGTTGCCCCCGATACCTGCGGGGAGGGGCGGCGAGGGATATTATATCTGACAATTGCGAAAGGTGATACATGTACACTTAAGTCGTTCATACATCACTCTCAGGGCTTTGAAAAAACCCGCGTCCCAACAACTAAGATCCAATTAGCACTGGCGCTGTGTACACTTATATAATGCAGTTTTAGAAAACAAGGTCACGCATCTAAATATACACGATTGTTAACGCGTTGGTGAAACCTTTATAAAATGTTTGGTCATTGATGTGTAGGATTAGATCACTGCGACGGATACGCTATCTTTACAATAGATTTGAAGAGGGTAAAACAAAAGTGACGTTTAAACATAATGTTCAACGAAGACGTTGCTCAACGTATATTATTTATGTATCGCTCTAAAATCGGAAATTGAAATATAGTTATATTAAAAGTTAAAGTGTGTTTGGCTGTGGGTAGCTGTGGTTGTGATGGTTTAGTATGAGCAAAAGGCGTGCTACCGGCGCTCTTAATTACATTGTGTGATCATTTTTGTCCATTTACTTTTCCTATAGATTTAAAATTCTTTGCCCTATTAGAGAACCTTCGTGCATAAAAGTAAACAGCCAACGAGTTCAAAGAAGGGAACGTTTCAGTTTTAGTTTCATTTTTATTTTAACTTTTATTTAGAATATTTTTATAATAAAAAGATTTGATTTAAATTGATACATTGTATATAACAAAATCTGTAACAATGATTGAGGTACTATTTGGTAAAAGTAACCATTGAATATAGAAATAAAAAAAATGGCTTTCAGTTTCAATTTGTCGAGAATTTCCGTTAACTATGGAACTATATTCCTATAAAAGGTGAATTGTGGGTGTGGTGGTTTAATGTGTGTATATTTGGCGGGCTAAATTTCATCGTATTCGACTTAAATCGATTCAATACATTGTTTATATCTAAAGTTAACGTGGTTTCAAAATAGATTTGAAATCATAGTTTGACGTTTGTTGTTACCTTTGTGATCACTGAAGTGTTTTTTTAAATAAAGAATAACAAATAAATAATTTTGGTTTTAAAGTTACATTTGATGCATATTTTAGAAAAATAATTCTATGTTGTAGATCTTTAAATTAATTGTTCGTATTGCTAACCAAACATGGATTTAACTAAACAGTCAATGAATGGAATCCCGTTGAGTTTGGTGAGTAGATATAATAATTTCTTTTTGTTACAACCTGAAAATATACTTAAACTGTGCAACAGCATAGAAGAATACAATACTTTAATTTCAAATCGCACCTCCCTGAGTCGGAAATACTCCACGTCTGTGTATGTAAATATGTGTGTGTGTGTCTGTCTGTCTGTAAACACGATAACTTGAGAAATATTTCAATTAGTTGAAAGAAATGTCAGTATTAGCTCCTGTAAGAACATTTTCCTGCAACAAAAAGAGGTAAACAAAACACATAAATACAAAGAAAACATCTAATTAAAAATATAATAAAGTCAATATGATCTTTGGCATTGCATTTCATTGGCCAGAGCTTCATAATTAGGAGCGTATGACGATAATCCTGTTAGCAGACAATCATAAAGATGCTTATCGGTGAGTCGAGATCTATATCTTGATTTTATTAAGTTCATGTTTGAAAACAATGATTTGCATAAATTTGTCGAACCGAAAAATGATTCAATTTGATATTCCGCTTTTTTCAACAATGGGAACTTTTCTCTATCCACTGTATTCCAAAATTCCTCTGACTCCCCACTCAATAATAATAGTTTATTAATAGATCATCGCTTATGAATACAATAAATTACGCACCTCGCTTTTAGCCTGTTAATTTTTTTTTATAGAAAACTCCTAATTCGTGTTTCGTCTGACGAACATGTCTCTTATCTAACTGTTGCGAGCCGAACAGAGCAGCAATTACAATGACAACAACGCGGTTCCAGGCGGGGAATGCTTTTTGCGCATCACTCCATGTACACGCGGAAAACCCGAAGTGAGTCGATGATCGCCGAAGCAATCAGAGTTATGTGCCTTGTGATTTGGCGCCTTCGGCGTTTATCGGATCAGTTCGTGACGTTCGTTCCATTCGTTCACTTCGGGTTTTCTGCGTGTACAAGGTGTGATGTGCAAATGGCACTAGCCGTTCCAGGCTAGCGTAAATAGTGTAGTCTGGCTCGCCGCTAGACAAGTTGGGACAAGTATCGAACATATTTAATAAGCCTAGGCAGTAAAAAAAATTAAAACTGTAACAAATGAATAAAAATAAATCATATTTTAAAATAATGTTTATGAAAAAATGCTGTCTCTGTCGAATAACGAGAGGCGGGCACATACGAATCGTTCAGCGGGCGCCAGGGCGCCCGCGGGCACAGGGTTGGGAACCCCTGGGCTAGAGTATCCATTGCGGCTATGGCATCGATTATAACACTGCACGCTCAGCCAAGCTTTACGAGCAATTGATTTTGTGTACGTTGAAAGCTGAGAGTAAAACCTTTCAAAACTGTTCTGTTGTATTATTAAAATGTTTTTTTCAGATTGATTTGCTTTATTTGTTTCACATCTAGTTTTTAACAAAGGTATAATTTTTGTTGGCAGATCCATCCACATTATTTACACACCAACTCAACAAGCCATCCCTGGGCGCTTGGTGCTATTGCAGAACTAATCGGTTAGTCTTAATGAATATAAAATTAATGCACCATGAACAGAGTTTCTTCCAGACATCTCTTCAGGAGGGGGGGGGGGGGGTTGCTCCCCCCCCCCCGAAAAAATTCTACCGCCCTCTCGAACCATATGAAATTTATATAGTTTATATAGAAAATATATATTTTTAACAGTGTCCCCCCGAAGAAAGTCTACCGCTCCCCCCCCCCCCCCGAAAATTTCAAGTGCCACCCCCCCCCCACCCGGAGAAAAAAGTCTGGAAGAAACACTGACCATGAATCAGACATTAGATCAATGAGTTATATCGTTATCAAAGACGAGGCATGAATATGTCCCTGTTTTAGCAATAATTTTAAAAAAAGCGTATCCAAACATTTTAATGGACTCTTCAAAATCACTATGACATAATGACAAATTTTATTGAATTTTAACTAAATCACCCATGATAGCAAGGAGAGTCTTTCCAATTCAGGGCTTTATCATTTTAAAAAAAAACGAAAAATGATCCGCTGTTAAGCTTGTATATGACAATCTAAAATTGTATAAAGCGTTGTTGACCACATGTATTATTTGTTAGCATATAGATAGATCGATGCAAAAAATATTTTAAAACACTTCAAAATTGTATATATATATATATATATATATATATATATATATATATATATATATATATATATATATATTTATATATATATATATATATATATATATATATATATAGGCTACATAAGCCCGTTTGGTGACAGGACAAATGGCCTCAGGCTAAATATCCCAGACATAATATTCTCACTAATAAATGATCTCAGGACAATATATATATATATATATATATATATATATAATATATATATATATGTATATATATATATATATGTATATATATATATATATATATATATATATATATATATATATATATATATATATATATATATATATAATCATTTTGTTAAATGTTGATATCAACGCTATTTCGATAACTTTTACACAGATAACGCATGTGATCCCGATGTACAAGCGTCAACTTTACACATAGAGAAATACGAGTTGGGCAATAAACCAAATTTGACCTTTTTAGACGACGGATTTGGGATGAACTCAAAAAAGCTTCTGCATTTGCTGAGGTAGTTTTTAATCAGGACTTTTCACTTGTGTTTGCTAATGGGTGTCTTGATTGTCTAAGTTTACTATCAAAACTCTGGTATAAATGTATTGGTATGACAATTGTCTTAATTTGTATATTGAGGTATTATTTTACCTATCATGTTAACAGTAACATAAATAGTTTTAAAATATAAATTCTATATTCTACAGCTTTGGATTTAGCTACAAAAGAAGCTGCGACAGAAATAATTTACGCCAACCTATTGGTCAGTACGGCAACGGTTTCAAGTCTGGTACGATGCGTTTGGGCAAGGACGTCATCGTGTTCACGAAATGCAAAGAAACTGCCTGTGTGGGGCTCCTGTCACAGACCTACCTACAAGCAATAAAAGCAGAGTCCGTTCTAGTACCTTTACTAGAATATGAGCTACCAAGTTATATCCTTGAAATAAATAGGTGGATTCTGAGGTTGTTTTTTTTTAAGTATTTATTTCAATTCTACACAAGCTTTTCTTGCATTGCTGATGCTAACCTGAATGAACGTTTATGTTGGTAAACCTAACATAAGACCAAATTTTACTGTTTCTTTAAACAATTATTGCCTATTTCTTAACAATATTTTCTTAATTCTGTTTCACATAAACCGATAAATTGCGATTCACGGACCGAAAACCTGAAAGCCATTTTAAAATATTCTTTATTTCAAACTCAAAACGATTTGGTTGAAGAGTTAAAAAAGCTGGGTACAACAGGAACGAAAATCATCATCTATAATCTAAGAAGGTTAGTGCTATATGTCTAAAACTATACTACTGTCGCTGAAACAATAATAAACTATTTTCTTTCAATAATAATCAAATCTAAAAATGTCGACTATAAATATCTCATTCAAACACGAGTTAAAAACCAACTGATGACAGTTAAAGTTCTTTTGTTTAGAATTTTACAGTTCAAATAAAAATATTTTATTTTGTATTTGCTATTTATTTTACTTTGTTTTTTTTAAATATTACTTTTGGAATATGTAAAATAAGTAAGCAACGGTTTTCTACTGTTTTCTGCGGATATTTAAATACATTTTTAAATATCTACAATAACAATTTAACCAATATGCAACCACTTTTGTCCAATGTTATCCTTGTAATTTATTTTCTATGATTGGTTGATCGAATGATATTGTCAAAGTGATTTCTCCATCGCACTAGGCTTGACAACGGACGGTACGAGCTCGACTTTGATAGTGATCCTACAGATATCCGGTGCCCTGAAGCCTACACGGCAAGGTCAAACAGAGCTGATGATCGATACAACAATGAGTACAGAAGATCGTTAAGGGTAATCACCAATCACGAACACATATGTCTAATTTTTATCAAGTAATGTAGCTTAGATAACACAATGAGTACAGAAGATACTTAAAGGTAATCACCAATCACGAACAAATATGTCTAATTTTTATCAAGTAATGTAGCTTAGATAACACAATGAGTACAGAAGATACTTAAAGGTAATCACCAATCACGAACAAATATGTCTAATTTTTATCAAGTAATGTAGCTTAGATAACACAATGAGTACATAAGATACTTAAAGGTAATCACCAATCACGAACAAATATGTCTAACTTTTATCAAGTAATGTAGCTTAGATAACACAATGAGTACAGAAGATACTTAAAGGTAATCACCATTCACGAACAAATATGTCTAATTTTTATCAAGTAATGTAGCTTAGATAACACTTTCGTTTTCTACTTATTTTGGAATTGGTTTCTCTGCTACTAAATCATTATATCTATCTATATATATAATTCTCTTCTGGGAGACATTAGAAAACAAGCTGCAAGCGCGCCTTGCAGTCCCCTCTCTTCCACTCTATCGCTATCCCCCCACCCCCCCCCCCACCCCCACCCCTCACATGGTCTGGTGAGCTGTAGTTCACTCTAAATGTTTACATTTTACAATCATAGAGCCGGGTTTGGTGACGGCTATTAGGGGCAGATAATTTAGTTTGAAACGATTTTAAACTTAGAGGAGGTAACTAAGAGGAGGCTGCTTTCATGGGGGGGGGGGGGGAACGGGGGAGTTTCAGTGGCAGCATTGGTACTGTCGAATTCACAAATTATGAATTACTGAAAAGTAGAAAAAACAACAACTAAATAGCGGCGTATGGTACACCGCGGGTCGGCCCGTATATATAATTCTCTTCTGGGAGACGCTACAAAACAAGCTGCAAGCGCATCCTTGCAGTCCCCTCTCTTTCTTTCTTTCACTATCACTACCACCCCCACCCCACCCCCACATGGTCTGATGAGCTGTGGTCACGCTAAATGTTTACAATTCGTAGAGCCGGGTTTAGTGACGGCTATTAGGGGCAGATAATTTAGTTTGAAACTATTTTAAACTTACAGGAGGTGACTAAGAGGAGGCTGCTTTCACGGGAGGGGGGGGGGTGTTGGGTCGGGGTTAGGGGAAAGGGGGGGGGGGGTTTAGTGTTTTAAAACAAATATTTTCAGTGGCAGCATTGGTACTGTCGAATTCACAAATTATGAATTTACTGAAAAGTAGAAAATAAAACAACTAAATAGCGGCGTATGATACGGTCGGCTCGTTATAAAATAAAATGGATATATTAAAAGAGGCGGTATCTACCGTTCTAAAGCAAGGAATCAAGTTACCGACTGCAATGATGTTAGGTACCCATCAGAGCTGGGCCACGCCGTCTAATAGTCCTACACATGACATACCACAATAATTGTATGTGTGTGTTTGTGTGTGAGTAAATTTCAATAGTTTTTCAACAAATTTAATAATTCGTGGGGTTTTGTTTTCTTTTAGCAATATTGCAAAATTTTGTACTTTCGCCCAAAAATGAAGATATTTATCCGAGGGGAAGAAGTTGAAGCGCAAGTAATGTCCAAATCGTTACTTGCAACAACAAACACATATTACAAGCCTAGAAGTCAGGTAATATCGTAGTATTTAAATATATGTATAATATGTAAGAATCAACGTGTAAAACAAATGACTTAGTTACTTATTTTTAACATTAATATTTGTTCATTTGACTTACAAACATCATCTTAGGAGTCACAAGTGAGAATAACACTAGGTTTCTCTCGAGAAGATGACACAGAAGATTACGGCATGATGTTGTACCACAGAAACAGGCTGATTAAAGCTTATGAGAGGGTTGGGTGCCAGAAACAGGTTCGATGTAACAACTTTGATCTAATATATTTTTACTTTTTTATATATGACCCTCCCGTTTAGAAATGTAATTTAGTAGTTATGTTGTTGTATAGAATATTCTAATTATTTTAGTGCTTAAATTGTTGTTCTATCATACATATCATGTAACCAATGTTTACAAATGACCCAATTAATATAATTCTAGGGGTCGGCGTGGTCGAGTCGGTTAAGCTCATGGTTGCTAAACCGAAAAGTCTCGAGTTCGAACCCTCGGGCAGATGAGGCTCGTTAGCTGGGACAGTCACTCTTCTAGGAGAGACAACTCCAAAATTAAACAACTGCTGCCTTGTAGTTTGTTCTTGGTTGGACAAAGGCTATGGAAGCAAATCCAAAAAGAAAAGCAGGCTGAAATCGGAGTCAATGGCCTCAATGGCGCATAACCAGTTGACACGTAACGCTTAATTGTGTTGGAGGCGTGGTCGAGTCGGCAAAAAGCTCAAGGTTGATAAATTCGAACAAAGTCTTGAGTTTAAACTCACTGGCAGATAATTCTCGATCCCCTCCAACACTAATAATTAAGAACGAAGAAGAAGAAGAAGAAAGATATAATTCTAATAATAGATGTTGGTATCGCCATTTTAGTACCGAATACGACCGCGATGTGATGTTTGTGTTATGTATTTTCTTTTTCTCCTACTTATCACACGTAGTTGTACTGTTAAATATCCTTTATCATAGACAGTATTTTATTTTTAACATTAGTAGTTTATACATTTATAAAACATTGACTTTGTTAAGAAGTTATTTATTATACTTAGCTGTTATTTGGAAGTAACTTGTGCCTATTTCTGGTGAAATGTTGATTTTGATGTTCTTATCTAACATTTACATAATCTAAAGACAATATTGCTTTAAAGTATTAATTAGAAATAGCCTTGTTTGTGTTATGTATTTTCTTTTTCTCCTACTTATCACACGTAGTTGTACTGTTAAATATCCTTTATCATAGACAGTATTTTATTTTTAACATTAGTAGTTTATACATTTATAAAACATTGACTTTGTTAAGAAGTTATTTATTATACTTAGCTGTTATTTGGAAGTAACTTGTGCCTATTTCTGGTGAAATGTTGATTTTGATGTTCTTATCTAACATTTACATAATCTAAAGACAATATTGCTTTAAAGTATTAATTAGAAATAGCCTTGTATGATCCCTTAAGCATTGTGTTAACACACACTCACACACACACACACACACACACACACACACACACACACACACACGCACACACAGACAAACAGACAAAAATATCGATGTTTTTGCTCAATTAAAAGAATTCTTCCTTATTCTCTATACGATAAAGTAAAAATGATGATTTATACAAAACACACATTCTCTAAGCTTTATTTTGATTTTATAATGTCAATTTTAAGGCAAATGAACGGGGCGTGGGTGTTATAGGTGTGGCCCAAGTTGATTTTCTCAAACCTACACATAACAAACAGGATTTTGAATTAGACTACATGTACAAGTAAGTTTCTTTTAAGCTTATCGGATAATATGATTTAAAAACTATTTGATAAAGCTTTGAATATATTTCATGATTCAATACTTTTCTGCAACTACTCGTAAGTACTAATTCAACTACGGTGACGTTGAACAACAGTATTGAAAATTGTTCAAATAAAAAATTATTATTTTACTCTTTTTCCCAATTATCAGATACTTCTTGGCTTGCTACGTGTTCAATTCAATTCAATAACGGTAACAACAGCAGGCACACATGCCTTTTTTCACATTGGCCGTTATAATACAAAGTGAGATAAAATAAGAATATAATAGGTGAATGAGAAATGTTACAATGAGTCAGTTAGTGAGGTCATTAAATAATTTTTGTTTTAGTTTAGTATTGAATGTATTTTTTCAGATCTTTTCAGATTTTATTTTATTAGGAAGATTGTTCAATAAATGGTGCGACTAGTTCTTTGTTCGATTCTTGGGATTCTCTCAACTTCAAAAGGGATCAGATACTTTTATTTGATTTAATTACATCTTGCCTGGATCACTGTATTAAAGGGAGTTAAATATAACGGATTCTTCTGTCGCTATATAATCAGTAAAATAACATACGGTCGGAGTGAAGGCGATAATCTTTAGCTGAAATTTTAAGAGCTAAGAAAAATATTAAACGGCTTTATATATTTAAAATTATGTAATAAACCTGTTTACTAGAAAATTTGTATAATGTATCGAATAGATCATTTTTATTGCTCGTTTTATAACAAGTCTAATACTGCAATTTTCAAATTGTTAACTAAGGTAAACTGATACAATACGACGATTGCTACTGCTTTTTACTTTGTGCAACCTAAGTGATAATTTATTAGTGTCGAAGTTGTTCTAAAGACACGACCAAAATTGGACCAATAAGTTTTCACCTTTTACAAACTACACTATACTAAAGCAGTGGTTCTTAACCATAGTTAATAGTTTTATCGTCCACGCTGACAAAATCTGATCATGAATCGTATGAGTCGGGTGTGTGTCTTGACCTCCGCCGAAGCCCTGAGACTGACTCACTGAACCTCTGGGGTACGATCGAACCCAGGTTAAGAACCACTGCTCAAAATCCTTCTGATTTTTTTCTTTTTATTCGTTTCGGCTTTCTAAAGAGAATAGGTTAGGCAACACTTCCTCAACTCACTTGATTTTTTATGAAGATCGATCCTGTTAATAAAGCCTACCCTTTCTCTATTTCAAACGATTTCCTTCAAGATGTTTTGGTCTCATCCTGAACCTGCCTAGTGATGCTCAGTGTTTCTTCCAGACTTTTTTCTCCGGGGGGGACACTTGAAATTTTCGGGGGGGGGGGGGGCGCGGTAGTTCTTCGGGGGGGGGGGGGGCGGACACTGTTAAAAAAATATATTTTCGATACAAATTATATAAATTTCATTTTGTTCGGACGGGGGGGGGGGGAGATGCCTGGAAGAAACTCTGGTGATGCTATTTACTGTCTATCATAATATTGTGCCCTAACAACCACCTTTTCATTCTCCACTGTTTTTAACCTAGCTCCGAGCCATACATTAAAAGAGACTTCACATTTAGATATAGATCCTGATTAATTTTTTTGACAATGCATTTTAATTCCACATTTGCTTAAAATGTTAAAAAGCATTTCGTTGCTGTTGATTGTAATCTGAACGTCATGGGCGTCAGCTACTATCATTAAACTGGTTATTATTGCTTCTTCAACCAGAAAAAAATTGTTCTGCATCGTGTTGTTTACTATGTACGAAAGGGCAGCGCACAACTGTGAAATCCAAGACTTAGAGCTGTTGTGTCCCGTTTGATTTGAGTTTGTTTCCTCGAACTTGTTTAATTATATAATCAACCAGTCAACTAAATAGGCCTACCCATGTCATATTCCAATGTGTACTATAAATTCCTATTGTATGTCACTTATATGACCTTATTCTAACCAACTTATAATCCAACTATGTCACATATCATAACATAGACTGCTCCAAAGATAGAAAAAAAGACTGGCCTGAACAAATTAGCTCCTATTACAAACTACAGATAAAATCCAAATCAGTCTTATTTTTGTATGACATGATTAATCTGATTTTTAAAAAAAAAAATTCATAAAAAACGTTTTAATAACAAGCTTTTATGTAATGATGCACTAAAAAGTAGAAAATAAATTATACACTACTATTTAAATTACTATAAAGAAAATCGTGGGTCACTTTAGTACTTTAGTACCTATTGGATACCTTTACTAATATTTGAGAAGAGACCCACGCTTTTCTTTATAGTAATTTAAATAGTAGTGTATAATTAATTTTCTACTTTTTAGTGCATCATTACATAAAAGCTTGTTATTAAAACGTTTTTTATGGAATTTTTTTTTCAGTACTTTACATGTTTTATTTGCAATAGTGTTACAAGATTAAAAACCATTGCGTGTCTATTGAACGTGATAGCGCAGCTATTAAACCTGATTGAACGTGATGACGTATGTGGTGTGGTTGGATAGACATGCCTACTAATTCGGTCCAAATTTTAATTAATTCATAAAAAATTAATTAGACATCCAATTAAGTCAAATTTAGATTCAGATTGCATTGTCTTCATGTCTTGACCCACGTGCCAACTGTGAATCGTATCGGTCAAGTAGAACTGTCCGAGTTTTCACTCCTGCGTTTCCATCTAGACTGACGACAGACTGTCGACAGAGGAAGTGAGTTAAATAAAAGCTTGTAAAAATAATTACGCAAGGTAATTTAATTGGCGTCAAGTAAACTTTTAGGGAACCAAAATCATACACGGTAATTATTTAATCTTTTCCGGACTGTCGCACATACACACACACAGACACACACATAGATACACACATAGATACACACAAACCAGAGGCGTATCCAGGTTTTCGTTGTAGGGGGAGCGAAAAGAGCAAAAGAAGGCGCCGAATTTTTAACATGTTCTAAATACGTGTATTATATATATATATATATATATATATATATATATATATATATATATATATACATATATATATATATATATATATATATATATATATATATATATATATATTACTAGCTGTATGTCATTACTTCGCTATGATGTAAAATAAATTGAAAGTAGCACTCTGAAGAAATAAGAAAAAACACACAATGTAGGCCGACAAAACAAAAATTGTATCAATCTAAACAAAAAAACAAAATATACACACGCTACAACCAAAAACAATGAACGTTACACAATCTGTTTTGTAATTCTTGTAAAAACAAAGTAATTAAAAACTCTAGTGACAATTTTAGCGCAATTTCCTTATGTTATCTAAAAATAGCTCTGTCGTAGCGTAAATCAAGAGCAGGGTTAGTAAAACCATTGGTTAGTTATTAAACGTTTTTTATTAATTTTTTTCAGTATTTTACATGTTTTATTTACAATAGAGTTACATGACTAAAAACCATTGCGCGCCTACTGAACGTGATGGCGCAGCCATGGAACGCGATGGCGCAGCTATTGAACGTGATGACGCGTGTGGTGTGGTTGGAAAAAATGCCTACTAATTCGGTCCAAATTTTAATTAATTCAAAAAAATTGTTGTGACCGAACGAAATGATATTTTTGAAAACTTTCTTCGGCAATATTGTTCTAAATTATGGCAGGAATCGATTGGTACATGTTTCAAGTCGCTTAGTGGTCTGGTTGCCGAGATATGGGCCAAAAACTGCATTTTTTCGAGGTTTTTTGGCTTTTTCGGGAAATCCATGAAAGAAACCCGTAATTTTTATGGCCTATGTTCATCCTCGTAACTTGCTTAACATAATTGCTTTTGGAACTAGTCATCGATACTGCTTCGTTGAGGAGGAGATACGACTTAAAGCCCAGACACACATTCATCCATACATTCATACATTCATTCATTCATTCATCCATCCATTCCCAGAAATGACGAGTTAATAAACGCAATTCTCCAGAATGGAAATTGCGCTAAAAATTTCTTACATAATAATTCCTGGGAAATTATTTAAGACAAGTGAAATAGGGGAAATAATCACTCTCTTAATATAAATATGTATATATCTACACATTTAATTATAAATGTCAAAACAAATAAATAATTACTTTAGAATATAATGAAATTGTTTAACACTATTCGTGTTTACAAAATGTTTTTGTCCAAAATCTGTATTAAATATATCGTCATCATAAATGCTAAAGTATTACAGCATAATGAAAGTTTTTTAAAATCAGAGTTGGAATAAAACGACGTTTTTTTATCTCATAGTAGGGGTCGGCGTGGTCGAGTCGGTAAAGCTCATGGATGAGGCTCGTTAGCTGGGGACAGCCACTCTTCTAGGAGAGACAACTCCAAAATTAAACAACTGCTGCCTTGTAGTTTGTTCTTGGTTGGACAAAGGCTATGGAAGCAAATCCAAGTCTCGAGTTCAAACCCACTGGCAGATAAATCTCATTCCCCTTCAACACTAATAATTAAGAACGAAGAAGAAGAAGAAGATCTCATAGCTTACATTTAACTAAATATCAGTCTTTTAGTTCAGATCATTTTTTTTAATTAACTACTCTTTCTTTGTGTTTTTTAAAGATAATTTTTTTTTTAACATAGTGATAGGTATGGGTTAGATCACTCTATTGCTTAAACACCTTTTTACTGGTAATTGTAAAAACAATATTCACAGAGTTTTACGTTTAAAAAGCTAATTTTCTGGCGGCATGGTACTTTGGTACATCATTACGCGTTTTCCCAAAAGTACTCAACAAATCAGTTTGGGGGTGGTTGGGGGGGGGGGGCTGGGTTTAACTTCATTCACCACTGTTCGGTCACTTTAGGTCAATTATCCAACCCAGCGTATACCTAGGTGTGACATTAATGTCGCTTTACACAATTGTGGTGGTGAGGTGTGTGTGTGGGGGGGGGGGGAGAGATAACCAACCCAGAGTGAACATAGCGTCAGTTTTTAGTTGACTGTTCTAACATACATATATATTACACATGTATACTGATTCAGAAATATATTTAAATAAGTAGCAGTGGTATTATGACAATATTTTTTTTTACAGAGTGGTCCATGGGGCAGGGGGGTTGTAACTGTTTCATATAGTTTGTAATCGTAATTACTATCGCCCAATCTGTAAGAATACTACTACTTCATCGTGATGACGTTGTTGACCTTGTCAAAATTTCCCCACCGCTACGCAGATTGCCCATAAGTAAATTTAAATAGAGGTGCCACATCAGTTGTATTTGTTTCTGTATTGTAATTTTTTTTAAATTAATCACACGATTCAAACTGTATATATAAAGTAATTTTGTGTGAAGTTTTATGTATAACATTTTCTAATTCAATTATTCGTAAACAAATACATTATACAGTTGCCTTAAACTTAACACCCCTCTTGCAAAGTGGTACTACCCGTACAGGTTTTTTGAACATTGCAATGTATCGTAATGGTTATTTTTAGAATGGCAAACTGATGCAGTTGTTAATGCGTGTAGTAAACGTAGACACTACTAGGCTAGAACAATAAGGCTTAATTGCTGCATGAACAGAAATCTTGTGATTTACATAGATATGCCGACCAAAAAATATTTTTTAAACAAATATCATTGATTAAAACTTTGAGTTTAAAAAGTTTCCAAAAAGGCGCCACTTTGGTGAAAATGGCCAGAGGGGGAGCGGCCGCTCCCCCTGCTCCCCCCCCCCTGCGTACGCTACTGACACAAACACACACACATATATTTCACTTTTACGTGAAATGTTCTAATTTTATTCACAGTACAGCAATGAGTGCATTTGCAAATAAACTGAACGACTATTGGAACAATAAATCAGAGGAGTACAACCGGTATGAAAGATTAGCTTAGTTTAATATATTGTATAGCTAATGACTGTAAATACTAAATTAGATGCTAAATACATGTTTTTAAAGCTAGGCGCATTCTCATTAGGTTCATGTATATATATATATATATATATATATATATATATATATATATATATATATATATATATATATATATATATATATATATATATATATATATATATATATTTATTTATTTATTTATTTATTTATTTATTTATTTATTTATTTATTTATTTATTTATTTATTTATTTATTTATTTATTTATTTATTTATTTATTTATTTATTTATTTATTTATTTATTTATATATGCAGGTCGGTTCCAGGATCCAGTTCTGCGAGCATTAAAGTATGTACCTTGATCGTTTATTCCCCATATTCTTCTAAGATTGTTGAGATAGTTGTTTACAGTTTAAAGCCTTTATTTACGGAATTAGGTTCTGAATGAAATTTTTTCTTAAACAATGTGTTATCATATTGCTTTTGGCACATTTAAAGCATATGTCGAATGAAATTTCGTTTCATAAATTTGTAATGGCCCAAACATATATTGATACTTATAAGTACCGCCAGGAATGTAGGACATTTTTTCCAAAAAAAAAATAATTTACATAACAGGAACAAACGATACAATTTATTAACTACTAACATGGCAATCATTATAACAATCATTTTTTTTTGTAAGTTTCACGCATAAATACAGCACAAAAGTATATTTTGAGTACGAGTTTTACTGAATTTACTATCGGAACACATCTTAGACCTCAAACACAGCAAAAGTTGCCGACAAGTCATGCTCTCTCATTCTTGTCTGTGGTCTTTCTGGGTTAGAAACGGTTGCCGGACTGAACATGCTTTTGCTGGAACATTCCAATAGCTATTACAATTAGCCACATAAACAAACAAGAGCCTAGTCATTCAGTACACAACTACTAGTAATACTAGTATAATTGTAGCCTACTAGAATGTTATGACAAGTCTACACGACAGTTTAAAGTTCATAAATAGAAGCGAGCTCAATATGTTTAGGATAGCCGTAGTGGCCTACTGTTTTCTGTTTACTGATTAAAATTTACCTTATTGATCTATAACAGGGGTTCCCAACCTTTTTTGACTCTAGATCACATTCTAAAATATCGGTAGGGTGGCGCGCACCACCTATTTTAAATCGACAAACTCCTTCCAGAGGCGTAGCGACCCTTCCCGTCACCCGGGGACAAAACTTTCGATTTGCACCACCCCCCCCCCCCCACCCTCAATCTTTCGATTTGCACCCCCCCCCCTCAAATTTTCGATTTGCACCCCCTTCAAACTTTCGATTTGCACCCACCACCCCCCCCCTCTCAAACTTTCGATTTCCATCCCCTTCAAACTTTCAATAATGTTTATGTAAAAAATTCTGTCTCTGTCGAATAGTGAGAGGCGGGCACATACGAATCGTTCGGCGGGCGCCATGGCGCCCGCGGGCACGGGGTTGGGAACCCCTGATCTATACTATATGCAGAAGTGTGGACTATTACTAGTCTACAGGAATACATTACGTAAATGCTAGTTATTCTATGCGAAGACAGTTTATTGCAGTAAATATAACTAACAAATTAAATCTTACTACTAGAACTAGGCTTTGGTATACAAATAAAGTATACTAAACCTTGTAAACGAGCCTGCAACTGCTACCTTTGTTCCTGTTATTCTTTTACTACTGGAAATTAACATGTAATTACAATATTTCTTAGGTAAACCATATGCTAACCTTCTTATAAATGTGTAAATATCCTTTTTGAGTACATTTCGATAATTAATTATCAAGATAATATTTATGTCACTCCACATAAAAAATCTACTATTTCCTAAAAATCCTAAAAAATGACCGTGTGCCCTGACGGTACTTATAAGTCCTTTTGTAAACATCGATCTAATACAAAGACAATTTGGTAAAAATTGTACAACTAGAAGTTAAACGCGTTTGCCTGACTATTAAACGTGCCAATAAAAAATATTTGGGGTTGAAAACTTGAAAAATAAAGTAAAACAAAGGTAAATAAGGAACGTGTGTTACAACTATACGGAACAATTGTGAACTACCGATATAACAAGAGATTGAAAATGGTGCCACACCAGTAATTTTCAAAAAAACATCGATCCCTCCAACTACCAGCGACTCAGGGGAGATGATACAATTAATTACATCAATAATTTTTAAAGTTCTTATTAAATTAAAAATAATGCAGGCACTTAATTAAAGTGGTAATTATAAGTAAATAAAGGGTTAAAAATAGTCTTTTATATTTCCATTACATTTGTAAATTAAAATATACAGTCGTATTTTATGTGTACATTTTAGTGTCAGTGGCGTAGGCGGTGGGGGGGGGGGGGGGGCAAGAGCAAAAACAACAAAATAATTTTCTTTGCACCTTGACAGAAAAATGTTATTTTTTTTAAAGATCTACTACACCAGTGATGGTTATACAATAACTAAATCACACTATTGCATAGACCAAAAAAGAAAAATAAAATACATGAGCATTTGTGTTAGGATATGCAAATCTTCTAACCTCTTCCACGATTTATCCCCCCTACTTTAAAGATCTAATAACTTTAATAGTTCTGTACTAAGCCCATTAAAAACCATTTTCATCTCTTTATTATTATTAAATTAGAGTATACTAAAGAATGAAACACACAAACTGTTCAAAATTATAAATATAAATGCAAATAAAACCAGAAGAATTAAAGAAACACTGATTACCATAACAAATATCAAACATCCGTGGTTTTATACATTTTACCCGCTGGCTAGACAATTTTTCTTCAAACATTTATGCGGCTGTAAGTAAACTATTGAAAAATAAAAGTGTTTTTTTTAAAAGGTATAAATGAGATATAAACGTTTTTTTTTTAAAACACGATTATATCTGATATATAAATTACTAAATTAGGCTATGTTTAAATAATTAAATTAAAATTTAATATATTTGGTGTTGGGAAAAAAAATTTACATAATTAGCGGGGATTGATCAAGTGCAAATGTTTTAGGTATTTTACGGATAAGCTTGGAGTATTATAATTGTTCATTAAATTGAAACAGACGCGTCCGCCGGCGCCCCACCAGGGTTCAATTTGGCGCCCTGGGCTATCCTGCGAGCGCTATGGTGCATAATTTCGCTTTAAACAGTGCGATAGAGTATGGTAAGAAAGGTTACTATAGTCTTTAAGTGAATCGATTCCGGGCGTCCTCTGGCGCCCAGACAGGGTGCTATTTGGGGCCCCGGGTCTCCCGTGTTCGGTTTGGCACCTACGTTCGTTTAAGTGAGTGCAAAAGACTATGAATAACTTGGGGTACTATAGTCGTTTATTAAGCTGAAACAGGCGATTCCGCCCGGGCTAGACTGTGAGCACTTTGCGTTTATGTTCGCGTTTGTGTTTTCTTTGTGTTTAGGTTGGGTTTGCGTTAGTGGTTGCGTTTTGATTTGGTTCGTTTTTGTTCTTTCTTTTTCCGTTTTCGTTTGTGTTTTTTTCTTTGGGTTTGTGTTTGTATTTGTGTTTGTGGTTGGTTTTGCGTTTGGATTTGGTTTGTTTTCGTTTGCTTTTTCGTTTGTGTTTTTTCTTTGGGTTTGTGTTTTTTTTTGTGGTTGGTTTCGCGTTTGGATTTGGTTTGTTTTCGTTTGCTTTATCGTTTGTTTTTTTCTTTGTGTTCGTATTGGTGTTTGTGGTTGACGTATGGTTTGTTGTTAGGTTTTTGTTTTCGTTTGTATTTGTAATTGTGTTAGCGTTGTGTTTGCGTTTTGTTGTTTTGGTTTTGGTTGGTTGTGGTTTGGGTGGGCAATGCCGGGTTTATGATGATTACTAAACACACATGTAATGGTCTTTAACAGAAACGTTTTTCACAGAAGCCAGAGCAGGGCCTGGCCGGGACGGCTAGTATCTATCTTTATATATAATTCTCCTCTGGGAGCCGCTAGAAAACAAGCTGTAAACGCGCTCCCTACCTCCCCACCCCTACATGGTCTTAGTGAGCTGTGTTCACTCTAAATGTTTACAAGCAGAGCCAACGAGTTTAAACGTAGGGGGGGGAGGGGGGGGAGGAAGGGGGAGGGGGGGTTATGGTCCTTAACGAGTTACTTATAGTGTTTTAAAGAAATATTTTCAGTGGCAGCGTTGGTACTGAAAATAAAACAACTAAATAGCGGCGTATGTTATGCCGCGGGCCGGCTCGTATATATATAATTCTCTTCTGGGAGACGCTAGAAAACAAGCTGTAAACGCTCTCCCTACCATCCCCACCCCTACATGGGCTTAGTGAGCTGTGGTTCACGCTATGTTTACCTTCGTGGAGTCGGGTTTAGTGACGGCTATTAGGGGCAGACAATTTAGTTTGAAACTATTTTAAACGTTGGGGGGGGGGGGAGGAAGGGGGGGGGTTATGGTCCTTAACGAGCTACTTATAGTGTTTTAAAGAAAGGCCGGCTCGTATATTGTTTTTTGCGAGGTATGTTTTCAAATGGTCTATACCCATTGTTGATCTTTTCTCGAACCTCTTCATTTGTAATGTGATCTCCTGTATATAATATATATATATATATAATACCTATATATATATATATATATATATATATATATATATATATATATATATATATATATATATATATATATATATATATATATATATATATATTTATTTATTTATTTATTTATTTATTTATTTATATTTATATATATATATAGTGATGGAAAAATGTGAACCCCCCCCCCCGCGTTAGGCGATCCTTGCTACGCCACTGTATAGTGTTTATCTTATTCCTTATTTGGTAAAAGGGTAACATTGTTTCAGTTATCGTTTTCTTTTCGTTACAGACTCTACACGAAAGAATGATGTAAGTTTTTTTTTTGTGTTTAAAATATAACAGACCTACATGTCCAGTCTATTTCTAAGTGTCTGATTTCGTCTTTGCCCCCCTCCCCCCTCGACATCTCCCTCCACGCACTGTGCGTTGGACGATTGGGAGCTAAGACCAATTGAATAATACCTGTAACATCTCGCAAATTTGGCCTACTTATCACTTTAAAGCTTTCTGCAGAGGTGTCGAATTTATAACAACAAAACGACGGTATGGAAACAATATTCCTAAATTTCTAATTTACTGACAGCTAGAAAACAAGTATTTATAAATAAATAAATAATAACTGTGACATAATAACTGTACTAAAATGTACTCAAAAAAACTTAAATCCTTTAATAGAGTATCACTCAATGAAACATGAATACTGTTTATATAACGAAGGATAATGTATTTTCCTTCTCATTTGTATTGCATTCGAATGTGTTAATTATAAAGGGTTTTACTCTACTACTTGTTCCAGCTCATTATTTAGGCAGGAGTCACCTGGCTCTACTGGAAAAGATGGACAAAATTCTACATTAAATGTTTCATATGACGCAAGTGAAAGTAATAAAACAAACGAGAAACAGCAAAAGAATTTAAGTAAAACAAAAGATTTCTCGCTATCGATCAGCATGAGTACCAGGTCACATGAGTCTTCTAACAGAAAGCGAACTTTAGAAGTAAAGCATGACGTACCGGCACCAAAGAAAGGAAGATCACACACTGCAGTAACACAAGTGACTCCTAGTAACACAGCGACTACCTTTAAAGGTAACTAGAGTTTTACATAACAGTTGCTGGTTTAAAAACCGGTTAAATTAAATTACGGCAATTTTTTTTAAATTTAGGATTTTTCTTAAAAAAGATTCTACAGTTGAATGTAGTTCTTGTTTTTCAATACAAACTATTATTTGTGTACATTTCTATCCGCAATTTTAAATACATTTTAAAGCTTTTGTTAAAAATTAGTTTTGCAATTGATGTCTTTTTTCTTTAAATTTCTTCATTAAGTACACTTTTAAAATCTAACATATTTTAAGAACGTATAAAAGCAGAGACGTGTTTCTTGAATAAAAATATGAAATTTAAAAAATTACAGAATCGGTTGGTAGACATGTGAATAAAGTCGCCAATGCCAAAGGATCAGCAAATGAAACAGCCAGACCTCCTCCCACTGAAACAGCTGCGTCATCTCATAACATAACAAAGGCACCACCTATCAATGTAACAACTATACCACCTATCAATGTTACACCTTCATTGAACACAAGTGTAACAACTGCACCACAATCCAATGAAACAACAGCGTCGCAATCAAGTGTAACAACTGCACCACAACCCAGTGTAACAACTGCATCACATACCAATGTAACAACTGCACCACAATCCAGTGTAGCAGCTGCACCACATACCAATGTTACACTTGTATCAAATACCAATATAACAACTGCACCACATACCAATGTTACACCTGCATCAAATATCAATGTAACAACTGCACCACATACCAATGTTACACCTGCATCAAATATCAATGTAACAACTGCACCACTATCCAATGGAACAACAGCGTCACAATCAAATGTAACAACTGGACCACAACCCAGTGTAACAACTGCATCACATACCAATGTAACAACTGCACCACAATCCAGTGTAGCAGCTGCACAACATACCAATGTTACACATGCATCAAATACCAATGTAACAACTGCACCACATACCAATGTTACACCTGCATCAAATACCAATGTAACAACTGCACCACATACCAATGTTACACCTGCATCAAATATCAATGTAACAACTGCACCACTATCCAATGGAACAACAGCGTCACAATCCAATCCAACAACACAATCACAATCCAATGTAACCCAGTTTCATAGAAACGTCTTCATGTTTATTAGACTTTTCCATAATGGTGAGAATATTGAGCGTGTAGAAGATGTCGAAGAGTATGTTAAAAACGCTCTTCTTGACTTTATGTCAAGAGGCGGCAGTTAATTCAATGGGTTTTTTTATATCTTTTTTATCATGGCAATTTGTATAATATATTTTTCAAACACTGTGTTCATAAAGATATATGTTTTGTTTACATTAAAAAAGATTGATATTTAAAGAAAGCAAACTCAAATACCACCTTCTAGTTGTAACTATTACAATTTTATGAACATATTTTAGGGTCACGAGCTTAAAAATATGTGTTGTTTGTTTTTTATAATAAGCGATCTTCATAATTAATGAGATATTAAAGCTTGGTAATTTGTTCATAAGAAAATTACATTACTGGTAACAAAAACTTAAGATCTTTAATTTTCCGGTGATCATTGATAATAATCACTAAAGTGGTAACTTAAAAAAACGTGCAGAAAAATACAATATGTTTAACTATAAGTAATTATTATGTACAATGATCGCAGGGTAATACATTTACCGAAGCATACATTACAAACAAATAGCAATTCTCACAAATAGTAATTCTGCTTCATTAACACTTTTAGTTTTTACTTTCATTAACTTTTGTTTTAATGGAATTTATCTTTAGCCCAACGCTTATAGCAATTGCTCTTATTTTGCATGGATATCTTTTTGAGCATGTTAGAGTAGAGCCAAGTCATCAGCAAAGTCACAGTCACAGTTCTCAGAAACATTCAGGTCGCCCTTTATGGGTAATTCGACAATGTTTCCCCGTTTCCATGAGTCTGGCACTTTTTCTTCATTCAATACTTTATTGATGATCCCTGATAGAGTTTGTGCGCATATTTTTTAGTCTGCCTTTAGCGTCACAGCAGTGATTCTGTCATCTCATCTCATGGAGCCTTTTTGCTTTTTGTTTCTTGAATAATTTCTATTATTTCTTGTTCTGAGATGAGTCCTCTAGATATTATTTCAAAATGTAGAATGTCAGTGAAGTTAGGAATTTCTTCTGGGTCTGGTCTGTTCAGGGTCTCTTCAAAGTATTCTGCCCATCTATTCAGTTGCTTTTTCTCCGTTATGAGAATTCCCCCATTTTTGTCCTTGATAGTGGATGATCTGTTTGCTATTCCGACTGTGAGAGTCCTAGTAGACAGTTCTGCTATCTCCCCTATCAGCTGCAGCCTGTGCTTCTGTGGCTATGTTGTCCAAAGTCTCTCTTGGCCTTCGCGGCATTCCTTTTTACCTCTTTGTATAGTCTTCTATATTTTTCATCATTCCGTGCTCTGCTTTCTATGGTTCCAGATATTGTTTTTAATTTGGCTTTTCTTCTCTTTTCAACGAGATTCGAGGTATCTTTTGAGATCCACTCCTTCCTTTGTTTCTTCCTATGTCCTAGTGTACATTGGCTTGTTTCCGTATATACACCCAGGATCTCCTCGCATTGATGTATTGATGTGTATTATCTTGTGATTGCCTGATTAATAAACCGGGAGTGATCTCCCCTAAACTTTCTCGAATATTCTAATATAACACTATGGTGGATGGCAACTCGGGATTTAGACTTCTAGACATAATTTTTAATCCATTTTAATTAATCAAATTTTTAAAAATAGAATATAATCTCGTAGAAAAAAGAAATGCACACCAAGTGAACGCTAAATAAAGATGTGCATAATAGTGCGCAATCTTATTAGTACTTTATAAATTTACATGCGTTTTTTGAGAAATCGGAAATAGCGTAAATAAGTACTTCCGGTCAACGGAAATTACTCAAAATTTGACAGAAGGTAGAGAATTAGATCTTTTACTTTCATATCAAATTTCATTTATCTATCTGAAATAGTACTCAGGTTATAGGCTTTTGAAAAATTCAAAGTAGAAAAAGTACCACTTCGGGTTATCGGAAATCGCTCAAAAGTTAATACGGATCTACGATTTTGATAAAATACTTATATATGAAATTTCATCAACCTAGCTGTAACGGTACTCAAGTTATCGTGTTTACACACGGACACACACACACACACACACACGCAGACAGACACACAGACATATGGACAAGATTGCAAAATTATGTTTTTCCGTATCAGTGAGATGTAAAACGTCGAGATTTGTAAAAATCTCGATTTTTTTTTGCACGATTACAAGACTTTCTCTATACTTCGTATATACGAGAAAGTAAAAATTGTGTAATGTTTAGATAGACCTAGCAGATAGAACATATTTTACTTTTTTTTAAAAATAAACCGGGAGTGATCTCCCCTAAACTTTCTCGAATATTCTTATATAACTTGGAATGTAGACATGATTTTTAATTACTTAAACTTTTAAAAATAGAATAGAATCTCATAGAAAAAAACATTGCGCACCAAACAAACGCCGAAACAAAATGTGCATAATAGTGCGCAATATTATTAGTACTTCAAAAATTTACATTAGCTTTTTGAGAAATCGGAAGTAGCGTAAATTACTACTTCCGGTCAGCGGAAATTACTCAAAATTTAACAGAAGGTAGAGAATTAGATCTTTTACTTACATGTGAAATTTCATTTATCTATCTGAAATAGTACTCAAGTTATAGGCTTTTGAAAAATTCAAAGTAGAAAAAGTACCACTTCCGGTTGTCGGAAATCGCTCAAAAGTTGATACGGATCTACGATTTTGATATAATACTTATATATGAAATTTCATCAACCTAGCTGTAACGGTACTCAAGTTATCGTGTTTACACACAGACACACAGACACACAGACACACACACACACAGACATACGGACAAGATTGCAAAATTATGTTTTTCCGTATCAGTGAGGTGTAAAACGTCGAGATTTGTAAAAATCTCGATTTTTTTTTTGCACGATTACAATACTTTCTCTATACTACGTATATACGAGAAAGTAAAAAGATAATTAGGAAAATCTGCTCGAATATTTCATGAGCCGCTTATTTTTACATTTGTATAGCTACAAAATACATTGCATACTTCTATTAACAAAGTTTTGTAAATTTCTATTGTTTCTGTATTTAACAGCATAACTTAAACAACTTTTGACTAAATATGTTTCTGTAAATCCTGTAACCGTGATGTTTATCTTCCTTAGCTCATTACTTGCTGTAAAAAAATTTAAGTCATGCATATGATATATATATATATATATATATATATATATATATATATATATATATATATATATATATATATATATATATATATATATACGTAGATCAAGATCTGATTACAATGCAATGTTACATTGGATTTTCTATGAATTTTTCCATGAATTTATTCGAATAATTTTTATTTCAAAAATAGCTTTAGCTTCACTTTTTATATGCACATTTATTGCGTTTCTTTAACTCTCTTCTTCGTATAACTAACAATAGAAGCGTGGGTTAAAACCAATTAGAAAGGGTATTCAGTGGCAAAATAAAATTTGAACATATATCTGATTACCGGTTTAATTGTATATGATTACGCTATGGTGCTCCGTTCGTATTACATACGTAAATGTTTGTTGGTTTACTTTTTTTCATCTTAAAATGGTCCTACAGATTAAATTTAAAAATTAAATACAGCATACAGAGACCTACGCTTTGTTGACAGTTATCAAATAACTCTTCATTCTAGTTAATCTTGTAAAAAAAAGTATTTATCATCTTTTTACATTTTAATTTGTTTTCTTTTCTTAACATTAGCGAGTAGAAAATATGTGTAGAATAATAACATTTTATATTACATTTTAAATAGTCTGTTTTGATTTTACTTGGTTGTACCTTTATGTATCAAAATATATAATGTTATTAGAGAATGCTGGTGTGCGTGGGTCGATATTATAGTGTTGCTGCGAAAGCTGATGATAAATGTTAGGTAGCTATCGTGTAAATTATTGTAATTTTTAAAATTGGATTTGAATTTGGGTTGTTTTGAGTTGTTTCTTGCCGTGTCGAGTCATGGTGTTTTTCAACTTTGTCGTGTTGCAACCTTGTCGAGTTGTAATTTTGTAGTGTTGTGTTTTAGCGGTGTAGTGCTATATTGAATTGGTTTTTTTTTTTTCCTATGTTTGTTTCTTCTTTTTTTTTTTCATTTTGTCTTGTAAAACATATTTTGCAATTTGTTTAACTAAAAATAATAATCAGATAACAAATTTTAATATAGTCAGATTGTCAAAATTGGCGGCGTATGGCCAGAGACAGAAGTCAGGCGTGGTGTTAGTGTATTTCTTTTTGTTGTGTTTTTGATGTGTTATGTATTCTTCTAATGAATTTTTTTTTAAAATTGTGTATTAAGCGTCCCGACTAGGTTTTATATATATATATATACATATATATATATATATATATATATATATATATATATATATATATATATATATATATATATATATATATATGCAAATATAGAAAATATAGATAACCCTAAACCTAACTCCACACCTAACCTTAACCACAACCAACCACAACCGCAAACATAAACAAAAAATAGACATAGGCATTTCGGTTCTCCCCTCCTCTCACTTCTGCATCTAAAAAAAAAACAACTACAAACATTATAGAAATAAACCGAAATAGGTGCTTTTTGAAAGACGAAACGGTGTTGTTTAAGGCTTGGTGGGACACTGGGCAGGCGAAGTAGAGTTCATCTGTTTCTGTGACCTCAGCATATAAGTGATAGTCTGGTCAGACCAATGCTCAGTCGAAATCGTTCTTTTAAAAGACAAAAACACGTCTGAGGTGTGATGTCTTTTTGAATGTGGGGTCTGACTTTTTGTGAAGATGTGTGACAGTATGGAGGGGAAGAGAAAGATGAAAACCGTCAAATAAATATGACTTTCTTTATGGATGACCTCCAAAAATAACGCATAGTCTAGTAGAACTTAAATTTAAGAAGAATTAAAATAGCGGAAATGTGGTCTTAAGTAATGTTAAAATAAATAATAATTAGTTAACATGCTGCTTGACGGGCTTTTTAAAACAAAAATTAAAAGTAAAAAATTAATTATAATAATAGCAGTTTTTTAATTAATGAAAATATCTAACTATATTAAATCCTGAGCATCATTTTATTTACTTTCTCGTATATACGATGTATAGAGAAAGTCTTGTAATCGTGCAAAAAAAAATCGAGATTTTTACAAATCGCGACGTTTTACACCTCACTGATACGGAAAAACATAATTTTGCAATCTTGTCCGTATTATGTCTGTGTGTGTGTGTGTGTGTGTGTGTGTGTGTAAACACGATAACTTGAGTACCGTTACAGCTAGGTTGATGAAATTTCATATATAAGTATTTTATCAAAATCGTAGATCCGTGTCAACTTTTGAGCGATTTCCGATAACCGGAAGTGGTACTTTTTTACTTTGAATTTTTTAAAAGCAAATTACTTGAGTACTATTTCAGATAGATAAATAAAATTTCACATGTAAGTAACAGATCTAATTTTCTACCTTCTATCAAATTTTGAGTAATTTCCGTTGACCGGAAGTACTAATTTACGCTATTTCCAATTTCTCAAAAAACGCATGTAAATTTATAAAGTACTAATAATATTATGCACACTTTGCTTTGGCGTTCGCTTGGTGCGCAATTCTTTTTTCTACTAGATTCTATTCTATTTTTAAAAGTTTAAATAAACAAAAATCATGTCTATATTCCGAGTTGCCATCCCACGTAGTGTTATATTAGAATATTCGAGAAAGTTTAGGGGAGATCACTCCCGGTTTATTTTAGAATGTTAAATAAATTCTAAATAGGTAAATACAGAATTCTATAAATAAGATACTAAATAGTACAGGCGGAGAACGCAGCACAGATATTTAAGAAGACCAAAAAATGACGGAAATAAGGGCACCAATATGGCCTATAGAAATATTTCAAAAATTGAAAACTATTTGAAATGGATGGATGGATGGATGGACGGATGGACGGATGGGCGGATGGACGGATGGACGGATGGACGGATGGACGGATGGACGGATGGACGGATGGACGGATGGACGGATGGACGGATGGACGGATGGACGGATGGACGGATGGACGGATGGACGGATGGATGGATGGACGGATGGACGGATGGACGGATGGACGGATGGACGGAAGAACGGATGGACGGATGGACGGATGGACGGACGGACGGACGGACGGATGGACGGATGGACGGAAAAATGGATGGACGGAAAAACGGATGGACGGATGGACGGATGGACGGAAGGACGGATGGACGGATGGACGGATGGACGGATGGACGGATGGACGGATGGACGGAAGGACGGATGGACGGATGGACGGACGGACGGACGGATGGACGGAAAAACGGATGGACGGAAAAACGGATGGACGGATGGACGGATGGACGGATGGATGCATCGATGGATGGATGGATGGATGGATGGATGGATGGATAGATGGATGGATGGATGGATGGATGGATGGATGGATGGATGGATGGATGGATGGATGGATGGATGGATGGATGGATGGATGGATGGATGGATGGATGGATGGATGGATGGATGGAGGGAGGGAGGGATGGGGAGGGAGGGATGGATGGATGGATGGATGGATGGATGGATGGATGGATGGATGGATGGATGGATGGATGGATGGATGGATGGATGGATGGATGGATGGATGGATGGATGGATGGATGGATGGATGGATGGATGGATGGATGGATGGATGGATGGATGGATGGATGGATGGATGGATGGATGGATGGATGGATGGATGGATGGATGGATGGATGGATGGATGGATGGATGGATGGATGGATGGATGGATGGATGGATGGATGGATGGATGGATGGATGGATGGATGGATGGATGGATGGATGGATGGATAGATAGATGGCAATAATTAGTTATAGCATATATTAACTGAAAACTTGCGTTAAGTTGAATTGCAAAAATGTAAATAAATACAAGCGATCATTCGAAATCTTATTTTTAAATTTCTTGTCTAAAGACACATATACGCGCTCTATTAACTAATACGAGCCAACCCGCAGCGTATCATACGCCGCTATTTAGTTGTTTTATTTTCTACTTTTCAGTAATTCATAATTTGTGAATTCGACAGTACCAATGCTGCCACTGAAAATATTTGCTTTAAAACACTACCCCCCCCCCCTTTCCCCTAACCCCGACCCTACACCGCCCCCCCCCCCCCCCCCCCGTGAAAGCAGCCTCCTCTTAGTTATTTCTTAGTTACCTCCTGTAAGTTTAAAATCGAACTAAATTATCTGCCCCTAATAGAAACCCGGCTCTACGGCTCTACGATTTGTAAACATTTAGCTTTGTAAACATTTAGCGTGACCACAACTCACCAGACAATGTGGGGGTGGGGTGGGGGTGGTAGTGATAGTGATAGTGATAGAGAGAAAGAGAGGGGACTGCAAGGAGGCGCTTGCAGCTTGTTTTCTAACGGCTCCCAGAAGAGAATTATATATATAGATATGTGTATGAGGGGCATAAGATATTTGTTCAGATGTTTTTCACGGCTCTCTGAAAAATATCTTAACCCCCCCCCTTCCCCCTCCCCACTGCTCCGAAAACTACCAAGCGTGGAATAGTTAAAATAGCCTCGGTTCTATCTAGGTCAATAGAGACGGAGGCTTGAATATACCGCCCCAACTACCTGACAATTATTTTGTTCGCCGCTATAAGTTTCAGTTTCAGTTTGTGGGAAATTCCTGAATTTAACATTGATTTACTACGCGTAATTTGCCTACAAAAACGAAGTTTAATAATACCTTAAGTGTTGATAATAATTCAGCTTCTTTATCATATCAATTAACTTAATAAATTTTATAATTTGCTAAATTGTAGAAGAACTTTTAAAACAAAACAACGTTGCATTTTTAGTTTTCATTTTCATATTGGAAATTTCCTATTTCATAGAATTTAAATTTGAAATTTGCAAGTTTACTGTAGGCCTACAATTCAGTTACATTTCTTTAATCCTAGCCCTCTTCGGAATTTTTGTTTAGTAGCTGCTTTTTTACTTTCTCGTATATACGAAGTATAGAGAAAGTCTTGTAATCGTGCAAAAAAAAAAATCGAGATTTTTGCAAATCTCGACGTTTTGCATCTCACTGATACGGAAAAACATAATTTTGCAATCTTGTCCGTATGTCTGTGTGTCTGTGTGTGTGTGTGTGTGTGTGTGTGTGTGTCCGTGTGTAAACACGATAACTTGAGTACCGTTACAGCTAGGTTGATGAAATTTCATATATAAGTATTTTATCAAAATCGTAGATCCGTATCAACTTTTGAGCGATTTCCGACAACCGGAAGTGGTACTTTTTCTACTTTGAATTTTTCAAAAGCCTATAACTTGAGTACTATTTCAGATAGATAAATGAAATTTCATACGTAAGTAAAAGATCTAATTCTCTACCTTCTATTAAATTTTGAGTCATTTCCGTTGACTGGAAGTAGTACTTTACGCTACTTCCGATTTCTCAAAAAACTAATGTAAATTTTAAAAGTAATAATAATATTGCGCACTATTATGCGCTTTTTTATTTCGCGTTCACTTGGTGTGCAATTAATTTGTCTACGAGATTTTATTCTATTTTTAAAACTTTAAGTATTTAAAATGGATTAAAAATCATGTCTATAGCCCGAGTTCCCATCCCCTGTTATTTTATATAAGAATATTCGAGAAAGTTTAGGGGAGATCACTCCCGGTTTATTTTAAATTAAGTTTACCACCAGTGTTCATTATTGCAGTGCGTTAAATCTGAACTTCTTACAAAACATGGCAAGCGACCAGCTTACAGTGAATGGGATCTCATTGAGTATGGTAAGACTAGTTTTAGATTATATAATTTTGTAAAACCTTAAGAAAAATCCTAATTTGGAATATTGAATGTGTAGTATTTAGATCTAGATTTTAGATTTAGCTTTTTCTTTTTACTCTTTAAAATACGTTTGTGTCAGTTAAGATTTTCATGGCGATGGGTAAAATACCAAACTCATAATTGCAAGGCGGTTAATTTTGTTTTTGTTAAAAGTATCTCACACGCATGATACTATAAATAACATAAATGAACTCACAATGACCCCAACACTGAGGCCACCACAATTTCAACTAGCAATCGCCCAAGCTATGACGTATGGTGATAATTAAAGTCAATGTGAACTCACGGTGAACCCTCGACCGTGTATGGATTTTTCTCTCGCCGACGATTACATACTATTTAATTGGAACTGTAATGCTTACTTATAATGTTTTTTTAACCTTTCTAATTAAAACACATTAATGAAAAAATAATAAGTAGATCTAGATCTAATACTAGTGTTTTCTAAACGTTTCTGTGTGTTTTGGTTATGTTTATAATAAAATATGCTCAACCAGCGGTGTGCGTGAAGCCCGCGAATAAAATTAAAATAGAGATTTACCGAATGTTTTCACTTGTGATCTGTAAACCTGATACTGTTGGGGTAAACTGAATTAAATTAAGGGGGTGAGAGCTAAACACTATTTTGTTGAAAAAGTATTAGCTTGCGTTTTTAACTTTATTGCATTGCAATATTTCTTGAAAATTAATTTAAAAACTAACAGACCAGAATTTTAGAAAAGCAACTGCAGGTGTATTTCTATTATCTTAAACTTTTAATCTACAAAAAAAAAATGCTCCTAGGAATGTTTTCAGAGAAATGTAACAGCCCCTTTTCTTATCAACTCTGACCTAATTAGTCCACCGATACTATAATTGGTCTAGATTACGCATTTTCTACTTTTTTATGTAATGGGAACAATATAATATTAGCTTACGATGTCATAATCAATAACATTACCCCGTTTCATTGTTCGTTGATAGATAAATCAGCGTGCAGGCCTACAATGTCCTAAAGAAAATTTCACCGTAGTCTTAAAAAAAAAGTAGTAAACTGGTAAAAAGGAATGTGCTTGCCTTGAATTATGATACAATAAACTGAATAATGTTGGCTTTGTGGTTCAGTATACCACTTGTAAATACTATAAAACCATTTATCACAAATGTAACTGGATTGTTATAAATTACTTATGTCACATAATGTAACTTAAAGCACTTCTGACATCAGTGTAACAGTTGCTGTGTTTAATCGATCTCTGTCGGTTCATCCAGAATATGGTGATACTTGAGCATATTCAATAAATTTAACATTTTGTATGAATAAGACCATAGACTTCTTCTTCTTCTTCGTTCTAATTTTAGTGTTGGAAGGGATCCCCCCTCCAACACATTTAAGGATACGTGTCAACTGCGACATTGAGGCAATTGACTCCGATTTCAGCCTGCTTTTCTTTTTGGATTTGCTTCCATAGCCTTTGTCCAACCAAGAACAAACTACAAGTTATGAGTTGTCTCTCATAGAAGAGTGACTAACGAGCCTCATCTGCCCGAGGGTTCGAACTCGAGACTTTTTGGTTAAGCAACTATGAGCTTTACCGACTCGAACACGCCGACCCCTTAGACCATAGACGAATCGTAACGTCTCCATACATCCGTTTCACTTATTCCGATATCTCTTATACATTCATCACACTAGGCCTTATGTATCACTCTTATATCACAGTGGTATTGCTTTTATGACCCCCATTCTTCCTCTACATTCCCCCTCTCTTCTTTTTCTGCATTTGTCAGAGAACACACATTGAAACACAAAGTCATGATTTTTCGCTCATCCAAACTTCTAGTGACCTAACTTTCAATTTACGTCCCTAGCAATTTACAAAACAAAAAATAATATAAAATATTTATTGTTAATGAAGAGAACACGATTTCAACACAAAGTTCAATTTGGAATTTTTTTTTTATCTTATTTTAACGTAAGTAAAATCGTTTGCACAGATCCATCCGAAGTACTTACACAGTAATTCTACCAGTCATCCGTGGGCACTTGGAGCGATGGCGGAGCTGATAGGTGAGTTTATTTTATTTAGAATTATAGGCTACTATATCTAACTAGCATGCTGTGACCTACTTAGGTCTTCTATTTTTACTATTTGATTTTACAATTATTTAATCGACCTTGAGTGGTCTGTGGTGCAATCCAGAGAAATTTTCCATCACGTTATGTGATGAAATTCAGCAATAATTGCGATTGGTTGATTCGTACTTTGGCGACTTCCTACCCAATAGTCTTTTGACTTTGAGGTGGACATCCCATAATTCTGGGATCATATAAATATCAGGAAGTTTCCTCTCTCGTGGCAGATGACCAGACATTTACCGAGAGAGAATGCCATGTACGGCGCCATGTTGTATTTACTAAGTTAAGCAGCATTTTTCCCTAATTACCTGTGCATTAAGTATTTTTCTGTGCCTCAATTTAATATCGTGTAGGTTTTGTTGATTACTTAAGTACCTAATCCAGTGTAGTAGTTTCATTGTGTTATTCTTCAACTCGTAATTTGGGTCTTTCATTGTTTGTATATTTCTAATATTTTACATAGAATCAAGAGTTTATTATTTGGACTTGCATACATATTAAAAAGTTGTAAATTGATTAAAAGTATTATTAGTTGCAGAAGGTCTTCGTGTTTTTACCCTAGATATTAGATACGAGTTCACGGAGAGTTTTTGTTGTCTGGTAATCTTTTAGTTTCGTAATTCATCAGTCTACAACCATCCAAAAGAATTCGGGTCGTGCGTTATCTTTACCAGTGGTAGAGAAGCGCCGTAATAATGCCTCTCCCTTGCGCTTTGCTGCTGTTCCAGAAGCAGAGTTTCTTCCAGGCATCTCTTCGGGGGGGTGGAGGGGGGCGGCAGAAAGTCTACCCCCCCCCCGAACTGGATGGATTTTATATAGTAAACATACACTTTTACTAGTGTCCGCCCCCCCCCCCCCCGAAAAATGTTGACCGCCCCCTCCCCCCCCCCCCCCCTCCCCAAATTATCAAGTGCCCCCCGGAGAAAAAAGTCTGGAAGAAACACTGTTCAGAAGATGGGCTGATGCAAAAATTTTAAGAGTATTTCATCAATGAGTAACCAATCCTGTATTTTTAGACGCGTGACTTTGTTTTCTACAACTGATTTATTTCAATGTAAATTATGGACAGGGTTAGGGATTTGAAGATTGCTAGGTGGAAAGAAAGTTTTATGTATTTGTATAATATGTATTGTGTAGTGGGGTAATTACAAAGGTTGAAACTGAGAGGAGGTAATTGATCTGCGATCTAATGGCCGAGTGGTGGTAGGAATGGATGACATATTCCGTTCTGGTAAAGCTTTTCACATTACGGATGAAATTAAGATTGAATTTTATTTGTTTGCTTACCTTAAGTTAGCTTTTAATATTATTGGCAATTCTGTGCTTATTATTTAACATTTAATACGTACTAGTGGCTTTTGTTTTTAAAGTAGATATAAATTAAGCTGTACGTGTACAATGATCTGTTACACGTTTTTTAAAAATATTTTTTCAGTGTTTTTCGTTTACGTTAAAGTTACGCTTTGCAAATGTTTGTTATTACGGGGTAAAAGCTATATACTGTTACATAATGCTATTACAATATTTTACTTTTGCATATTTTAAATGTATCATATGAGGTTGTTTCTAACCAGGAGAGGGAAAGTATATTAATTGTGCAACGAACAATAATATTGAGGAACGAAAGGTGATGTGTAGGTTAATTTTTAGAAACATTTTGAGAACAAACAAATCTATCTGCGTTAACATTTATAATTGGGCATGGCTATACGTGGTTGGAGCAAAGACTAGAAGATAACGGCTAGTACTAAAGAATTCTATTACTGTTAAATATGAAATGTTTTATAACCATAATGTAAAATATAAAATGTTAAACACTTTAAAAGTTAAAAAGTAATACTATTATTCATAAGGTATTGGCAAATTAAATTTTTTTCTACAAAAAATGTTTAACATATAAATTCGCTTAAATTTATATCGATCTATGTATTAAAATTTTCAGAAATAATATATAATATAAACGGCGAAGTAGTGTGTCAGTTATCGATTTAGGTTATAGAACCATTAAAGTATACAACACTTTCAGGCACTTTCGTTGGGATGTTCTTGTGCGTGGTGTATTTCTATATCGGTGCGAATTATTGTATCATCGCAAAGGATGAATTGTTTGAGATCTTTGTGTACTGAGTTTTCATGAAAATTTTAAGAAATTCTGCATCCATGGTTGCTTTGTACTGGTTTCATTTGTTATTATGGACGAGTTTCTTGTCTGATGTAGTTTCTCTTGCGATATGAGTGTGTTTTCGTTGGTTTATGTTGTGGTTTCTTGATTTTGGTTATGCTTGGGTCATCTTCGTTCCATTTTAATTTTGGGGGTTGTCTTGGGCACTGAATTAGTACTTTTGGGTGCCGTGATTTTACTTACTCACAGTGTCTTACCACAAGTTCAGGTGTAGATTCTATTTATGTAAGGACTTTAATTTTTTTATCGTCAGTGATTCCTCTTTTGCATACGTCAACAAACGAACGTGAATAAATATTAAATACACTCACATTTTTAAAACATACTAAACGGATCTATGCCAAATAATATTTGAATAAAAACTGTGCGGTGTCTTTATTATTGGAAATATATAATCAGCATGGATTAATTTTTATTACTGCCCTTTATTTATTATTTACACTTTACGTACTGTTTACTATTATTTTCAATCAATAACAGTTTAGAAGCCGCTCCTAAATGTCCTCTATATTTACTTCTACCTTTCGGATTGCGGACAAGCTGGGGTATTTTAGTCGTTCACTAAATTTAATCAGGCTCGTCCGCCGGCGCCACGGCGGGGTTCGATTTTGCGCCCTGAGCTATCCTGTGAGCGCAATGGTGCATACTTTCGTTTTAAAGAGTGCGCTATGCTGTAGGTAAAAAGGGTTATTATAGTCGTTCACTAAATTGAAACTTGGGCGTCCTACGTCGCCCAGACAGGGTGCTGTTTGGCGCCCTGGGCCTCCGCATGAGCGCTATGGCGCCTACGTCAGTTTTAGTTTTGAATAGTGCGATAGACTATGGATAAGAAGGGTTACTAGAGTCCTTCACTAAATGTAATCCTGGTCGTCCTCTGGCGCTCCAACAGAGTGCTATTTTGTGCCCCGAGCCTCCCCATGCACACTATGGCGCCTATCGTTCAAGTGAGTGCAGCAGATTATGGATAAGTTGGGTATTATACTCGTTTACTAAGTTGAATCAGACGGTATCGCTTCGCCCCGACAGTGTAAGATTTGGTGTCTCGTGCTAGACTATGCGTTTATGTTTGCATTTAAGTTTGTGTTTATGTTATGCGTTATTATTTAGGTTTGCGTTTAGGTTTGTGTTATTTTGCATTTGCTTTTGTGTTTGCATTGTGTTTGTGTTTTCTTTTAGTGTTGTGTTTGTGTATTGCGTTTGCGTTTGCGTTTTTGTTCTGTTCTGTTCCTAAGTTGGTAAATTAAAAAAAGAATCACCGTGGCAAAGCACGGGTATGCAGCTAGTATATTTATAACAATATTTTGAGGTTTGATTTTCTTAAAAATGTTAATTGACTAATATTGCTTACAGTGTGTACAATTCTATAAGTTTATTTGGAGAAACATCAGTAATTAGATGCATTTGATAGATAATTCTAAAGTACATAGCGAGGGGCGTATAGTAGAGTCAAAGTATTTATGCAGGTGACTGTCAATCAACTAAAAATGTTAACAGATTTAAAAAAAATAGATTTTCCTACTTGATAGAAATTTTACTTGACAAGTTGGATTATGCAGCCAATGTAAATGAATTTGTTTGTTAACAAACATAGTGGCTTTAGAAAAATCGACTTTATGTTATACTTACAGATAATGCCTATGACCCGGATGTTGGAGCAAAGAAGTTACAAATAGACAAAATGGAGCGAGATGGACAACTGTGTTTGACTTTCCAAGATGACGGAAATGGCATGGATTTTAAAAAACTTCATCAGTTGCTTAGGTATTTATGAAAGAAAACAAAATGTCTTACCAAAATACTTGTGACTTTTAGAAAGTACTGAAGAAAATAATATTGATTAAAAATTTTATTATTGAAAAGCATCTTACTACTTAAATAGTAGTTAACGATAACGAATTTTGTTAAGGTCAGTTTCAACGTACATAAAAAATATAGCATATAATGGATTCGTTTATAAATACAATGACATTTGACTTTGAAATATTAAGTAAGCCCTAATAACATTTGTTAAATATTTTAATGAAACCTCAACTTTTCCTGAATTTTCAGCTTTGGCTTTTGTGACAAGACAATCAGTGGCAGAACTTACTCACACAAACCTATTGGTCAGTATGGTAACGGCTTCAAGTCAGGAACGATGCGTTTAGGCAAGGACGTCATCGTGTTCACAAGGTGTGAGAAAAGTGCCAGTGTGGGGTTCCTGTCACAGACCTACCTACAGGGCATAAAGGCCGAATCTGTTCTGGTGCCTTTACTGGAATACCAAGTGCCAACACATATCCTTTTTGTGTCGTTTTACCCCGTGAATTTCCTATAATACATCTGTCTTTATACTACAACTGCCAAATATCCGCAAAGCTGAAATGCCAATAAAAAATAAATTCGGGAATCTTTGCTAATCAGCCAGATTTTGTAGTTCTTTTCAGAAAGTAAAGACTTTTTTTCTCATCATTCCTAATATGAAGTTTGATAAACTAAAATTCCCTTTTTTCGAATGCTAGGTTGAAACCATCAATACAACCTGATTATATACACAAGCATACATACACTCACATACAAAGATAACACATATTTTTCAAGAAATTAATTACTTATTACTACGTTATTTTAATACGTGATATATCATGAAAAGGATACATTTTGAGTTAGTTTTGTTTAATTTTAAATTATTTCTTTAACAAAACATCACTGAAACCAGTACCTCGTTCAGGTAGGAACCTGAACTTGGAGGCCATTCTAGAGTATTCTTTATACAAGTCTGAAGAAGATCTAGTTGCTGAACTAACAAAATTAAAAGCTGGGACGAAAATAGTTATATTTAATCTTAAAAAGTAAGACATTTTTAATATCAAAGAACAAATGCTACAAAATCATTTTAAGGGGATGCTGCATTGCATTTTTAAATATTTTTTTTCAAAGCTTTGTCCTATATGTAAATAAATTAAATCCATATAATGACGTTGGTTGGCACTGAAAATAAAGCATCATTTTAGATTCAAATGTGATTGTTATACAGGAATTAAACATTTTTATTATTACTTTTTTTTAAACTTGCTTCCTCTGCCGTAATCCTGTCTTATGTCTAAATTCAAACGGGCGAGCGAAATTTAATAATATTAGGAAGATACACATGCTTTTCTTTATAGTAATTTAAATAGTAGAGTAGTATAGCATATTTAAAGAAAAATATCAACATTGATATAAATAATGGCATATTGGAGCAGCTGGCACAAAGAAACAACGTAATTTGAGGCTGTGCTGACTGACTGCTGAGAGCAAAAGAGATAAAGCAGTCTCTAAGAGCAAAATCGTTTTTAAATCTCCCAAATGGTTAACAATAGCCTGCGAGAACCATAGAAGTGACTGCCACATACATAAGACTCTAATCAACTAAGCTTTTAGCGTTTTAACAAATCATCATCATCATCATCACTCCTTTATGGCCCATGGGGAGCAAAGAGCTGCAACCACCCATCTCCAGCGGACTCGGTTTTGGGCTGCTCCTCTAATCTGTGCCCATGAGAGCCCAGCTGTTTTTGCCTCTTCATCAACCGTTCTCTTCCATGTTTTCTTTGGCCGGCCCACCCTACTTTTCCCCTGGGGATTCCAGTCCAATGCATGTTTTGCGATGTTTTCTTTTTCTTTTCTTAACGTGTGTCCGATCCATCCCCATTTTCGGGCCTTAATATCTTTCTCTATTGGCTGTTACTTTAAAATTTGCCACAGGTCTTTGTTTGGTATTTTGTCTGGTATCTTATTTTGAGTATATGTCGTAGGCATTTGTTTACGAATGCCTGTAGCCTATCAGTATTTGTCTTCGTAACCCTCCAGGTCTCCGAGCCATAGAGTAGCACTGCCTTAACATTTGTGTTGAAAATCCCAATTTTGCTCCGGAGTGACAGGGCCGTGGACCTCCACATCGGGTGCAGCGAGTTGAAGGCACATCTAGCCTTGTTGATACGGCATTTTATGTCCTCGTCTGCTCCCCCGTCCTTATTGATCACGCTTCCCAGATATGTGAATGTGTTTGTTTCTCGTAAATCTTCTCCATTTAGCTGTATCGACAGGTCCTGGCTGTTATTGATTCTGAAGACCTCTGTTTTGTTTTTATTGATTTTTAGTCCAGTTTTGGAGGCTTCTTCAGACAGCCGATTTAGTTTGGCTTGCGTGTGTTGATGCTTATGAGATAGTAGGCAGATGTCATCGGCAAAATCAAGATCCTCCAACCTTTTTGTGAAACTCCACTGGATTCCTGTGTCCTTTCTTGTGGCCCTCAGCATGATCCAGTCGACTACCATCAAGAATATCATTGGCGATAGCATACATCCCTGTCTTACTCCCGTCGTCACCGTGAATGGTTTTGTTAGCTTTCCCTTGTGTATTACCTGACTGGTGGAGTCTTCATATAGTTTCTGTGTGTATTCTATGGGTATTCCATAGTGGCTCATTAACTTCCAGATAGCATCTCTATTCACACTGTCAAACGCCTTTTCGAAGTCGACAAAGGTCATGTATAAGGGGGATTGCCACTCAAGGGACTGTTCGATAATGATGCGCAGCGTGGCAATGTGGTCAGTACATGACCTGTCCTTACGAAAACCAGCCTGTTCCTGTCTCAGCTTTTTGTCCAAGGCATCTCTAAGTCTCTCTAGGATGATTCTTGTCAGAACCTTACTTGGAACTGAAAGAAGCAATATCCCTCTCCAGTTGTTACATTGTGTCAGGTCTCCCTTCTTTGGCAGTTTTATCAGGTATCCCAGTTTCCAGTCAGATGGGATTATCTCTTCTTCCCAAATCTGCTTAAGTAGAGGATGTAGTATGTCTGCTGATATGGCTGGGTCTGCTTTGAGTGCCTCTGGTGGGATGCTGTCCGAGCCGGCTGCTTTGCCATTTTTCATGTTTTTTATTGCTCTTATTGTTTTATCTTTGTGGGTGGATCTGTACACACATCTAGTAGGTGATTTGCAGGTGGTATATCCGGGATGTTTGATGAGAGAGGATGGTTTAAAATCTCATCAAAGTGCTGTACCCATCTGTCTCTCTGTTCTGTGTCACTTGTTAAGATATTTCCTACTTTATCCTTTACTGGTTTGTTGGGATTAATGTTCTTACCTGATAGTGTCCTGGTTACCTCATAGAGCCTCTTCATTTTTCCTTGTCGTGCCGCAGTTTCTGCCTCCTCTATCATCTCCTGTATGAACTGTCTTTTGTCTTCTTTTGCACTTTTCCTGACCATGCGATTTACTTCACAATAATGTGTTCTGAGGTTTATTTTCTCTTTTTCATCCTTACATTTGTTAATCTTCTGCTTTATCTCTTTTCTATCTTCAATTTTGGCCCATGTCTCTGTTGTGATCCATTCTTTTTGTTCATTTTTTCTTCTCCCCAATATGTCAGTGCATGTTGACTTCCATAGATCCTGTATTCCTAGCCATTTTTGCTCTACTGTTTCCTCTACTGTATCCTCTGCCAGGCTGGAGAGTGCTTCATACCTATTTTTTACTGCGCAGTTAAAGTCTTCCTTTATTTTTGACACCTAAGAAATGTTGTATTGAATTTAAAGTGCGGTTTATCAGCTCGATCCCTGTAGGATTTTAGTTTTAATTTTAGTATTGCAACCACGAGTTGGTGGTCTGAGGCTGCATCTGCACCTCTTTTCGCCCTAACATCCATTAAACTTCTTCTCCACTTTCTGGAAACTGTGATGTCATCAATTTGGTTTTTTGTTTTGCCATCGGGTGACTTCCAGGTGGTCTTATGTATATCTTTATGAGAGAAAATTGTCCCCCCTATAATTAGATCATTAAATGCGCAGAAATCAGCAAAGAGTTCCCCGTTTTCATTTATTGTGCCTATTCCATTTTTCCCCATTGTGAGCTCCCGTTCTTTATTTTCTGTTCCAACTTTGGCACTCATGTCTCCCATTACCATCTTTATATCTCTTTTTGGTGATTTGTCGATTTGAGCCTGCAGGGCGCTGTAGAAGTCCTCTTTCTCTTCATCTGTTGCAGCATTTGTGGGTGCATAGCACTGGATTAAAGTTGTTTTCCTTCCCTTGGCATTGAAACGAGCTGCTATGAGTCGTGGTGAGACTGGCTCCGATGCAATCAAAGCATTTGTTGCTTCTGGAGACATCATTATGGCTACACATTGCGTGTGTTCGTGATCTTCGTCCTCGTGGCCTGAATATATGACAGTCTCTCCCGAGACCAACCTAGTTTGGCCACTGCCGTTCCATCGTGTCTCACTTAATCCTAGGACTTTTAATTTATACCTCCTCATTTCTTTGGCGACCTGGGCTGATCTGCTGCTTTCATATAGGGTTCTGATGTTCCAGGTCCCTAATCTGGTTTTGGTCTTGGGCGTTAGGAGATTTGTCAGCAAACTAGCTTCCGTTAGGCTTTCACTAGTAGGCATCATGGGCTCATCTAGAGAGGAACCTCCTCGACCAAGTCGGTGTTGGATTTGTGTACTTGCAGTTTCTGTAGCGGTATATTTTTTTACGAGATAAGATTGCTAGCCTTATGTTTCAACCCCCAACCTGGAGGACCAGGGTGTTAGCTTTGGTCTGATCCCTACCCGCGCAGACCTTCCCAGCTTGGTTAAACCTACCAGGAGTTTACACTCCCGCTGGTATAGCTCTGGGGGTGGTCAGGATACACAAGCTGCCAAGCCACGACAAGGCTCTAACACCGGATGGCAGTTTTAACAAATATAAGGCGGTAATTTATAAAAATGTATATTGAATATTATTAAAAGCGACTTAACAATTTTTAAGTTCGCTCAAACAAAATAGCTATGGTTAATTGTTAAAATATTTAAAATAATGTCTTCAAACGACGTAATAATGTCCTTGGATATAATCTTTACGACAAAGTACACCTGACTATTACTCATGTCAATAATAATTCACTTTATTATTAAACAAGACTTAACAGAAGATACGAGCTAGACTTTGACTATGACCCATCTGACATCCGGTGCCCTCTAACTTACGTGAAGGAATCAGACACCAATGAGGAACGTCCTGTGGTGGTGAGCAGTGGCTACAGACGTTCGTTGAAGGTACGTGTACATATCCAGAATAAATAAATAAATATTTTTTTAAATCAATATATATATATATATATATATATATATATATATATATATATATATATATATATATATATAACTTGCTTAACATATTTGCTTTTGGAACTAGTCCTCGATATTGCTTCGTTGAGGAGGAGATACGACTTAAAGCTGCGGACACACATCCATCCATCCATCCATCCATCCATCCTTCCATCCATCCATCCATCCATCCATCCATCCATCCATCCATCCAGAAATAACGAATTAATTAATAATCGCAATTTTCAGTATGGAAATTGCGCTAAAAACTACTCAGTTTTAGAAAACAAGGCCACGCGTCTAAGAACAAAGTATTGGTATCGCATTGATGAAACTCTCTTAAAATATTGAGTCAGACTTTCTTCTTAGACAGCGGCACGTTAGTATATATATATATATATATATATATATATATATATATATATATATATATATATATATATATATATATATATATATATATACTGGTGGGTGGGTTGGTAGGTGGAGAGGTGGAGATGCATTTGTGGAATAGGTGAATAAGACTATTTCTAATTCAATCATAAGCTGTGAATGTGCATATATCAAACAAATCACCAAAATAACCTTTATCTATATATTTCTTGTGTAGGAGTATTACAGTATACTGTATCATCGCCCTAGTAGTACAAACATGGAAGTCTTTATTCGTGGTCGTTTAGTAAAGCTCAAACTTATGTCAAAAACCTTGAAAGAGAAAGAAAAGATATTTTACACACCGAAAAGTGAGGTAATGTCTTATTGTACAATAGTTTAATATTTTAGATAAATGATAAATAGGCTAAAAACATTTATCAGACAGTTTTCTGATTTCTTGTATGCGCAAGCTGCTTTTTTTTTTATTACATAACGAGGTGACTTTTAAATTACCTGATAAAAACATTTTTAATTTACCTAATTTAAAAAGGGATTGATATTACACAACCAGATAGTTCTGATCGGAAATGTCTCTTTTGTTAATCATTTAGGCCCAGATCATGTATGTTTACCATCTGCCAAAGTACCGATTTCACTACACATATTGGCTCGTGAAAATTAAAAAAAAACTGAACACAAATCATTTGCTTTTTTAGGGTAAACAAATAAGGATTTCTATCGGCTTTGCACCAGAGGATGACACGGAAGATTATGGCATGCTTTTATACCACAAAAACAGGCTGATTAAAGCTTATGAAAGAATCGGGTGTCAGAAACAGGTAACATATTACCATTCTCTGTTAGAATTATGCCAAATTTAGTTGCAAAGCTAGGCAGTAGAAGATGGATAAAAACTTGTGAAGTGTTCAACAATAACTGTTAAAATTTAAGGCAAATTAAATTTTGAATCTTGTTACTTAAAAAATATATTGATAATAATCTCCCAAGGCCAATGAGAAAGGTAAAGGTGTGATATTGGTCGCAGTGGTTGATTTTCTAACTCCTACTCACACCAAGCAAGATTTTATAATGGATGCTAAATACAAGTTAGTATTTTTATACCTTTGTTAAATTATGATATAGAAATAATCATGTTCTTCTTCTTCTTCGTTGTTAATTTTTAGTGTTGGAAGGGATCGAGCCTTATCTGCCAGAGGGTTTGAACTCGAGACTTTTTCGAATTTATTAACCATGAGCTTTTTGACCACGCCTCCAACACAAAGGTTATGCATCATTGAGGCCATTGACTCCGATTTCAGCCTGCTTTTCTTTTTGGATTTGCCTCCATAGCCTTTGTCCAACCAAGAACAAACTACAAGGCAGCAGTTGTTTAATTTTGGAGTTGTCTCTCCTAGAAGAGTGACTGTCCCAGCTAACGAGCCTCATCTGCCCGAGGGTTCGAACTCGAGACTTTTACCGACTAGACCACGCCGACCCCTAAAATAATCATGTAATCATTGTATTTTGTCGTCAACGGTAGGGCTTATACTATCGTTAAGATTTTTAAAAAAATGTCTTATCATTCATTTTGAACCAGGTTGTTGACATTCTTTTATTGTAGAGTTTTTTATTACCTTGTGACGAAATAAGTAATGATTCATCTATATAAAAACTTAATAATGACAGGAGTAAAATACTGATTATACCAGAGGAGTAGCGATGGGGTTAGGGGGTACATATGTCCCCGGGCGCCAACCCTAGGTGCGCCAAAAAGGGTTGGGAAAAAAATAAAAAGTACATTTTTGCTGCCGTTTTAAATTATAAACAGTCAAAGTCAAGAAATTTAACGGCTACGAGCCTTTATCGCCGACAAAATTCGGAAGGTGGAGGTGTAGCTATGAGATTTTGCGCCACGGGACGAACTATAAAATTGGCGCCCCAGCCCCCTCCCCGTTTATTCACATTTTTCTATTATATTAAATAAAGAAACAAATTTTAATTTTAATAAAATATTGTATCTAAAGAAGCAAATTTATAGCAATTATAGTACATGATCCACTCATTCAATGTCGTATACTGGTTGCAGAGGCGTAGCTACCCTTCCAGGCGCCCGGGGACAAGCTTTCATTTTGGCGCCCCCTTTGGGAGCAAATATTGGATTTGCACCCCCCCTCAAACTTTCGATTTGCACCCCCCCCCCAAACTTTAGATTTGCACCCCCCCCCCCACTCAAAACTGAAGCTAAAAACATTTTAATTTGTTTTTACAACCCATTTTGGCGCCCCCTAAGGTCGGCGCCCGGGGACATATGTACCCCCCTGCCCCCCCCCCCCCCCCATCGCTACGCCTCTGACTGGTTGACAGTCTACAAAAGATTAGCTCATTAATTACACAATCAAAATCTGTTTTTTCCAATGTTTCTCTTTCAACGCTAAGAAGAGCAAGATCACTGAGACGATCTTGACCCATTAACGCACGTAAATGAGACAAGTTTCAATTTGCTGAACGACTTTTCGCAGCTTGCAATGGAAGCTGCTATTGTTAATAAAAGTTGCAGTGAAATTCGCAGATTCGGAAATACGTCGCTTACATAAAACACAATAAAACAAGAAGACCCAAAGGAGTTTCTGGTAGAACTTCATTCCGGTTTCTGAGCAGCATTCTGCAATCTCTAATTCCTGTGTAAAGTTCATGACCATTGATATCCGTGTCGTAGAATTTTTCAAAATCTGTGCAATTTCGACAAAATTTATCGACATATGTGTAGGATAGAAGAGTCTTGACATCCAGCAGAAACCCAAATTTTGTGTTCAGGTCTTTTAGTCGTAAAAAACGTGATGACATCTGTTGAAGTCGATCAAATATGCCCTTCATAACGCGCACAATTTCTTCTTCTTATGAAAGTCCAGCTTCTCTTACCGGTTCTCAGGGCATCTTCTGACGTCATTTAATCCTTCTGTCCATCTCAATCCCTCAGGTTGTGCATTTTTTTCGGCGTTTTCAACAGCATCCTGGCTTAAATCATTACGAAGCCTGACAAATTCTTGATCCAAAGATTCAATATCATTCGCTGCTTCCTTGAAATTGATAGTAGGATCCTGTAAGCGCTTCTGTACATAAATGACATTCCAGAAATGTAATAAAACTATGAAGTTGAAATTCAATACGCACGTCTGTAACTGTTCTGCGCCACTTCTGGTTTCATGCGTCATAGTTGAGTCCTCCGATAATTTTTCTAGAAGCCCTACTAGATCATTCAGTTATTCATGGATAGCTTTAAGTAAAATCTAACATGTCTCTCAATATTTAATACATCGTACTTATTGAGTCTTATATATATATATATATATATATAATTGAAAATTTGTCCCCAGGCGCCGGTAGGGGTCGCTACATCTCTGGATAATACTATTCAACATGTTTATTTTTAGCTATGCTTTGATTGTAGGCCTATTATTGAAATATTTTACAGCAGTTTCGTTGGGGTTTTGGCAAAGAAGGTGAACGATTTTTGGAAAAAGAGAAGAGAGAACTCAGATCCCGTAAAAGCGTAAGTCGATATATTTTTTATTTAATAATTATTAATTAAAAGTTTAAAAGAATATTAAGTAGCATTTCTCTTTCAATATTACTTAGTTTTCATGCATTACTGAAATCTCTAACCATTGTGAATTAACATATTAAAGCAAAATATTTTATGAAGAAACGAGAGTGGATTTTTTTCTTAATGTACACATCACAATTTTTAGCATCAGTTATATGGTTTTTGTCTTTGCGTATTTTGATATTATTATGATGCCGAATTACTACACTTAAGAGAATCTTTTAAATCCTTATTGTCCTTTCTTTAAGGAGTTATAAAATCTAGTGCTCACTGACGTATTTGAACAACTACTTTGTTTGGTACTTGTCATTAAGTACTGCTCCATTTAGTGTAGAATATTTTAGATCCTTTTAGAACGAAAACTCAAATGTTATGATTGAAATTATTTTAAATCTACAGAAGTTTTTATTGTGGATGCTTCTACCAGCAATATATTGCATTGTGATGATTCATTAGGCACCAGTATGTAGGTTTTAGGGGTGGGGGTGGGGGGGGGGGCGGCGACGAGTTTACAAAAAGGCGCCAGCTTCCTAATATATCATATATATATATATATATATATATATATATATATATATATATATATATATATATATATATATATATATATATATATATATATAATATGGTCATGTGTGTTCGTGACTTTGTTTTTTAATTTCTAATCAAATGAACTGCTATCAATAGTCCTGCTAACCCTTATGATTCACATTAGTATTAATAAGGTTTTATTTTAATTAATGGTGTCAAATATGCCACACATTTTGAAAAACCTTTAATGTATGGGCTAACAAAAAACTAGGCAGTCAGAAGCAAAGGAGGGAAGACATCATTAGACGTGTTTAACACTGGGATATGAATGGAGGAAGAAGATTAAACGGACACTTCTGGTGCACGAACGATCAAAAACAAAAAGACAGATAGGTAGACAGCAGAGTGTATTAAAGTGACAGTCGTTTTTTTGGAATGTGCTAAATATCTTTCTATGGCGAGGAGATTCAAGCAACTGGAATGCAAATCGGACAGATAGTAATGAGTCGGAGACGGCGTGGTTAGATGATAGAGCTCGGAAACATAAAAACTCAACTTCATCTGCCCCATGTGTCTTAGGTACAAATGGAGAAAGATGACTATGAATAATGAGTCGGGATTCTGCAAAGACAACGTATTATTATCAACCCGACAATGATTTTTTTTGACAACTTACTAGTTAAATCATGGTAGACATATTTCGACTCACACTTCAGCATTAATATCGATTTGAAAAATGTGAAAAAGATTGAGTACTGGAAGTTTTGAAAACTAAAAAATAGTTAACCATATCAAGTTTTAAAGACAGTAGATCTATATCATGCATTGAAAATCTTTCACCAAAAGCTAACTCGTTCAGACAGAGCAGATACATGTGTCAAGATTTGTCTGAGCTAGACTCGGACTATTTTGGTGACACTCATCACTTCTATCCCACATCCAATAGCAAGTAAAAAGTGTGGTAAATGTGTCAGTTGTGTCGTAAATAGGCGGCTTCTTTGACCAACAGTTTAATACACTCTCCAACCACTAGATAGGCGCCTTCATTAAACAACATCAAGTACAGACACAGACCACGAGAGAGGCTCATTCGTTAACTAACAGTTAGTACCGACGCCAACTACATTTTACATTCATTAATTTAGGTACTAATCACTAACACCCCATGCTTGTTTTAATCAATTTTTTATTTCCCGAAAACGGCGCCTTTCTCCCACAAATGCTCTTAGAGGGCTACTACTCCCCCTTGCACTCCCCATGAATACGCCACAGATAGGTACCCAACAGTTTGGGCTGCTATAACAGCAAACATAATGTTTGTTTTGAGTGCTTCTGTTGGTTTAAATTTAATGGGATATTTAAATTACTTTTTTCAATATTTAAAGATTTAAGACGACTATTCATTTGACGCAACCCTTCTCCGCACAAACAAAATTTCGCATAACGCATTTTACGAATTGGGGGGGGGGGGGGGAGGGGGTAGCTGTTATTTCGTGGATGTTCGAGATTTCAGATGTAGTCCAGTTGCAGTGAGTCAACTATTTAAACAAATTGTGGTGGTTTGATAAAAGTTTGGGATTAAAACATTATTCACAAGATTGATATATTCCATTTTCTAGCATTCATATTGGCTCTAAACAAATTTTGTGAAGACTAGCTGACCTCATGTATCGTTACTACAATAGTTTATTGCATTTAATAATAATATATTTTTATTTTACATGACTAACTTATTACTTAGATTGAAATTTAAATACTATATGAGTTGTCACAGAAGATGCTAGTACATACTAAAACTGAAACAAGTAGGTCTATTTTAAATGCGTTAAAGTTAAGTTACAAAATTTGACGATCAAACCACCCACAACAGTTTTTAAATGCGCACAATCTTGTCTTTATTACAAAGGCCCCGTACTCCATCCAAACGCCCTGCTGGATCGGCCAAAGCTGCAGACAACTCTCATGTTTTGCTCGAAGCCACCAGCGTCCACCATGATCGTGGCAGTCCCGTGGAAATGTTGGAGCCGTTACGGGAGTCAGCTGACATGTATGAACACACACGTATATCTTCATTTCAAATTTCTCGCTGTTTTTTGTATTGCTTCTAACCAATAAACTTTATCTTTTTAACAGCTGTCATTTTTTTTTACAATTAAACTTTTTTTTTCAGAACCATAATCAAGACAGAGCTGAATGAAAGTGAAACAAGGTAGAAGGAATGTGAAACTATCACTTTCTCTTTAAACTTTTTTCAGCATTTGTGTAATGTTTTTTTATGCTTCTATATGCAATGTTGATAATAATATTTTGCTGAGGTTTGTCCATATAGTTATAATTTATGTTCTAATTTGATTGAACGAGTTTGTGTCACAAATCCAACTATTAGAAATCTTTATGCCAGAATATTTTTTTTAAAAATAAAATATTCGTGATACCATAGAGTTGCGAGGACGGCGTGGTCAATTTGTAGAACATACGACTGCTAGCCTATAAAATCCCGTATTTGAATCCTGGTCAAGACCGTAGAACGTGCCTAGGCCCACCCATCTCTGATAGTTACCAGAGTTACGTTAATGAAAGTAATGACAGCTGGGTGTAATGCTGACCACAATATCACTTTATATGCCGAAGACACGGAGGCAGATGAACTCTAATTTATTTGCACCATTGACCGTCAAATACGAAAGAGAGCTTTAATTTTTTACTATTAGAAATGGAGCCAAATTTTTAAAAGCTAAGCTGTGACATATTTATTAAAGTTGTCAGAAATTTTTCCCACTTCAACTTCTAGAGAATACCCGGATGATACAATCATAATATCGGACGATGATGATGAAGATAGTCGGGATACTCTCCCACCAGAAGCTCTTCAGACAACAACAGTAGAGCCAGGTCCATCAGTAGCAAATAATACTAACATTCCAATAGAAGATTTATCAACAGAGCAGGTTGCGGAACAATTCGCTTTAAACATTGACACCTCACCAAGTGAAAGTTTAAGTGGTCAAGCTTTAGAGGTGTCCACAGCAAACCCTACAAACACACCAAGTGAAAATTTAAGTGGTCAAGATTTAGGGGTATCCACGGCAAACCCTACAAACACACCAAGTGTAAGTTTAAGAGGTCAAGCTTTAGAGGTGCCCATAGCAAACCCTACAAACATACCAAGTGAAAATTTAAGTGGTCAAGATTTAGGGGTTTCCACGGCAAACCCTACAAACATACCAAGTGAAAATTTAAGTGGTCAAGCTTTAGGGGTGTTCATAGCAAACCCTACAAACATACCAAGTGAAAATTTAAGTGGTCAAGATTTAGGGGTGCCCACAGCAAACCTTGCAAACACACCAAGTGAAAGTTTAAGTGGTCAAGCTTTAGGGGTTCCCACAGAAAACCCTACAAACACACCAAGTGAAAATGTAAGTGGCCAAGATTTAGGGGTATCCACGGCAAACCCTACAAACATACCAAGTGAAAATTTAAGAGGTCAAGCTTTAGGGGTGCCCACAGAAAACCCTACAGACACACTCAGTGATCATGTAAGTGAACGTTCCATCGAGCTACACCCAGCAAGCTCTAGTAACACACCTACAGAAAATTTAAATGTGTCTCCTTCTGAGCTGAGAAGATCTTCCAGAACTCAAAAGAAGCGACAACGTTCTGCGGATTCAGAAGAAAATGACATCGGAGCGAAAACAAGTGAAGATGAAACTCCGATGGCGAAAAAAAGATCAGTAAACACGAGAAAACCCATGCGCTCTAAAAAAGCGTTGAGAATAAAGATTGTGAAAAAGTCTAAGACGCCCAATCTAAAAGCACACAAGTCAAAAGCTGCAACTATAACAGCCAAGCATATACGTCTAAGATCCAGACGCGCAGCAAAGAACTACAGACCCAACCGCAATCTGTCAGCCACTCAACAAGGTACATTAAAATACGTTCATATCTACGTTTTGGTGCTGTCTTAACTTTTGTATATTACCTCAGATGCCATACAATCTAAATTGCATCAATTCTTATAGTTTTATCAAAGTATTAATTATTCTTTTAAATATTTAATAATAAATGTCGATTTGTATTATTAAATTGATTAAAATAAATTTGATGTAAAAAATTTAAAAATTACAAGTCAAAGTTGCTCTGTAGTGTAATTAAATACTATATAAAAGTGGAAAATTAGTTAAGAAAAAAAGAAAAATCCTAAAGAAATCATTATAAAAGCAGTTTGCTGAACAAAGCTATTATCAATAAACCAATAAGGTCTAAATTATTTCAATCATTTAAAACTTACTGGTGCTGAATATTTTGAAAAGAGTTATTAAAAATGTTTAAATTGAAATGTTCCGTATATGATTGTTCAGTGTTCTTGTCATGTGATGATCATGTTTTTAAAATTGTTTTCCTCATGATACATCTCCAGCCACTCCTCCAGCTGAGAAAAATGACGCGGAGGTCCAAACAGATGAAACGACTTCATCAAAGACAACCCCCTTCCACTACAAAGTGTTCAGGTTTTTAAGGTGTTTTCATCAGCCTGAATTACCTGCTAATGTTTGTATTGATGACGTTGAAAACTTTATCTGTGAGCAGAACGAAAAATTTATGACGACTAACTCTTCGCTAAATTGATTTTGGGCCGACGGATCAATTGTCCTATTCAATATTTTCATTAAAAATGTTCACTTAATACATCAATTCTTTAAAAAGAAACTTGTGTGCATTTTAAAAGCTTGTTATTATTAACGTTTTTGTACTATCATTGACTACATTTCATTGAATTCTGATTTAAATTTAATGAATTTGTTTAATTTTTGAAAACTATTACTGTATACATGTATCTTTCCTTGATTGTTAAATAATATATTGTTAGTAGAATATTCTTGTTTGGTCACCACTCATATTATTGTCTTTTGAAAACAAATAAAAAGACCAGCCAAAACGATTGACAGATTTTTGGCCGAATATCTACCTTCTATATACTACTAAGACTAAAGTTTGTTTACATGTTTGAATATTTATATTGTTGTTGTTGTTGTTTTCTTTTTTTTTTTCATTTGGTTACAGAAGAGAATCTTCACTATGTGTAGAGCTGTAAAGAAGTATTTAGGTAGAGAAAAAATTTTGTTTTAGACAGACTGTTAATCAAAAATTAATTTAAAGACTTTAATTAATTTATTGATATATTCATTGGTAGATTAACCACATTAATTATGAAAGTTCAGAACAATGACTTTACTTAAAGTGACGTCACATGATTTATTTACTTTTTATAACAATAATGGCAGCTTCCATCGAAGATTTAGTTTCCCATTCAAAAAAAAAAAGAAGTAGTGTTGTTTTCTGAATGACAAATGAACTCAAGGCAAACGATCTCAGACAAACTATCCCCGACAAAATATCTGACGGACAAATGATCATAAGACAAATGATCTCAAAGATAAATGATCTCACGGACAAAAGATATCAGCACAAAAGATAACAGCACAATTGATATCACGGACAAGTGGTGATCTCAGACAAAAATATCTCACAGCAAAATATGTATAGTATTTGAGATTATTTTAGTCGATTTTAACATTTTAAAATATCGCTGTCTTTAAGATTTTACTTACATTATTTACACAAAATAAATGTGAGAAAATGTTTGTCGCATAGTTTTATCGCGTTACACAAAATATATTAAAATTGCAATTACAAATGTAATGTTTATAGATTCAAACTAAGTTCCGATACAGTGTAGGTGGGCTTGCCGATCATGAGACAATCCTACCACCTTAGGTGGACGAAACTAGATTAAATGGGATTTCTAATCTATTGACGAAAGGTCAATGAAAACACACCCTTAGTGGACAATTCAATTAGCATCTAAAGTCAATAGTTAAATTTCGGTCACACCCTAGTGATCAGTTGACACATAATTGTTTAACGACATCAGTCATTGATGAGCTAAAAACTATTAGTGCTGATTACTCAGCTGTGCCTTCTTTATTTAAATCGCAGATGGCATTTGTACTGTTTTTTAAGTCAGATTTACACTGGACAACAGCCAGCGTTGATGATGCAAAAAACACCAATTTTATATTTCCGAACCTGTAGACCTAAACTTCCTTTTTAAAAACTATTTCTCGTGTTTTGACATCAATGTGGTTAATTTAATGAAATTATTTTATTTGTCGTTTGTATTTTGATGTCATATATTTTCATAAAAATTGTTTTTTTAAAGTAAGTTTATACCGTCTTTTATTGGTTTGTTTATTAAGTTCAAGTAATTCATGTATAATATCTAACAATAATTATGTGTAAAAAATAAATAAAACCCATTTGACATTCTATAAAAAAATATTTAAAGTCGACTGAGATTATTTGTCCTGTCACCATATATATGTAAGTTTGTATATATAGTCCAATATATAAATTAAGTGTCATTTTAATACTCTGTATTCGAGTGCTTTTCTTGTTTTCCCGTCAACTACACGATGATAAAATCAGGTTTTCCAGACAGGCGAGCTGGCCACACAGTTAAGGTAATGATACACTATCAAAATCTTGTCCTATAAACCAGTGGCGTAGGCAGGGGGGGGGGGGGGTTAGGGGGGTCATAACCCCCCCCCCCCCCCCCCATAGACACTTGGTATATATATATAAAGTATAAGGGGAGGGGTGCAAATCGAAAGTTTGAAAGGGGTGCAAATCGGAAGTTTGAGGGGGGGTGCAAATCGAAAGTTTGTCCCCAGGTAAAAGTTTGAACCCCCCCCCCCCCCCATGAGACGATCCTGGCTACGCTACTGCTATAAACAAAACTGAAGCATCAATTTATGAGGCACTATTACAATACTTCCTATCTATACTCTGTATACGAGAAAATATTTCTGTAAAATATATAATAATACACTACTATTTAAATGAGTATTAGGCCTACTATAGTAACGTATCTAGTTGTCCATTATTGTGCTTTAGTTATGTCTGGTTTTGCTGTATCTTGTCTAGTTGTGAAGTTTTCGTAAAATAGGCATTTTGTCTAACGTTACATAAAAGCTTAAATTTTAAGCCCCTCGTAGACCATATAAGTTTAGTATTATGACATTTGTATTGATGGAAGGATCTACGGCATAGCATTTATATACATCTATCAGATTTTAGTATCAGAGTTTCTTCCAGGCATCTCTACGGGGGGAGGGGGGCGGAGCCCTCCCCCCCCCCCCTCCCCACCCGAAGAAAGTCTGCCGCCCCTCCCCCGAACAAAATGAAATTTATATAGAAAATATATTCTTTTAACAGTGTCTGCCCCCCCCCCCCCCCCCCGAAGGAAGTCTACCGCCCCCCCCCCGAAAATTTCAAGTGCCCCACCCCTCCCCGGAGAAAAAAGTCTGGAAGAAACACTGGTTAGTATGTAGGCCTATATGGATCCATATCAATTGAGCGCTGTTATACATGTCAATAAAATTTTGTATACCGACGAGGTTGCATGTCGGAACAGATAACTCGGGAATTCATTTCGGAGTTATCAATAAAAAAATTATCAGTTTTTGCCCTTGGATAGAAACATTACGGTGTGCTGAGTTGGATGACCTACTTAGGATGCTGAATTTATCTCATTCTTATCATAACAATCCTACAAGCAGAATGGCCTATCCGCCATGCAAGGTAATGTTTTAATAACTTTCTGTTGTTATATGCTTTTTAAAACTATTGTTAGTATTAGAAATAAGTAAGTAGATCTAGATTATATTTTTTTTAATAACTGTCATTCACGATCGTTGTATTGGGAATACCCATAGCAAACATTCGTTATCACACCGAAATAGAAACTGAAACAAATAAAATTATTAGCTTTTTGTAATGAAAGGGAATATGAATTTTTGTGATTGCTTAATGTTTTAGTTAAAGTCAATGACCTAGTACCGCACAGCCATATTGTCCTTTATTTTCATTTGTTTAACTGGTCGCGCTGATATTTAATTTAGGCCCGGAAATCATTACTACTGAGAATTACATCTTTTTCCCGGAAACCACATAATTCCATAAACTGAAAGAAAAACAAGAAACTGTATGCTCCGGATTTTTAAATATTAAATAAAAAATTACTTAAATATCTGTACTCCGAAAATTATATATATATATATATATATATATATATATATATATATATATATATATATATTTATATATATTTATATATATATATATATATATATATATATGGCAAATGTTCGACTCTTACACTGATTGTAAAAAAAATGTGAGAGGCTGTGAAAATCTAGCTTTTAAGTATTACGTGCAAATAAGGATGGGGGGGGGGGGTATATTTTCCCTTTGTTTAATACAGTTCATTCCTTGACTATTACATACACTACATTAGAATTCGACTAATGCTGCTACTATCACTGCCTATCTAGATTCTGTTCTACACCTAAACAAATATCTCCACTTCAAATGCACTGACAAACAATAAGTTTTTGTCCATCTAAATCTCCCCTCCCCAACTCGACATGACCTAATATCTCCATCTTACCGACGCTAACTCTCTCGACTATTAACTCTTGATTATCAAAGATCATTGTATTGCTCCAGACTGACCAATAGTTTTGCTGCTCTCTAACCTAGCTTTAAATTTAGTAACATTGCGCCATCATTTCTTCATAGATAAGATAGTATAAGCTAAATAGTTCAGGGGTTGTGCGATAGATTCTTGATTTCATAAAGTGTCAAAACATTCACAAAACTTCTATTAAATAAACCGGGAGTGATCTCCCCTAAACTTTCTCAAATATTTTTATATAAAATAACAGGGGATGGGAACTCGGGCTATAGACATGATTTTTAATCCATTTTAAATACTTAAAGTTTTAAAAATAGAATAAAATCTCGTAGACAAATTAATTGCACACCAAGTGAACGCGAAATAAAAAAGCGCATAATAGTGCGCAATATTATTAGTACTTTTAAAATTTACATTAGTTTTTTGAGAAATCGGAAGTAGCGTAAATTACTACTTCCGGTCAACGGAAATTACTCAAAATTTAACAGAAGGTAGAGAATTAGATCTTTTACTTACATGTGAAATTTCATTTATCTATCTGAAATAGTACTCAAGTTATAGGCTTTTGAAAAATTCAAAGTAGAAAAAGTACCACTTCCGGTTGTCGGAAATCGCTCAAAAGTTAATACGGATCTACGATTTTGATATAATACTTATATATGAAATTTCATCAACCTAGCTGTAACGGTACTCAAGTTATCGTGTTTACACACGGACACACACACAGACACACAGACACACACACACACAGACATACGGACAAGATTGCAAAATTATGTTTTTCCGTATCAGTGAGGTGTAAAACGTCGAGAATTGTAAAAATCTCGATTTTTTTTTTTGCACGATTACAATACTTTCTCTATACTACGTATATACGAGAAAGTAAAAACGCAATGTATCATAATATGAGGTCTCCAAAAATGTGCACTAAATTTTATATTATTTATTAGATTTATATTACTTAACCTACAAGGAAATAAAAAAAGTATTTCAAAAAAGTATTTTTCTCCTAGGTTAATCCGAAGTTTCTACACAGTAACTCAACCAGCCACATTTGGGCATTCAGCGCCGTAGCTGAACTCATTGGTACGTGTGACTATGATAGAAAGTTTACTTTTATACATGAACATTGGTACGTGTGACTATGATAGAAAGTTTACTTTTATACATGAACATTGGTACGTGTGACTATGATAAAACGTTTACTTATATACATGGTCATTTAAGCCGTTTATTAATATCGATCACGCTATAGCCTTATGGCCATGAGCCGGTACCAATTAAAAATCAATAATCACTGGACCCATGTTGAATAAGATTAGTTTTAACACAATGTAAATCTAATAGAATTTTAGAAATAAAATTTTATTTTTTTCGCTAAAGTTTGGTGTCAAGTTTGTTATTACTAGTTTGTGTATTTTACCAGACAACGCTTACGATCCTGATGTTCGAGCTTCAAGACTTTTGATTGATAAGGTCGACATCAATGACACGCCGTGTCTTGTGTTCCTGGACAATGGGGATGGAATGGACCATGATAAACTTCACAAAATGCTCAGGTACTTCTTAAGTCAATTGCCTAGGGAATTATCTAATCATCGCCGATAATAAAACATCTACATACATTTTTATTTGTTAATAATTTTGTTTATATTAAAATTCTTACTTTCCGTCCTAGTTTTGGATTCAGCGATAAAGAGAAATGTGCGATCAATGGCGCTTACAAACCTATCGGACAATATGGAAATGGTTTCAAGTCTGGCTCTATGCGACTTGGAAAAGACGCGCTAGTTTTCACAAGATGCCAAGAATCTGCCAGTGTTGGCTTTTTGTCTCAGACTTTCCTAGAGCAGTCTGGAGTTGACAGTGTTGTGGTACCGATGGTAGAGTACACTCTTCCTGACCATATCCTTTTACAGAAAGTACAAATTATTTTCGTATCAAATTTGCTATACTCAAACAACCTTACTGCTGACATTTTTAATGAGATACTTAAGTAGGTCTGTCTGCACTTAGGTTAGGGTTATGTTTAGGACAAATCAGTAACGTCACTAGGGTATGGAATTTCTCCGGGTAACAATATTTAGTATGTGTCGCCTAAATGAAAAATCCCATAAAATATTTTTTCTAGTTAAAATTATAACATGCATGGGAGGAAGTGGGAGACTAGCGTGAATAAGTAAAATTATTTGGGAGGGGATGTGTGGTGACGTACGACACAGAAGGTGACATCAGACAGAGTGACCCAGTAGGGACATTCTAGGCTTTGTGTGGGTGTATTGCACTACAGAGAATTAAATATAAATTATTATTTGTTATGTGTTGTGATTATTAGAACACATTGTAACATGTGTTGATTATTGTGATGTATTGTCATTTAATATTTTTAAATTATACTTATCCTGAAGAGTAAAGATTGTTCTGAGCGTTGTATCAGACATTCCTTGACTCGCATGCACTAACACGCAGTGATAGTTTGAACACTGAAAAATGTCTGAGAGCAATCCTAGATTACTCTATCTATAGAGAAGAAAATGCATTGTTAGAAGAATTGAGGAGTTTTCAAAATGGTTCTTCGGGAACTAAAATCATCATCTACAATCTTAAGTATGTATTATTGTGTTAAAATATTGAAGCTTGTATTTATTTTTTGTTCTTTATCTACCACTTGTTTTTCAGACAGTAAAAATATGTCGCATTTTTCTCCGATTTTATATTGTTTAAATCCTGCTCCAAGAAAGCTTAAGCCAAATTTGTTTTTAATTAGATGGCATAAAATCTAACCAAAAATCATAGGTCACTCATGCTATTATACAAAAATGAAAAATGACTGTAACTAGAAAATCAATGGAAACAGTATAATATTGTTCTTCATAAGAGAGTGTTGTTGTTTTGTGAAAATACAGGTTACAAGATGGATCATTAGAGCTAGATTTTGCAAGTGACCTAAAAGATATACGATGCCCCGAAGTTCACAGACAGGATACAGACAGATGGGAAGATCGCACCATTGCCACTCAAATTTCAGAGTACAAAACATCGTTAAGGGTAAGCTTGAGAAATTATTTTACATACAGAAGAGTTTTGTGTTATCATTTTAAATAAACCGGGAGTGATCTCCCCTAAACTTTCTCGAATATTCTTATATAACACTACGGGGGATGGCAACTCGCGATATAGACATGATTTTAATCCATTTTTAATTCCTTAAACTTTTTAAAATAGAATAGAATCTCATATTAAAAAAATGCGCACCAAGTGTACGCCAAACAATCTGTGTATAATAGTGCGGAATATTATTAATACTTTATAAATTCATATGCATTTTTTCAGAAATCGGAAATAGCCTAAGTTACTACTTCGGGTTAACGGAAGTTACTCAAAATTTGATAGAAGGCAGAGAATTAAATCGTTTTCTTATATGTGAAATTTCGTTTATCTATCTGAAATAGTACTCAAGTAATAGACTTTTGAAAATTTGAAAGTAGAAAAGTTCAACTTCCGTTTATCGGAAATCGCTGAAAAGTTGATACGGATCTACAAATTCGATATACTATACTATATATGAAATGTCATCAACCTAGTCATCGTGTTTACAGACACACACACACACAAACACACACACACAGACATAAGGACAGGATTGCAAAACTATGTTTTTTCGACTCAGTGAGGTGTAAAACGTCGAGATTTGCAAAAATCTCGATTTTTTTTTTTTGCACGATTACAATACTTTCTCTATACTTTGTATACGAGAAAGTAAAAATTGTCAAAAGTATTTTTTATGGTTTCTAAATACTAGGAACTAATGGCTGTTAAAAATGGAAATGCAGAAGTATATTTGCTCAAAACAAAACAATTAATAATTAAACATAACATAAGTTTCCAATTAAAATGTACTTGTTTTATTTTTGGGTCTACAGTAAAATATAAACTAAATATTTTAAAGGAGTTTGGCTTTGAATTAACACTTCCTAATTAATTAATTTGGTATGATGAAAGACCATTAACCTTGGCAATTAATTTTAATGGTATTGCATCATACCAATATTTGAAAATTTTAAAAATATTATTCTTTAGTGTTTCTATACTAGCTAGCTGACTT